AAATTATCGGAAGATCGAATGTAAGATGCTTTAACCCATAACCTCCTTTTTTCGCACCAACCCCAACGCGCCTCGAAATTTCGTTTAAAACACCTGTTCGTCAGCTTAGTCAATGGAATAACAATTAAGTCTTTAATGTATTGAATAATATTGATATTTATATGACTATCACTATCATTACACTTAAAACTGGTCAGGATGTCTCTCATTTCAATAAATGAGACTTCACGGAAAGAAAAACGCTTATCCGTATGCGCCCTCATAGACTCAGTATTAGCAATATTTGGTACATTTGAAAAATATTCATTAAAATTGTCGGAAGTGATACCCAGTGAATGGAAATTTGATCCACTCTCGAGTTTCCTAGTGATGACCTCCCCATGCTGCCTTAGAAGCGTTATTGCTTTTATTTGTGTAGACGAGTTAGCAGACTTTTTACTTAATTTTGTTTTCGCCCTGTAAGCAGTCCTACGAGATTTTACTATATTTTTAATAATGGGAAATTTTGGATTTTGCTTTTCAATATTTGATTTGGTATTTTTAACTATTTTGTTCTTGAGGGGAGAAGCACAGTTAATTTCGTTTATGAGTATATCAAAAAATGTACTGAATTTGTGTTCAATGTCTATATACGTGTAGGATACAAAAGACCAATCACGTTTTTTTTATGTATTCTGGACGACAAATTTCGATCTAGCAACGCGCACGCTAGTTGAAACGTTTAAAATCCAATTTAACGAAACAGATTAGGCTGCCGCATTCCTGCGTCAAGGTGTCGCGCGACATTCCGAAACCTGGTTTCACTTGAAATCACGCAAATGACTAGAAAATATTGGTTACAACGCACGTATACATTTTGGCTAGACCAAATAATAGACAATAATTGGGCTTTCAAAATAACACATTCCGAATACCGTCAGAGAAAAAAAAAAGCAAAATTAAAAAAAAAAACGTTAAAGATTTAAAAAATAAAACATCGGGTGTGCAAGGGTCTAAGAAAAAAATCATTTCTCGAAAACCGTTTATGTTATTGAAAAAAGATTGCAGGAAAAGATCCGCAAGATCCGGTGGTATTCTTGGTAACTTTCAAAAATATACAGGGTGTCCGCGCTTTTTTCAAATAACTGAAAATTGCAATAAAATACAATATATTATTATTATACAATTATTAGCTGTAAATCAAAATTCGTACAAAATATGACTAATATGTTCGAACGTAGGTCACGTAGGCTGCTCGAGATATTTGAAAAAGTCCTCGGGATCGGTTTAGACGCATAGTTTCAAAAAAAAAAAAAAATACTTTATGGGAAAAATTCATGGACCTGGAAACGTGGGAGATTGGCTGTAACGTCGACTTCGAATAATTTTTGAATTATATACAGGGTGTGTTGTTTTTGGGCAAGAAAACTACTGGAAACTTTTCCTTTGTGGTCCATTTTATTCCGGTAAACGTGTAAAATATAAACACGGCCGGCCGGTACACCAAAAAGAAAAGCACTAACATAACCTAACTTTGTTTAGCCAGTGAAATGATTTGGTAGTTTATGAACTGGCTATTTTGTATTACTATAAATTATGGTTCTTATATTAGCTAAACTGCAACGGATAGTTTATAAACTAACTAGCTCATATAGTTTATCAAATAATTTCAAGTAAATTAGCTAAACTCTTGCTTAGTTTATAAAATAGCCCCTAATTTTGATGAAATAATAATATAATCTTTATTTAGCATTATGCTACATAAAAAATACAAAATATAAAATTTTGTACAATTTTCTTAACAGTCTAGTTCTCCTTATTGTTTCGAAAGCACGCTTAAAATCCAAATATACAGTGTCAAGTGTACAAAACTTCTGGAATCCAGAAGTTTGGTAAATAGTTTTTTTCTAAATCACACGAAGAGTCGCCTCTTTAAAAAAAGAACACCCTGTACATAATGCGCGAGTTGATTTTCCGATATCGTCGGGTACGTTTTGATCGAATTTAGGCGGCTCCCACACTCCACATAACTAGATCAGCGCTAATGGTATTGATAACTTTATTCGGCTAAATTGGATGGGGAATATTGTTAGCGGGTAATTGATGAGATTACGTGGGACGCCGCCACTGTGCTTTAACACCCCGCGCCGCTCTCGGGTGCGACACTTTTTCCAAAGGGACGTTATTAATGACGTAACACGATTTAATCGATTTACTATTGAGCAAAATTTCTTCTCTACCATGTTCAAATGTTTAAAGACGTCACTACATTTTTAATGCTGACGAAGCTGCTAATTTTTACAAAATGACGCCAGATAAAAAACCCTTAAATTTCGAGGCGAAAAGTGGGTGGGTGGGAAACTTTCTAAAAAACGTGTAACAGTGCTAGTCGTGATTGGAAAATCAACTAACCCACACATCAAGAATTTGCCGGTCACTTACAAGGCAAACAAGTCTTTCGAAGAGGAGATACGGAAATGGGACGCAGAGTTAAAGGGGGGGGATTGGCATTTCTTCCAGCCAATGGACCAGAGCTTAATAAAAAGTCGTAAGAGTCGACACAGGAAAAACATTTTAACGGAAATGATAGAGTCCGAAGACAAATTTTCCATTAATATGCTAGAAACGGTCAACTTTATTAGTAAAGCTTGGAAAAAGGTGACAGCTGAAACAATTCATAGATCAGTGATAGATCAGGATTTTCCTACAACAGCAGACTTGACAGAGGAAGCCATATTACAACAAGCAAGAATGAGGAAGGGCGCCAAGACGAAGAAGAAGATGAAGAAGTTGATCTGGGACCACCACCAACCATTCGACAAGCCCTATACTCAGTTAAGCTGCCGGAGAAATGTTTTATGTATCACGGGGAAGATGCCCCTCTCGAAGAAATTGTGAAAATACAAGCCAAAGTACGAGATGCGTATTGGCATACTAAAAAAAATTCAAAAAAAAATTTCCGATTATTTGAAACATTAAATATAGTTCTTAAATACTTATATAAAATGTTAACTTATTAAAATTAAAAAAATAATTTTTAAAATTTCAGATTACATTAAGCAGTATTCACTTGGCAGTTTTTTGATTTAAACGCTATTGAGAAAAATGGAAAATTTGAAAGAACGTGACATTATGAAATGCTTGCAAAGATAAGGTAAGGGGGATAACATGATGAAAAAAAACAAAAGAAAAAAGGATTGTTGGACTGCACCATTTAAAATTAATTTAAAGACCTTTTTTCCGCAAAGAAATTCATGGCAAATGGAGGTTATGGTTCTGGATCTTCCACGATTCCTGGACCAAGAATTTTTCCAAAATAGTAAATGGTTTTCGAGAAATTCAGTTTTTTCTGAAACCATTCGGGGCGTCGTAATAATTAATGACGTCATCGCATCTTGATGTGGTCCATGACACTGTTTGAACCGATGAGCCGTATTTTTTACGGTTTTTGATTTGCGGTTAATAATTCACTCTGTAAAAGAACAATCTAGGCCTTTTAGATTTTTGCCTATAATTTGAAAACCCTGTATATAATCGAAAAGATGCCTGAAATCAGTTTTATTGCACTGGATCTTCCGGTTAAGGAATTTTGCCGATCGGGTGAACGATTATGGAGGAAAACATATTTTTCTGGAAACCAAAATTACCAAAAAAAAAAAATCAAAAATTATTTCAAAATACTCGGACTTTTACTTCTCTGCTAAATTTGAAGTTGATATCTGCAAATTTAGGACACCTAATACATTTCTTATTTAGCACGGAATATCGGCAACGCCCTGTACAATAGGTGAAAACCTTTAAAAAAAAGTTTTAGCTGTCTATGCGGGTGATATCGCAACGTAAAAGAAAGTGCCATCTGAATCATAGTCTCTCAGTTATATCAAATTTTCAATAAAAGGGGGGGCTCATTTTCCAGTTTTTTTGAATTTTTGACCCCCTGTATATTTTTGAAAAATTGTCAAGAATAAAAGTTTATGGAACCGTATCTTCTGCGCCTCCTGGTTAGTTAGTTAGTTAGTTAGTTTAGACTATAACATAAGAATCGTTTTGCTTCAAGCACACCATTAAAGGGATGTCCCGTATAATAACATAATATCGATCGGGAGGGGACATTTTCATTTTTAAATACGACGAGAAAAATGAACATCCCAAAAATTATAATATTAGGTTGCGGTTATATCCGGAAAAGGGACGTCGTAAATCTAATTTGCATAACCCAGATTAGTTTGCCGGTTTCCACTTTGCGTCCCCCGCCCCCCGTTTGAATAAAATTTTTCAATTATTCAGTGGCGAATTTCGAGGCAAATTGAATTTTTTATTCGGCAGCGTCTTCGCGACCTCCACCGACCTCCCGAGCGGCAAGATATCCCGTTTAATATCTAATACGGATTGTACATTTTTAACCCCTTTTTTTCGGATTTTTTACAGTACATTAATGTACATTCATTTTATTACGTGAAACGCGGGAATTTTCGATGGTAACGGCAACGACGCTAATCTCAAGATTTTGTAGTCTTTATTAAAATGTTTTATTTTTAATAATTCCAGAAGTTGTTTTTTCTTTAGTTTCTTTTTTTGAAGAAGTATTTGGAATTTTTCTAATTTGGGCTTAATGATACGAGGCATTATCCCCACTTGAATCTTTGACGTTTTTTTCAGACAAAAGTAGTGCATCTTCCACCCAACCATTTGGGTGGAAGAAATTGGGTGCCATCAAATTTTACGTTGAATTTCGCTGACCCAGAGAGCTTTTTATTCTTAGGTAATGTTTTGTTATATATTATTTTTATATTTTGTTACATATGTTAGAGTCACAATAGATCCTTTGGATAGCAGTCACGGACAGGCGGATGGCTGCCTCTTACAATCTGAATCAAATTATACTCTTACTTAGGTACTTCCTTGTCCTTAATTACCCGCCACTCTCACTCCTCCGTCTTAAGTATCCGGCTGCGCCAGACGTCTGACTTACCACCAAATTTAATTCGTTAATTAATTAATTTCGAACATTTGTTTTCCAGGCTGACCTGAAGCATCGCGGGCGCGGCTCCAAGCAGGTACGGCGCACGCGCAGCGACCTCGGCGGCCAGCGTCTGTTCGGCTGGGAACAGCGCCAGGCCACGCAGCGGCTGCTGCGCAAGATGGCTGCGCCGACGTCGTCGCCGGGACGCGGTCAGAGTCCGCGCAAGCGCCCCTCCGACGACCTGCGAGCCGACGACGACGTCGAGTTGCGTCGCGACGTCCCCGCCAGGCCGCCGGCGCTGCGACGCTCCCTCAGCCAACCTCTCGACATCGACAAGCTGTCGCCGCTCATGAGGCTGCGGTCGCCAGCAAGTAAGAGAGACAGTGAGAGAGAGAGAGGGGAAGAGGGAGAGAAAGGGGGACAAAGAGAGAAAGGGGTGGTGGGAGGGAGGGAGAGAAAGGGAGACAAAGAGAGAGAGGAGAGGGAGAAGGGGAAAGAGAAAGAGAGATAAGGGAGAGAAAGAGACAGAGAAGGAGGGGAAAGAAAAAGGGAGAGAAGATATATAAAAGGCAGAGAAGGGAGGAAAAGGGATAGAGAGAAGGAGAGAAAAAGAGATAGAAAGAAGGGAGAAAAAGAGATAGAGAGAAGGGTGAAAGAGAGGAGGGGGAGGGAGCGAACGCCACCGGATTAATGATAATATAATTTTTCGTTCGTCAGGTCTTCGAGGCGGCAACGCCGCCGTCCTCAGCGAGGACGAGGCGGACCGCGGCACCGTATGCGCCGCCAACACCTCCGACGAGGAGATCATGTCCGACTCGGAATCGTCCGTCACGTCTTTCACCGAACGACGCAAAAAATCGCTCGAACTGACGCGAGACGAGGACGTGGTCGTCCTTGCCGAGGCCGTGTTCGACCACGTGGCCATCGAGACCGACGAGTTGGCGTTCCGGGCGGGGGACGTCGTGGAAGTGGAGGAAACCGCCGACCGGGAATGGTGGTGGGGCTCGACGAGGGGCAAGTCGGGGTGAGTAGTGCTAAATCGAGCTCCGGTTCTTTCGCATCCGAAACGGGCCTCGTCATCTTTCTCCTTCCATAATCATCGCACGGGTTTTATATCATCTGTTCTTTATCAGAAGAGTCCCTAGATAGTCCACTCGCTGGTTATAACTAATGTTAACTATTATTTATGACCTTCCCCTCCAAGATTAAATAATTTGTCATCTTATATCATCAATCCGTCTTTTTTTATATCGTCTGTAGTCGCCCGTCCTCCATCTCTAAAAATAGCTCATCCTCCGCTCGTTAACTTTAGTCCGTCCTTTCTGAAGATAGACCATTCTATTGTATCCTTACCACTTCTTCCTTTCTGGATATAATCGATTTTCTTACATCGTCAATCCATCTTCTATTCTGAAGATAAATAGTCCACTCTCAGGTTATTAATTTTTTTTTTATATTGTTCATGATCTTCCCTTCCAAAGTTAAATAATTTATCCCCTTAACCACGTTTTTTTTTATCTCGTCTGTATAGTCCTCCTTCATCTCACAAAATAGTTCGTTAAGGTTAGTCCTTTTGCCTTTCCGAAAGTAGTTCATTCTTGGATGTAATCGATTTTATTACATCATCGGTCCATCTTCTTCTCTATTTTCTTATTGTTCTATACTCGCCTGTCCGCCCTTCTCTCAGAAAATAGTTCATTCTGCTCTGTAGGTAGTCAACTCCATAGTCATTACATTTTTTTGTGTATTGTTTATGATCTTCCCATCCAAAATGAAATAATTCATGTTCTTATATCGTCAAACCGCCTTTTTTTTTGTTCATCCTTCCGCTCATCGTCATCAGTTTAAATTGTTTGTCAGTTTTCCTCTATGAAACGTTATTCCTTCTTCCTTTGCGAAGATAGTTCAATCTATTATATCCTTAATACTTTTTCCATCTTTACATCGCCAGTCCATCTACTACTACCAATAGTCGAGTCTCTGGTCATTACAATTTTTTCATATCGTCTTCCTAAAATACTTCATCTTTTTATATTGTCAGGCATGCGTTTTTATATCGTCTTCTTTGAAAATGGTTCATTCTCTACTAATCCACAATATTTTCAATTTGTTGTCCGTCTTCATTTATGAAGATCAACCACCTCTTAAACTGTCGATTCGTCTTTATTTCCGAAGTTCATTCATTTGTATCTCGGATGGTAATAAATTATATCATCAGTGGAGCCCTCCGTTTCATTATTAAGTCCATCTTTCTCTACTTCATTTTTTTATATCTTCTACTTTCTTTGTAAACTTATAATCTTACATTCTGGGACCATTTTTTGCTCCATAATCTTAAACTCACCAGTCTTCATGTAGGAAGGCAGTACATTCCTTTGTATCTTTGGTGTATGCGTCTTCCGTTACAAAAATAGTATGTTACATTCGAAATGATTCATCCTTTGTTTGCCAACTGGTCATCCTTTGCTCTGGGATAATTTTTTTGGTTCTCATCAGTCTACCCTCTTTTAGTATGTATGTTGAACCCGTCTTCCTCTCTGCAGATAAACATTTGTCTTATATTATCAATCCATTTTCCTCGAAAAAGATAGTCTGCTATTTTATATCTTTATTGGTTTTCCATTTTTAAAGATATGTTTATAATCGAGATGACCATGTGCCATTATAGAATCAGAGAATGTTCTTATACCAAGACAGTACATTCTTTTGTATTTTTACACCCTCTTCCTCTCTGGAGATAATTATCTCTCCATTTTCGTCGACGAAGATTGTCTGTTATTTAATATCTTTATTGCGTTTTCATTTTTTAAGATATGTTTATAAACTAGGTGACGAATCGTGTGTTTGCCAAGTGCCATTATAGAATCGGTGAATCTTCTTATACCAATACCATTCTTTTGGATCTTTAGGCCGCTTTCCTTTTTGGAGATATTCATCTCTCGATTTTCCTCGACGAAGATTGTCTGTATTTGATATCTTTATTGCGTTTTCACTTTTTAAGATATGTTTATAATCTAGGTGACGAATCGTGTGTTTGCTAAGTGCCATTATAGAATCGGTGAATCTTCTTATACCAATACAGTACATTCTTTTGGATCTGTAGACCGTCTTCCTTTTTGGACAAAATCATCTCTCGATTTTTTGATATCTTTAATGCGTTTTCATTTTTTTAAGATGTTTATAATCTGACGAATCGTGTGTTTACCAAGTGCCATTGTAGAATCGACGAATCTTATTATACCAATATGGTACATTCTTTTGTGTCTTTAGTCCTCTGGAGTTAATCATCTCCCAATTTTTCTTTATTGCGTTTTCATTTTTCAATGTATATTCATAATCGAGATGACCCATTCTATGTTTGCCACGTGCCATTACAGAATGTTCCTCATCAGTCTGTCTTCTTATACCAAGACAGTACGTCCTTTCGTATATAGTCGAAAATAGTCGGTTCTTTTATATCTTTATTCCGTCTTCTTTTTTGAAGATATATTTAGCTCTACCGTCAGGTGGTTTCAATTCCGATTTCAGATGGTTTCCCGCTCAGTTCGTGAGGCTGCGCGTCAGCCAAGAGGATACAGTGGAAGATTGTCTGGCGGCCATCGCGTCCGGTCGTTCAGTCTCCTCCCACATCAGACGTAGGACGAGCATATCGTTGTTATCGAACGACCAAGTGCGCACGAGCGTGGTACGCGAACTGATACACACCGAACGCGATTTCGTCAAAGTGCTACGCGACGTCGTCGAGGGTTACATATCGGAGTGTCGCAAACGCAAGGACATGTTCACCGCGGACCAAATCGACACCATCTTCATCAACCTGGAGGGCATCCTCGAGTTTCAGGCTGGTTTCCTCCGCGACCTCGAGAACTGCGTCGACTGGGACTCCCCGCACAAGAGCTGCGTCGGCGCGTGCTTCCTGAAGCACAGCGCAGGCTTCAAGATGTACTCCGACTACTGCAATAGGTGAGTAGAAACGCATTTTAGAGACGGCATCGCATTTCTTGACATCTAGGAAGAATCCATTTAAGATTCCCCCACCACCAGTGGGCTGAGGTTCAATATTTAAAGTCAAGTCAAGTAATTCCCCAGGTATTCCACGGTTTCCATACTTTTCACGTAACTGACCATTAACTTTATTTGGAATTATTTAAAAAAGTTCCCTGCAGACTCACTCAACGATATGATAACAGAGAAAGAAAGAAAAAACTAACCATAATTCAATGAAATCAACGACATGATAAGGTGCTGAAGTTTCCACAGATCAGAGCCCAGTTCTATGCAATTTTGAGGTTAAATTATAAAATTAAAAGGGAAAAAGCACTGAAATAACAGAATAGATATTAAACAACTAGATCGCGTCCTTGTCAAACAGCAACTAGAAGAATCTTTGACCAAATAAATTAGAAAAATTGGTAAGACCACCACTCATGACCAAGGCAGGTGGGATAAATTTAAAAAGACTATTCAGACAACAGGCACAATTGTATGGTCAGTTCGTCTTCCTCTCAGAATATAATCAAATGTCATATCATCATTCCATCTTTCTATACGAAAGTTATTTCATATCTTTATTCAGTTCTCCTTTTTCAAGATATTATACTTTCTGAGGACCTCAGATAGAGGTGATCGATCCTTTATTTCTCAACTGGTCCACGCTCTTAAACTGTCAGTTCGTCTTCTTTCAGGAAGACAGTTCATTCTTTTGTACCTTCAATCCGATCCCTCCTCTCTGGGGATAATTAATCCATCTTCCTCAACGAATTTATTCTGTTCTTTCATCTCTCTTTCTTTTGTAGAAATTGTATCTCGTATGACTTCGAATGGAGATTATCCATCTTTTTTGTCGACGCTCTTCTTTCAAAAAGACAATTCATTCTTTCATCAATCCAGATAGTCTATTCTTTGATATCTTTATTCAAAAGATACTATATTTTCCGACATATAAAGGTTTTCTTTATTTGTCACCTGGTAGTCCTCCATTCTAAGGCTATTTGTTCTATCCACGCTCTTAAATCGCCAGTTAATTTACGGGGACACTTCTTTTGTATCTTCAGTCCGTTCTCTCTGGAGATAATCAATATCAAAATAATAATCAAATATCAAATTTGACATATAACAACTAGATGACGCCATTGTCAAACAGCGTCCAGAAGAATTTTTGGTTAAGGAAATTATAGAAATTGATAAGACCACAACTTCTGAACAAGACGTGGGAAATTAAAAAAAAAAAACACATTCTAGCACTGTTTCTGCTTTTGTGTCTTCAATCCTCTCTGAGGATAATTACTATTCCTCATAGAATATAGTCTGTTCTTTCATATATTTATTCCATTTTCCTTCTTGAAGACATTATATTTCGTTCTTTTGTATTTTCAATCTGTCTTCCTCTTTAGAGATACTCATTTCTCTTATATCATCAGTCCACCTTCCTATACAAAGATTCTTTCATATCTTTATTCCGAACATACTATATTTTCTTACATGAAGGTTAGAATATTAAAAGTAAGCAAAGCGGAAGATTCGACAGACAACATCTATATCGCACCTTTATCTATTATTCTTGCCTTGCCCTTGTTTTATTCAAACACAATGTGCTCCTAGTCACACACTACAATTCGGTAGGTCAATAAAAATGGTTAAGAGATAGAAATCCACTGGGTATTTATTGACTGGAAATGAGTTAACCTCTAGCTAAAGAGGATAGAAACTAGTGGCCCCAGATTAGAACCCTGAGGAACCCCAGAAGTCCATGTAAGCGATTCAGAAGCTCTCAGTTAAGTAAAATTTATTTTCTCTTATGATACCACACCGGTTATTTTTTCTTCCTGTTGTTTTTTGGATACATTTCATATATTTCGTTTGACGATATTGTACTGATCCGTACGTAGCAATCGGAAAATAATTTTTATCGGAAAATCGTTTCGTTCGTGTGGTCAGTCATCCGATGGCGACCGCCGCACTCCAGGAGCTCTACCAGTACAACAACTACAGCAAGTTCTTCGAGGCGTGCCGCCTAATGCGAGGGCTGATCGAGATCCCGTTGGACGGGTACCTGCTGACTCCCGTCCAGCGGATCTGCAAGTATCCCCTGCAGCTAGCGGAACTGCTCAAGTACACCAGGCTCGATCATCCGGACCACGCGAGCATTAAAGAGGCGCTGGACGCGATGCGCGGCGTCGCGACGCTGATCAACGAGCGCAAACGACGCATGGAAAGTCTCGAGAAGTTGGCAGCTTGGCAGCGCCGAGTAGAAAGTTGGGAGGTGAGTACGAACTGTGACACAAACTAGTGATTTTAAGGAATCTGATCCGTCAGCGGAACTTTCATCACCTTTTTTTTTTGGTCTACATCAATTCTTCAAAAATGTTTGGCTTGATTATGACGACCCGATGTTTAATGACGCAATTAGCAGAGTTAATGGTTATATTAGCTTCTGCGCGCGTTTCAAGGACAACCGAGCATTAACCAAAGATAAAAAGGGACACTCTCTGTTTTCGCTCTCTCACGCACTCTTTCTGTCTCTCACCGGAGTAACGGTTGATCGTTTCAGGGCGAGGATTTGATCGATTCGAGCACGCAGCTAATCCACCAGGGCGAGGTGATCAGGGTAACGACCGGCATGTGGACCAATAATATCACCTTGTTTCTGTTCGACCACCAAATCATCTATTGTAAAAAGGATATTCTTAAGCGAAACACCTATGTATATAAAGGACGGATATGTTTGGACGTTAGCGAAGTGATCGACGTGGCCGACGGCAAAGGTGACGTCATCGATCCTCTCGCCGTAACGGCCGACGTTTTAATTAAAAACGATTGCAGATTGCAACCTTGGCGTGACCGTACGTCACGCGATCAAACTGCTCAACGTCGCCCGGGACAAGTGGCTGATGTTCTGCTGCCGTTCCGCGAAAGACAAGCAACGTTGGCTGGAGGCCTTTGCCGAGGAGCGACGATTGGTGGACCGGGACAAGAACGACGGCTTCGCGTTCCCGTTGGCTGCCAGGCAACTCGCTCGGGTGGCGGCCAGGTGCCAGAAAAGGCCGCCGCGCAAACTCAGAAGTGAGTATACTACGAGATATACGGAGTGTTATCGAAACGAAGTCCTACAATAAGAACACGGTTCTGATGCCGAATTCGGATAAAAAACAAGACTGCACCCTGCGCAGTCGCCCGTATGAGTAGGACGAATCTGGTTTTAGTTAGTAGGGTTTAGGGTTTTTATCAGTGGGCAGCGTTCTTTTAAAGGTTCTAAAAATGTAGCTGACTCGGAAATATACAGGGTGTCGCGTTTATGGGCAAAAAACAAATCGTTGCAAACGGCAAACAGTCCATATTGCACATTTGTGCTATTTACTTTATTTAGTAGAATTTGTTAATCCTTCGGCGTGCTCATTTCACGAGTAAAGATTAAAAACATTGGCGGTAACACGCACAACTGCCCGACGGCTGTGCTCTACTACGCTGACGTCACATGCCAGTAAACAAATATCGTTGACTCGAACGTAGGCTGAAGAAAACCATTTTTTTTTTTAGACGTCAAAGGATACAAGCACGACCCGGGCTACGTGGGCTCGTCTTCGATGCTTCAATTGAACACGGGCCACCAGTCGCAGTCCCTACTGGGACGCAAGGTGGGTACGTGGTTCACGTTCGGGGCGGGGAAGAAGGCGCGGCAGCCGGAAGTGACGTCGTGAGTGTGCCAAAATCGGAATGAGAGACTGAATACGTTAGTTCTCGACCGTCGTTCCCTATATTTACGATAATTACTACCAGAATAATAATAATAATAATATTAATAGTAATAATAAGTGTCGTGTTGTGAGCAACGAAGTTGCGGAAAAATCGGGGCGGTTCTACTCACTTCCCATCCCTTGTTTGCACGTGCCACAACTGACGCCTTCGGTCCCAGTCCCCACCCCCTATCTTCTTCTTCTTCTTTTTGAGGGAAAAAGAAGAACAGCGCGTGTCAATTCTCTTGCCAAGGTTCGTGAGAACGTAACATATCAATTTTTGGCGTCGCGCGGACCTTTTGCCCCGGTTTTCCCGTCGCAGGAAAACGCGCCAAAGGCCCCGACGACGTCACCACATTAGCTCCTCCCCCCCCCCCAACCCGACCTGCCACGCCCTGACGCTAAGGCATCCTATACGCGAATGGACGAAACCGAATATTTTGCCTCCGCTTTTGAAATGATTTTATTTTAAGAAAAACCACGTCACAATGGCGATTTTGCGATAAAAGTCTATACCGGGTGTTCGTTAAAAAAGCGAACTCGATTTTAGTAAAAAAAAAATCCAGAGAAGATTTGGTGGCTGTTTTCTTCAGTTTTCTTTCTTCAAAAAATTCATGAATAAGCCTCATTAGCCAGGTAAAAAATATCTAATTTTTCGGGAAGATTTTTGACGAAATGGGGAGTCCTGTGAACCTCATCAGCGGGTCTACAGTATGTTGACCTTCATTAAAATTAGAACCAGCCAAAAACAAATGGCGTTAACGCACAACTTCTAAAAAAAATCAATTTTTGAGAAAAAATGGCCCCTTAAATTTCTTCACTAAGTTTGGGCTATGTTGGACCTAGTGACCTTTCGATATTAAAATTAGAAGCAACTAATAAAATGACTTCGGCGTCGACAAACAACTTGTAAAGAAAATGGCGTGCATAAAGGTTTTAATGAAATTGAAAAATATATCGCTTTAACAAGTTTTACTCTTTAAGTTTCTCGAGGCTCAGGAAATGTTCGACCTTCGTCCATTCGGATGCCGATCGCATATTCCGCAACTTCTTCTTTATATCTTGTAAATTACCGTTAGAAAGCGACTTTCGAACAGATGCAATACTTGACGTTTAAAGTGATATTGGCTACTGCCGACCTTGTGCTGTGCAAAAACAATTAGGAGCAGTAGGCCTAAGTGTATATATACTACGTAACGATTAAGGCCTCTACGTCCCCGATTACACTCGTTTTCCCTCTAATTCTCCTTTAAAAAACACGAGGTGTCGATAGACCAACAGAGCGCCATTTTGTCGTACCGCGAAAATCTGAATCTGGTTCAACTGTGTCATGGCAATGGTTTTAAATTTACCGGGCCAATTGAACTACTGTTCTGAATATTAATCCCGTACCCGTGGCTGCAATTTGCTGTTGAATTTAACGGGCCAGTTGGGGATTCGGATTTGCTTCGACCGGGACATTTGAACTACAGTCGCAGTCGCATACTTTATTTACCAAACTGTGATGTCCCATTTATAGCGGCAATAATTTCAAGATTTGGGTGTAATTTTGGTAACCTTATTGTCATATCTACGGTTATAATTCTGTTTTGAATTTACCGGACCAGTTGAACTACTCTTCTGAAGGCTAATCCGAGTAAACCTTAATCTCGAACCTACGATTGTAGTTCCGCTTTGAATTTGCTAATTTCAACAAATCATAAGGCCATAATTCTCTTTTTAATTGATCTAGAAACATATTAACTTTCTTCAATAGGATCGGGCCCTTTCTGCGTTTGCTTTTGGCGCTCTATCCAATAATAAATGTTAATTTTATGTCGATTATGTCGGGATTCAGATTTTCTTCGACCGGGCCATTTGAACTACAGTCGCAGTTGCACCGCGTCACAATTGTCAATCGACTTCGAGCATACTTCATTAACCAAATTGTGACGTGTTTTATGATTTGGAGTTAACCTTAATTCACCTTATTTTCATATCTGCGGTTATAATTATCTTTTGAATTTACCGGGTCAATTGAACTACTCTTCCGAAAACTAATTTCAATAGAAACATAGTTACTTTCCTCAATAGGATCCGCCCATTAATGTTCCTTTTATGTCGATTACATCGGGACTGGGGTTTTCTTCATCCAGGTCATTTGAACCACAGAACTACTTTTCCGAGGATTAATTTCAGTCGATACTATTGCCGTATCTGCGGTTCTAATCCTGTCTTGGAATTGAATGAGTTGCTAAAAACTATTTAAGTAAATCTAAATGCGGTAACTACGATAGGTAGGAATTCCCATTTGAATTTACAGAACCAGTTGAACTACCGCTCCAAAAAGGCAAACTCCGTGACGACCTGGAAACATATTTACTTTCTTCGTTGGGATACGCCCCATATTTGTTCATTTTATGTCGATTTAAGTATTCCTCGGTCGGGCCATTTGAACTACAATAACAATTCAACAGCGTTCCACCAGCCACTTTTCTTTTCAATTCTTTTTTTTAATTCACCGGGTCAAATGAACTACCCTTCCGAAGGTGACAACATTTATCTAAGCCACATATTTATTTCTTCGATAGGGCCCGCCGATTATTCGTTTGTCTTGGGCGGTCCGACCAACAACAGCTTCTATTCGGCCGGGTCATTTGAACTACCGTCTCCAGATTCAGATTTTCGATGTTCTCGGCCGTTCAATTTTCTACACTGTATTTTCCGTACACCGTCGTGTATTACACATATACTGTAGCGGTTTTAACGTGGACTCGACATGACGCACAAAACTTTTACATTCGTCGTAACTGTATCGCACAGGGTATTTTAGGCACGAAATATTATTACCGATCGGTAGGGTCGACGGCGAAACGTACACGAGGGGTTTTAAACACATTTTAACATAGTTAGGACCAAATACTACGAAGTACGCCGCGAAATTACAAAAAAAAAAGATTATTAAATAAATATAATAACACCCCGTACCTGTGCATTTCTGAACTCGCGCTTATAGGAAGTCCCGTAAATAGTGCCGCCGTTTTTTTTTACGCACCCTGTAGATTTCGATGACGCGGCGATTGTCGTTTTACGCGTTTTAAACCGCGCATTTGGTTTTATCAAGTTGGTAACTCGATTGGATACGAGTGCTGCGAAGATTTACCTTCCCTGCCGCTGCTTCTAGAATAGAATGTGTCGTAGTAAAAATTCTAACCTGAAATTCGTGAAAAACGACTCTCGTCCTCACTGAAACACAAGCGGGCGCAAAATAGCAATAAAAAAAATACCCGCGCACCATTGTACGCGTCTGACGACGAAAACGTTTCGCTATATCGTTATAGACTGAAAAAACCGCATGGGAAACCAAAAACCGTAGTGGCTATGTCCGACTTGACGGGATGTTTGTAGAGACAACTAGATGTTTTGTATATAGTAACGTATAGGTGGCACAATATTAACGTGCTTTGTTATAATCCTATTAGATATATATTTATTAGACAGTTATTGTATTGTTAAACACACACTTTTTCATTGAATGTACGTGTTCAACTATGTGAATGTATAATAAATATTTTCTACCTAAAACGTAATTTATTTGGTCCTTACCCACAGCAAAACTAGCACACACAAATTAATTTTATTCACAACTTAAAAACGTTAAATATCAATAAGCCGTGCATCCATAAAAACAAAAGTAATGGATAAAATGCACCAAAAAAACCTCCGCAATACTTGTACCATGAAATTTTAACTGTGATTGCCAAATGACATTCAGCTACGCAGTGTTGCCGGACTGCCATATTTATTCGAGTTAGCCAGGAAACTAGAAAAAATAGCAGTTTCGTGAAAAATTCCGACTTCTCCTAACCAAAAAAAAAATGGCAATGATTTCAAAATGCGAAGTAAACGCGTGAGCCGAAAATACTGGATCAAAAATGTTAGACAGATACTTATGTACCAGCAGGGATGAAAAGGCGAGTTTTTTAGTGGTAGTTTTATTTAATCATTGGAACAATATTCAAAATTATCATGAAAAAATTTTTACAATTAACAGAGTAATTGGAAAATAAATTTTGTAAATTCTCAATACACAACATAGTATTTGTCATTTGTCAAAATAACAGAAAACAAGATAAGCTTGCGCTCAAAAATATTCGGCAACGAGCGAGGGAAATCTCTATGAAGAACCACTTTGGTATCTATGATTCAATGCACTAAATGCGAACGTACACTGCAGGATTACTCAAAAATATGTAATGTTTTTAACCTTATTTTTGTAATTAAGTTTTAAACGACTTATTTTTTGAAACATGCAGTCGCAATTTGTTTATCACTTGGAGATTTACTTGAGAAATTCTACCTTTTCCCGTGACACTTCTTCCGTACGTTGTACAAGAAACGACTACGAAAAGAATTCGATTTTTTTCAAGAAGAGCGGCGGCGTCAAAATGGAGAAAAACAATTGAATGATCTAATCAAAAGTTCACGGAAAGGTAGAGATCGCCACTTCTTTCTCTATTTTTAGCCACCGTAAAGTCAATAGTTCACTGTGCGAAGATTTATTGGGCTTCTGTGCTACTTTCTGTTCACGTTTAACCCATACCCATTTTTTTGCATTTTCTAACGTTCGGATTTTTTACAGCATTTAAGTAAGTACGTGCATTAAGTCATCTACACCTGTGTTTGCGGAGGAAATAAATTATTATATCCGCGGTGAAAACATTTCTGCATAAAGTTTTGCTATTTATTTGAAACCTGCGAACACCAAAAACCATAAACTTGCTGGAAATAATTACATCTATTCCTCCCTCTAATCGGCAATGGGGAAGTTAATGAGGGCCGTTGGAACAAATACCACGGAAGGAACGGATAATCAAACGAGTCACGGACCACGAGCGTACGACCTTACCACTGCGTATACAATGCGCGAGCTTTCAATGACAGGGACCGCAAAATTTACGTTTTGGGTTTGATATCGGAATCGTTTTTCGAAGCCCGCGGGACGTTGTAAAATATCGGTTGACGGTGTGATGCCGCGCGACGAAGAACGGAAATGTGCGGGGCCCGACTCGACCATTTTTAATTGCCCCGGATGATTAAGTCTAGTGCATTTTTCGTTCGTCAGCGAAACGACTCGACGCAATGGCGTCGGAGAACGAATATTGTTGCGAAGACGACCCGAATTTCGCCGTCGTTTGTGCCTTTTTGGAGAAATTCGGCTCGCAGATCGGAGTCGGCGACGTCGATTTCGTCGAGCTGCAGCGGATGCTCGAGAACGTCGTCGAAGGCAAGAATTTTAGTGAACGCGCCCGTTTTTCCCGTGACCCTGGCTCTATTTCGTATTGTTTCTCGAAAATTTCACCGTAATCCGGCACGATGTTTGTTAGTTAAAGGCGTTCGCGCTTGGGAAGCGCGTTTTCTTGCGAAAACGAACGAGAATTTTCAGTTGTTGCATGTTTACGGCATCCCGTGCCACCAACAAATGTAGTCCCGAAAGGGTTTCTCACTTTTTGGAGGTTATGTTGATGTTAAAGTTAAAAAAATTAGGTGGCGCTTAAGTCTTGAAACGTGGGAGTGTTTTTTGCTTATTCCATGTACAATGCACGGTCAAAATATTTACAAATACATGTGAAAATCAGGTGTTGACAATATGCCAAATTTTGTGGTTTTCAAGTGTTTAATCTTGTGTTCTCATTAGTTTTTGAAGAAGCAGGCCTTAGAGGATTTTTTACATATCATATTTCTATAAATTTTCTGTCAATTTTAGTTACTGTGGATCTTGCAATGTATCTTTCTGGATATCCTGCGTTAAACAAATTACAAACTTTTTCTTGAGGTCTTAAAATTTCTATTCTCTGAGTTTCATGTAGATGCGCCTATCCACTTTCTTTATTTAAGAACGTTACTGGTACTAGCTACTTGCCTGTTAATTTCAAAATTAAATTTGTGTTTTTTATTTTCTTGTTCATAATGAGATGGGCTATTACTACGTGAATTATGTCTGTAATTTGACACGGAATACGAAAATGGATTTTAAACTTAGTATCGACATCTACGTTTTGAGCCACCCCGTATACTTTCTGGACGTTTTCGACCATTTTTTTTTTTTTTGAAACCCAATATCTAATTTTTGAATAAAGTTGTTCTATTTTTTATCCGTTGACTGTATATAAGTTACGGCTAATTTGGTTACTCCGCTACAGCCGATTCCCTCAAAAAGTTGCATTGATCAATGTGCAGATTTGTCATTATCGCTTTTGTATTGACTAGATATTTTAGATTGTTCGTAATACTATCCCAGTTGATTAAAATTGTTCAAACAGAAACATTACCACCCATTTCTAGCTTCTTTACATTACAGTAATTGCATAATGGTTTTATAAAAAAAAAAACGTATTAATGAAGTATTTAAAGTTGCACTGGACTACACGTTAACCTAACCTAACGTTAACGTAGTGTACCGACCTTTACTTTACAGGTTCTTTCCTGTAAAAAGATTTTTTATATAAAAGTAATTTTTGGGAATAATAATTATTATATATAAGCTCTTGATTTTAGTTCATTAACTTCAAATACCTGGGCATGAATATTATGAAAGACAATGACGTCATAATAAGAGGATCCAAACTGCAAATGGATGCCTAGTTTCTCTTCAGGGTTTAATGACACCAAAGGTGCATTGGCTGTAACTTTTTGGTTTTTGGAGATGTCAAGGAAAACAAAAAAAAATGTATGGTTAGTAGCCAAGCGTTTTTCCAAGTGACACTTAAAACAAAACGCTATAAATTTTCTGACCTATAAGCCCACATCATATAATTTTTTAAATGTGTTTAATAGAATCCTTGTTCCGATTACACTTTATATTTTAAAATTTTTAAAAATTTAAAAAAATTTAAAATATTTTAGTCCACTCATTTTTGACAAATCGGCAAAAATAGGAAATTTTTATATAATATTAACTGGTATATATTAAAATCAACTAAGTTAATGCAGTAAAGCAAGAGCTATTACATAATAATAATAATTATTTAAAAAAATTCTTTTTACATAAAAAATCTTCCTACAGGAAAGAACCTGTAGGCCTAAATATTGCCCATACATAGGTTGGCCCTAAAATAACTTGTAACTATTTGCTATTCTTTGCGAGTTGCACCTAGCCTAGTTATCGATATTTTGACTTTTATTTTTACATTTTATTTAGTCCATTGTAACACTTCTAATTTTTTCTTTAGCATTTTTTCAAGCACTTTTTTGTCGAAAATCCTATTTTATGTTATATAATTTATTATATAAGTTATATAAGTTTTTCCTAGATATTTACCACTGGTAACTCTTCAGATTCACACAGAGTCTCTATAGTGTCCAAAAGAGATAAAAACAGACTTGTCTGTGTTCAGTACTAGTTTGTTTTGTTATAACCAGTAGTATATAATATCCAGAGTAAATGGCATGGCTATTAAAAGTTCAGGTCATGGTCTTGCTTTCACTGGAACTGCAGTATCATCGGCATACACTATTACGGTATCTTGCAAAACCAGATGAACAATATTATTCCAAGTTTTGAGCCTTGAGGCACTTGAACATTTGTTTTACTTGCCGACTTTAAACGGCGTATATGTTTCAGATGACTTGCACCTCTTATTCTGCAATTTGGACACTAACGTGATCAACTGTATCAAAAGCTTTTGTGTAGTCTAAAAAATTCACAACTGTTGGTAGACTAAGACTTCATTTTGAGGAAACCAAATTGTCTTAAACTTAATATGTCGTGTTTATTAAGGAAGTTAAATAACCTGACCTTATTACGTTGATTTGGAGGTGCTAGCTTCTATACTCCCTTTCAGTTCCTAAATATCTAGCCGAACTGCACCTGAAACTACTGAGAAAGATAAAAAAGACTGTCCACATCGACCGTTGGGAGAAGACCCTCGTCAAGGTGTGCCACTTGTTCAGCAGCCAGGACGCTTGGGAGGTGGAGAGGTTCGGCTACAAGAAGGCGAAACTGGCCTCCAAGGTGCGCATCCTAAAGGAACTGCTCGAGATGCAGTTCGATTACAACCAAAAGTTCAAGGCGGAAGTGAACAAACTCGATTCGGACGCGTTGCGTTCGAAACCGCTGGGCAGGGACAAGTCCGGACACGCGTACTGGTGCCAGACCGACGAGAACTACCAAATACGCGTGTTCAAGGAGGACCTCGACGACGAGAAATGGACGCTCGTCGCAAAGTGAGTTTAAACCGTAACTATGGGTCTTCAGAGCGTTCTTCCTCTTCTTTCTTTCTGTGGGCATCCACTTCATTACTGATTTCTCATACGTTCGTGTCTTGAGTTGTCGGTAGATCTCCAATATATATCTCATCATATATTTTTGAAATTGCTTCTTGTTTCAAGTAAACCAGTGATGTGGCGCATTTGCTGAGTGCTCTGCAAAAACATCAGCAGCACGTTTTCACACATTCACTTCTCTATTTAGCAGTGCTGTCATCCTTATTTCTTATATTTACAAAGAGGCTTATTCAAATATACATTCCCAAGTGGTTCTTTTTCATAATGTATTTCTGAAATTTTTTTTCAAGAAGTGTTTTTTTTTGCAATTGGAATAAGATTTGGATATTGTTGATTGTCGTCACTACACTAAGCCAACTACGCGGGACCTTTCACAATACCTCTCTTACAGTAGAAAAAGTGTCTCTAAAAAGAAACAAAAAGCTCCCATTCGTTGCTTCTCTTCCGCAAACGATTTGTAAACTACTCGCGATCCATCCTCAGGGACAGGGCGGGCTTGGTCTCCTTAATAAACGCCCTCAGCGACGGCGACGCGAAAATCAGCTCCGATTCCGCCGGCAACGAGGATAGCAACAGCCTCTCCGAGAAGCCAATCATCGACACCGGTCAGCAGGACTCGGAGTCGAAGAAAACGACGCCCGCCGATAGCGGCGAAGAATCGAACCAGACCAAGGAGGAGGACGGGGAACCCAAGAGTACTTTCGACGAGAACGAGCTCGTCTCCAAATACAAAATCAAAAATCTCGACGTCGTCGTATCGGACATAGTGAAAGTTAGTGAAGTGATAGTAGAACCGGTGGTTACTGTGGAGGGGGAGGGCTCGGGAATCGACAATCAGTGTCCGTTTGTGGTGGGGGACGTCGTGGAGGAGGAAGTCATGTACTTTAGCGGTCGCGGCAGCGGAAACGAGTGTCTGACGGGGAACGAGACCGAAGGAACCGCCTCCGCGCCTCAAATCAACAGTATTAGCCCTCCGAAGGAGTGCAACGGACCCACCGAGGAAGCTCCCGCGGATAAAGACGAGATCACGAAGAAGTGCGCGGAAGAAGAAAAAGAGACGAACAAGACTGACGTTGCCAAACCCGAAGAGAAACCTTCGTCGGAAGAAGAAACGAATAGGCCAGCGGAAGAGCCGATCTGCGTTAAGAAAACCGCCTACGTGTGCGGCGATGGCGACGACGCCGTTAATAAAACGGAAGATAAGAAGATCGAAGAGATTGGGGAAAACGAGCTGAAAACCAAAGAAGAAGCAAAGGTGGAAAAGGAGGAAGCCGACGAAGAGGTAGAAGAAGATAGAGAAAAGGCGACGCAAGAAGTTTCTGACGACAGAAAGACGACCTCTACGAAGGAGGAGGAGGAGGAGGAGGAGAAGGAGAGTAACGCGAAAGGTTAGTTAAAAGATCTAAAGGGTTCTTGGTTTCATGTAAAACTAACCAAAGTGTTAATTTTTCAAAGACACTTGGACACTATTTACAAAGCTTCGAGATTGGTTGTTCATAAACCATCCTGTTGGTTTCTTCGGGGCGTAACCTAACAATGATTTTCAGTAGGGGAAATCAGTAGATATATTCAGACCTGCAAACTACACTGACATGAAATTCAAAATTTCTCGGAAACGATAAGATTATTGATATAGAAAATATGATATATGAAATAAAAAAACGTATCCACTGTTTAAAAGTCCATAACTTGCGAACAAATTGACGGGAGTTGCCCCATTTTGGGTGAAAGTGTATCATAAAGTCCAACTTCACTTTTACCTGTGGAGAACACTATTATGGTTTGTGCGCGGATGTTAACACCTACAGTGATATCTTTAAGTTAGATTATGGGAAACCCACTTAGTCCTTTGTTAGCCGAGATTTTTATGGATAATTTTTGAAAATATCATACAAGAATATCCTTCAAGTAAAAGTTTTCTATGGTGGTATAGATACGTGGATGATGTCTTTGCTTGCTTTGTTGGAACGGACATTAAATTACATTAACTCATTACATAATCGTATAAAATTTACTATCGAGATTGAACAGGATAACTCTATTAATTTTCTGGACTTAACTATTACGAACACGCAAAACAAATTAGATTTTTCCATTTACCATAAACGTTCACACACGCACACAGTCATACATAACAACTCAAATCACCCTTATACACACAAAATGGCTGCATGTCACTCTTTTATACACACACTTTTTAATAGGCCACTCTCAACAGAAAATTACAACATAATATCATTAAACAAATCCAGACAACAGTAAAACTCTGTATCCGAAACTTAACACAGAACAAGAAGAATTTAAAACAAGCATATGTATAGGAGAACCCAGAGAAAAAGTTTCTAAACATTTGTCAAAATGTGGCTTAAAAATAGCTTTCAGAACTAACAATACAATAGGAAAATTTTTAAAAAACAATAAAACGAAGTGTCCAAAATCTCAAAAATCAGGTGTCTACAGATTGAAGTACGGATCATGTCCTAAAATTTATATTGGACAAACAGGTAGATCCGCATTAACGAACATAAAAGAGCATTTCTAATTATGCTACATATTTAAACACGGAAAAACACACTTTTGACGACAATTTTCATAATTTACATACAGCCACAAAAAGTATAAAATTAAATTTATTGGAAGCCATGGAGTTTAACAAAATGACACATTGGTTACCGATCAATTAGATTTAAATACCTCGCCATTATTAAAGTTAAATTCTCACAACAGCATTAATTAAGATTTTATTGTGTCATTGTTCGGTATATATAGTAGCAGGTAGTTTGTAAATATTATGTAAAGGGTTGGGGGAAGATGGTTGTAAATCACCCTCAAAACAAACGGGAAAGAGCGGCAAGAAAACGGTAGGCCATACAACACCCGAAACGGTTAATCACCCACCTTGATGGTTTCCCGGCCGGGCTTCTTAGGAGTATTTTCTGGAGGGTTGGGGTTGGTAACGAATTCTTTTTTGTCGGGTAGCTTTCGCTGAAAGACATTGAAACATTATACCTAGTGTATGCCGCCTTGGTCGGCTTGACCCACAATATCCAAACACAGCGTCACGTATCTCGCGATAATTTAACCGTCACATTCCGTTCCCAAGCGAAATTTAGACATTTCTTAACTGACATGTCACAGACTACAGAGCGGACCGCGCGTCACAGACCGTGCGACGTTCACAGACCACAAGACTGACCGAACGCGTATATGTTGGTGGAAGGAGATGTTTACGCGTGACGCACATGCTTGCCATTTGTCAAGGGAAGAAAGCGATATACGTGGTGTTAATTAACTTCGTTGCTCGATTTTATCGCGCATGTAACCTTTGCGTTGTATTTAAAAGAGGAAAACGAGTCGCCGCCCCCAGTCGAAAACGTCGAACCGGCGGCGGGCGACATCGACGAGGCCGCAGAGGCGGTGCAGGAAGAAAAGGATCCGTTGGCAGTTTCCGAAGCGGAGGAGGCGGCGAAACAGCCGCCGCCCGTCAATTTGACTTCGTTCTCGCTCGATTTTGACGAAAACGCGCCGGCGCCGCCCATCCCGGTCGCCCCCACCGGCATGAGAAATTTTCGGAAACGAGGTTGGTAGTCCTCGGAGGCGCGGATAATAATAACGTCTCTATTTCTTTACACAGTGAACATGTACGAGGGTCGTTCGTTAAATCCTCAGCGAAACGTAGAAAGAAACTCTGGAGTCCCGTTTTGGTCTTCAATAGAAACTTGATAACTACTTTTAGCAATTTCGAAGGATTTATCAAAAGATCCTCGTATAATAATTTACAATTTACAATTTACAAAATTTCCGCACTTTAGGTATGTAGGTTATATATTTTTTAATAAGTTAATTTTTCAGAGGAACTAGAGACAAAAATGTAGTTTCCATACCAAGATGACTATTTTTAGCAACTTTTAAGGACTTATCAAAAAGCCCTCGTATAATAAATAGTTTACAAAATTTTCCACACTTTGAACATATAGGGTATATATTTTTTTAAATAATTTAATTTAACATTAGAGAGCAGAGACAAAAAATTATTTTCCACAATACTACGGCTATTTTTAGCAATTTTTAAGGAATTACCAAACAATAATAATAAATAATAAATAAACTAACCAAAACTAGACACAAAAATTTATTTTTCACAATTCGATGGCTATTTTTATCAATCTTAAGGGACTTATAAAAAAACTTCGTATAATAATTTATAAAATTTCCAGACCAGAGACAAAAATTTATTTTCCATACCATGATGGGTACTTTTAACAATCTTAACAACTTATCAAAAAGCCTCGTATGGTAAATAATTTTCAAAATTTTGCGCACTTTAGACATATAGGAAATATATTTTTTTAAATAATTTAATTTTTTAATATTAGAGACTAGAGACATAAATTTATTTTCCACAATACTATGCCTACTTTTAGTAATCTTAAAAGCCCTCGTACAATAATTTATAAAATTTTCGCACTTTAAGAATATAGGAAATATATTTTTTTTAATAATTTAATTTTTCAACATTAGAGACTAGAGACAAAAATTTATTGTCCATACCATGATGGCTATTTTTAGCAATTTTTTTAAAAAAACTTCGTATAATAAATAATTTATAAAATTTTGCGCACTTTAGACATGTAGGATATATATTTTTTAATTGTTTAACATTTGAAACTGGAGACACATTAGTGGCTAGAGCTAAAAAATATTTTTCTACGCAACGATCGTCATCTGTCCGAATTACTAAGGATTTATCGAACGACCCTCGTATAATACCATTCCAGATAAAGAACACGACCGCAATATAAAATAATTACAATATTAGGCACTTTTGAGTTTTTTTTTAATAATTTAAATTTTGAAGAGAAAAATTTTAATTGTAGTTCAATTGATTGAAAGAAAAAAATCGGAATTTACTCTAAAGACTTTTTTTTTTTTTCATATATACAGGGCGGCCTCCGGGAGTGTCGTCCTCTGCGGGGGCGGAGCGCGGCGGCGGCAAACGAATGAAACTTAAGGGTCGCCGCCAGGTGGACCAGGCCTTGCGACGGAGCGTCGAGCAGCGCAAGGAACGGTTACAGGACGGCGACAGCAGCAGCAGCAGCAGCGACGCCAAAGACAGCGGCGCCGACGGGGGCAAAAAATCCGCCCCTCACCCGAAAAAAAACTCGCCCGGGAAGGGGAACCGGGCCGAGTCGGTGGAGGCGGCCGCGAAATCGCCGCCCCCCAAAAAGAAAACTCCCCGGAAGAGCAGTGAGTGGACTGTAATGATTTTATATTATTTCGTAACAAAATGCCGTTTTCCAAATTATTTTTTAATGGCGTTACACTTGACATGCCAATTTTTAAATAATGTATGCTATTAAATATCACGATCCATTAAAAATGAAGGTAGGTATAGTGCTTTCGCAAATAGTGGGTTTTTGATTATTGGACGCAATTGCTGGACAATATACATGCTGAAAATGAGCAACATAGAAAGGAAACGATGATATTTACTTGCATATCTATTATGTCAATCTACACTTATACAATTTGTCCAATATAAAAATATAATAGACCTCTGGCATTTTTAATGCTCTACCTAATGATCAATGTGACGCCCATAAGAAAACAAATGGAAAAAATCTGTTTTCCTTTATTCCAAGGTTATTATTTGGGTTTTACATACAAAAATAGAACATCCCACGTTTTATATTTTCCTCAATTTCTCAGGTTGTATCTCCTATGATTTCTGATATCCCCATGATATTGCATCGTGACACGGGACACAATGTATCGTGCAAAACGCAATTCTTTAAAATGGCGGTTCTAGGTGAGTTCTAGAGAAAAAAAGTTATCGCAACCATTTTGTAGATAATTTCAAAATCTTCGATAAAAAAAAACGGCAATTTTAACATTTGAGCTTGGATAACGTTTTTATCATATCAAAATCCACCTTTTTCTGGATTTTCGTTAATACATCCAATTTGAATTTTGCTCAATAGGGTTGACCACAGAATGATATGGTGGCCTTAGTACAGTCCCTCTGCTAGCTAAAGGGTCACGAAGATATACTTTTTTATACTTAATGAAAATTTCTGTAAGCTCACTTAAAAGCTTAAAAATTTTGGTTTCAGCAAGATACAACGGCAGAAATTGTTCTAAAATTTCTGCCGTGGTATCCTTCTGAAGCCAAAATTTTTAAGCTTCCTTCTTGTTTCAATGGGATCGCACACTATTCTCTTCACAATATACAGAGTGGAGAGTCAGCGTGTCCGTCACTGCGACCCAGAGGATCTATTGTGACTCACACTCCACTTTGTTTCTTTCATATTCAGGACGGGAAATTTTGGCGCTACCCTCGTATACAGCTTTTTAAAATCTGCTTTTTCGTAATTAAATTCGCTAAGAAAACCTTTAGTTTCGCTATCAAATTGAGTAAAAACTTCACCGGATATTTGAAGAGCTGGATGGTCCGCCACTTCTCTTTACGATGTATATACGAGTGTTTATTTTGTTGATAATTATGGTGCTGTTGTTCTTGTGGTTACATGGAAGAGCGCAATTTGCGAATGTCGCCACTCTTGTATTGTAATATTTTGATTTTCAATATTATTATTATTTAAGCAGCCAACAGGATGATTGGCGGAAGGTTCTGTAAGTTCTATTGACGAATTCGGAAGATTTGTAAACGGTACTCGGAAAAAATCAATGCTGAATCTTTAAAAATAAAAAACTCCCAATATATCATCTTCAAGCCCCTTCCAAAAACCGTTGGTAATGCACATTTACCGTTACAGGTAGCACCCCTATTTATTGCAGTCATTATGTGAAAACCAATTCGTCTGTGAAAGCACTATACTATATAAAAACAAACAAAAATAAGCGACTTTCCCGCGTAGGAATGTTGGCGGGCTTGGACATCCCTAGCGAGCAGCAATTCGTCGCGGACCCGCCCATCAGGCAGTCGCGGCGACTCGCCCAGCTGAAGATCAAGGAGCAGTTCGAGACAAAGAAGACCGACCAGGTGACGTCGGGCTCGAAAAAAAAGGGCAAAGAGGACGGCGACGACGACGACGCCGACGGTTACAAGGTGGATAAAAGGAAGAGAAACAAGCAGGACAAGGAGGGCCAATCCGACACTGAAACCCTGGTGGAAAAAAAGAAGAAGAAGAAGAGGAAAGAGAAACCGCTCAGTCAGCTGTTCAACGAGAACAGGCCATGGGAGTCGAGCAGCGACGACAGCGACGACGAAGACGCCGTCGAAGAGGTAAGTCCAGTCAAATTTACTTTCATGAAACCGAGTTTCGTTAAAGTCTACAAGAGCTAAAGTGTGTTCATAGACATAAGAATGTGACTAACTGGTACGAATTAAGAAAAGACCCGCGCAAGCTCTAAGAGTGAAATATGGCCGAATTTAATTATTTGGGGTTTTGTTAGGGAAGATACTAAACAATATTTATTTATTTATGTATGTATTTATGTTTAAATCTAAAGTAAAATTACAAATTATTTTTATTACATACTTAAATTACTTAAAATTATATTTTGATTTTGATGTTAATTGAGACGTAAAAAACGCTTTATACAGGGTGTATGCACAATAAAATTACATCGATTTTGCGAAAGTTCCATAGTGGTCCGCAGGAGCACGGTAGAAATACAATGCGTTCTTCTCGGACGAGAAACCGCGAAGCGGCTTTTATATATATATATATATATATATATATATATATATATATATATATATATATATATATATATATATATATATATATATATATATATATATATATATATATATATATATATATATATATATACAAAGCCGCCACGCGCTACGAACCATTTTTCGAAAGCAATCTTGTTTCCGATCCGACAGGAGGAGGAGGAGATCATCGAGGACGAGTACGAGCTGGTGCTTGACCTCGATCCGAAATCTGACCACGAGTTTTCGCCCGAGAGCGACCTCGAAAACGACGACGAAGACTGGCAACCCATGAAACGAGCCCGAACCGCCCGCAAAGGTGAGTTTCGAATCGAGTATTAATGACGACGTATTCACGGTTGTCCCTCGCAGAATCGGACGCCGAGGAAGCGGACGACTGTCCGTGCCAGAAATGCGGCAAATCCGATCATCCCGAGTGGATCCTTCTGTGCGACAAGTGCGACAACGGGTGGCACTGTTCGTGTCTCCGCCCACCGCTGCTCGTCATACCAGAGGGCGAGTGGTTTTGTCCGCCGTGTCAGCACTCGCGTCTCCTCGAGCAGCTCCACGCGAAACTCGTCGAATACGACAAGATGCTAAACAAGAAGGAGATCGAGGACAGACGCAAGGAACGCCTCGCGTACGTCGGCATCAGCCTGAACAACGTGTTGCCCAGCAAAGAGCCGGCGGAACATCGGAAGAAGAAGAGGAGACTGTCGGGGACGGCCGGGTTGACGTCTAGCGGTGACGAGTCGGAATATTCGAGGTCGGATTCGGACAGCGACAGCGACGAACCCATCTATCAGCTGAGGCAACGCAGGTAATTCGAGGATTTCGAGCCGGGAGCAGCGAAATTCAGAATTCAAGTTTTCCAATCACAATCCAGATCGATCCGGTTCTAGTTAATTAAGTAAACAAAATTCAGAGCCGTAACTCAGCTTGGAGCGATTGTTTCTCCTATTACACCGTTAGGCGTGGAAATATTAGTTATAAATTCAGAATTTAGGGAGTGAACTTTCTAAGAAAAAGTTTGAATTTAAAGTTGCAACTTGGCTGATTAAGTGGGTTCAGGACAGTCTAATAACAAATTTACTTAGTTGAGTAAACAAAATTCTGAGCCATAACTCAGCTTGGAGCAATTGTTTCTCCTATTAGATCATTAGACATGGAGGTATGAGTTATAAATTCAGAACTTAGGGAGTAAACTTTGTAAATAAAATTAAGTAAGTAAAACTTTGAATTTAAAGTTGCAACTTCGCTGGTTAAGTGGGTTCAGGACAGTCTAATTACAAATTTACTTAGTTAAGTAAACAAAATTTTGAGCCATAACTCAGCTTGGAGCAATTATTTCTCCTATTATATCATTAGACATGGAGGTATGAGTTATAAATTCAGAACTTAGGGAGTAAACTTTGTAAATAAAACTAAGTAAGTAAAACTTTGAATTTAAAGTTGCAACTTCGCTGATTAAGTGGGTTCAGGACAGTCTAATAACAAATTTACTTAGTTAAGTAAACAAAATTTTGAGCCATAACTCAGCTTGGAGCAATTGTTTCTCCCATTATATCATTAGACATGGAGATATAAGTTATAAATTCAGAATTTAGGGAGTAAACTTTTTAAGTAAAACTAAGTAAGTAAAACTTTGAATTTAAAGTTGCAACTTCGCTGGTTAAGTGGGTTCAGGACAGTCTAATAACAAATTTACTTAGTTGAGTAAACAAAATTCTGAGCCATAACTCAGCTTGGAGCAATTGTTTCTCCTATTAGATCATTAGACATGGAGGTATGAGTTATAAATTCAGAACTTAGGGAGTAAACTTTGTAAATAAAATTAAGTAAGTAAAACTTTGAATTTAAAGTTGCAACTTCGCTGGTTAAGTGGGTTCAGGACAGTCTAATAACAAATTTACTTAGTTAAGTAGACAAAATTTTGAGCCATAACTCAGCTTGGAGCAATTGTTTCTTCTATTATATCATTAGACATGGAGGTATGAGTTATAAATTCAGAACTTAGGGAGTAAACTTTGTAAATAAAATTAAGTAAGTAAAACTTTGAATTTAAAGTTGCAACTTCGCTGATTAAGTGGGTTCAGGACAGTCTAATAACAAATTTACTTAGTTAAGTAAACAAAATTTTGAGCCATAACTCAGCTTGGAGCAATTGTTTCTCCCATTATATCATTAGACATGGAGATATAAGTTATAAATTCAGAATTTAGGGAGTAAACTTTTTAAGTAAAACTAAGTAAGTAAAACTTTGAATTTAAAGTTGCAACTTCGCTGGTTAAGTGGGTTCAGGACAGTCTAATAACAAATTTACTTAGTTAAGTAGACAAAATTTTGAGCCATAACTCAGCTTGGAGCAATTGTTTCTTCTATTATATCATTAGACATGGAGGTATGAGTTATAAATTCAGAACTTAGGGAGTAAACTTTGTAAATAAAATTAAGTAAGTAAAACTTTGAATTTAAAGTTGCAACTTCGCTGGTTAAGTGGGTTCAGGACAGTCTAATTACAAATTTACTTAGTTAAGTAAACAAAATTTTGAGCCATAACTCAGCTTGGAGCAATTATTTCTCCTATTATATCATTAGACATGGAGGTATGAGTTATAAATTCAGAACTTAGGGAGTAAACTTTGTAAATAAAACTAAGTAAGTAAAACTTTGAATTTAAAGTTGCAACTTCGCTGATTAAGTGGGTTCAGGACAGTCTAATAACAAATTTACTTAGTTAAGTAAACAAAATTTTGAGCCATAACTCAGCTTGGAGCAATTGTTTCTCCCATTATATCATTAGACATGGAGATATAAGTTATAAATTCAGAATTTAGGGAGTAAACTTTTTAAGTAAAACTAAGTAAGTAAAACTTTGAATTTAAAGTTGCAACTTCGCTGGTTAAGTGGGTTCAGGACAGTCTAATAACAAATTTACTTAGTTAAGTAAACAAAATTTTGAGCCATAACTCAGCTTGGAGCAATTGTTTCTCCCATTATATCATTAGACATGGAGATATAAGTTATAAATTCAGAATTTAGGGAGTAAACTTTTTAAGTAAAACTAAGTAAGTAAAACTTTGAATTTAAAGTTGCAACTTCGCTGGTTAAGTGGGTTCAGGACAGTCTAATAACAAATTTACTTAGTTGAGTAAACAAAATTCTGAGCCATAACTCAGCTTGGAGCAATTGTTTGTCCTATTAGATCATTAGACATGGAGGTATGAGTTATAAATTCAGAACTTAGGGAGTAAACTTTGTAAATAAAATTAAGTAAGTAAAACTTTGAATTTAAAGTTGCAACTTCGCTGGTTAAGTGGGTTCAGGACAGTCTAATAACAAATTTACTTAGTTAAGTAAACAAAATTTTGAGCCATAACTCAGCTTGGAGCAATTGTTTCTCCCATTATATCATTAGACATGGAGATATGAGTTATAAATTCAGAATTTAGGGAGTCAACTTTTTAAGTAAAACTACGATGCGGACCATTGCTTAGTCTTCCGAACGTCAAATGTTCTTCAATCTTTAATCACACCTGCAGATGTTAAGCCTTAAAGTGTATGTTACACATGAAATAAGATCGGCCTATGGTCTAATCCTGGTGGGAGAGTTCAAATTGTTCCTTGTTTCGTATTCACAGACAAGCGAAGAGCTACAAGTTCAACGAGTACGACGAGATGATCAAAACGGCTATTGGCGAGGACGTAGACCGTCCGGAGGACACGGCCGGCAATTTGGGCCGCGGCAAAGACATCCAGACTATCGTCAAGGGCCTGGAACCGGAGCCGAAAGCGCCGAACGGTAGATCGGTCGACGACGACGACGACGACAACGACGCCGTCGACGGGGCGCGTCGCAACCGACCCCCGATCGGCAACCTGCAAAAGATGCTTCGCAAGAAGCACCGCAAATTGAACAGCCTCGAGATCGACAGCGAGGACGAGGACATCTCCGACGAGGATTTCCGCGGGACCAGCTCCGACTCGGAGGAAGAAGAGGAGGAGGAGCAGGAGGACGACGACGCCAGCTACGACAGCGACGATTTCCGAGGCGGGAAAGGGGGCGGCAGACGCCGCGCCCCCGCCAGGAGGTCGGCCAGGGCGAGGGTGCGCCGTTTCGACGCCGACTTCATTAACGACGACAGCGATTCGGAGGAGGCGCCGCGACGCAAGAAAAAACGCTCGATTTGGGACGAGACGTCGGAGAGCGACGCGTCGGGCGGCCGCAGACGGCGCGCAGGTGGCGGCGCTAAGAAGAAAAAGAAGAAGAAGAAACCGGGACGCCTGGAGGACTCGGACCTGGAGCAGCAGCCGCGGCAAAAGAAAAGCCGGCCGAGGATCAAGTACGGCGGGTTGACCTCGAGCGAGGAAGAGGATTTGGGTCGGGGGCGTCGCACCCGCGGCAAGAAAACCACCTACGTCGACACGCTGGGCTCCGACACCGACGAGGACGTCTATAGGTGGGTGTGGCTTTATGTTTGTCTGTTCTCTGTTACTCCGCAACGAACCGGTTTCATTTCAATTCATTTGCATAATCAGGATGGGTCAAAAGGGTCGATGTCGACACAAGTTCATTCTTTTAAATAATAGAAAAACAATTTTGACATGATCAGACGAGTAGCTAGCACCAGTTTAAGTTCTTAATATTCCGAGATACGACATAGAAAATAGATTATCTGACAAAAATGGTCGTTGTGCAATATTCTAATATTCATACTAAAAGGGGAGACGATTTCAAAATAATCGGGAGGACACTTTGCTTTGCAAAGGAAATATTTCACGACGATACGGGCCATTCCTTAGTCTTCCGAACGTCAACATCATCACCGATAAATGATCTCGCACGCTGGAGATTTCGCCTTTAAATTCAAAATTTAAGCCTTAAAGTCGAATTTACAAATGAAATAAGATCGATCTAACATCTAACCCTGCTGGGGGAGTTTCAATTCATCTGCAATTGAACTACAAATTCAGCGAATATGAAGAGATACATCATATAAAAGATATTGTACTTCTTGCTGCGGAAAAAAAGCCTTTTTTTGTAAAAGAGAATGTAAAATTTCAATCAAAGGATTTAAAGAGTCTTGGACAATTTATTTGTTAAGAATTTTGTAAACTGTTTTTGAATTTTTTTATAAGTGCGTAAATAAAAGCTATAGACTTTTTGTTAAAAACAAAAACAGACCTAGGACTTTGAAAGAAGTATTTTGAGGTAAAATTAGAGCTTTTGTTAATACTAGGTCTTTTTTTTTAAATTGAACACCATTTTTTTTTTTAATCCATTTTTGAATTCTGTGTCATATTTCACGTATAATTTATGCAGCGTCTTTTTATGAACAAAGAATAAAAAACAAATTTAATTTTGAAATGATCAGGTAAGGACCAGTTAAAGTTCTTAATTTTCTACCTTTTATTTACGAGCTAGACGTTTTACAATATTCTAGGCCATATTCATACTAGCAGGAAAAACTAGATGATCCGGAAAACACTTTGCTCTGCAAGGGAGATATTTTCTATATGACCATTCCTTAGTCTTCCGAACGTCAGCATTCCCACCCATAAATGATGTCGACTCTCTAGTCACACCTGTAGGTGCGGATATCGTCTTTAAATTCAAAATTTAAGCGTCGAAGTCGAATTTACAAATGAAATAAGGTCGGTCTAACGTCCCACCCTGGTGGTTGGAGTTTCAATTGATTTGTGTTTGATGTTCGTAGACAAAAAAATGACTACAATTTTAACCAATACGAAGAGATACATAACATAAAAAATTGTATGCTTCTTGTTACAGAAAAAAAAAGCCTTTTTTGGTATAAAAGGAGAATGTAAAATTTCAAGTCAAAGTATTTAAAGGTTTTTGGACAATTCGTTTGTTAAGAATTTTTCAAATTGTTTTTCAATTTTTTATAAGGGCCGTAGAGTATAATAGCTAAAGAATTTTTGTTAAAACCAAATGCAAATTTCAACTCATACTGAGAGCAGAAACGACAACTTTTTGTTCCAAGTGAGAGAGCTAGAGATTTTAGAATTTTTGAACCCAAGACTATGAAAGAAGTATTTTGAACTAGAACTACAGCTAGAGAACTAGAGAACGCCATTTTTTAAACCCATTTTGGAGTTCTGTGTCATATTTCACGTATAATTTATGTAGCCTCTTTTTATGAGCAAAGAATAAAAAACAGAAATTTAATTTTGAAATGAACATGTAAGTTTCAATCGTTCCGTCTTTCGCGTTTGTAGACAAGGGAAGACCAACTAGTTCAACCAGTACCACTAGATATATAATATGAAATATTCTGACGTTCCTGCTACAGAAAAAAAAGGTTTTTTTTTGGACAAAGGAAGTGTGTAACATTTCAAGTCAAAGTATTCAATGGTTTTAGCACAATTCATTTGTTCAGAATTTTTTAAACCGTTTTTCAGTTGTTTTACATGCTAAAATACATTAAATCTACAAACTTTTTATTAAAAACAAATGCAGTATATAGCAAAAAATGCAAATATTGTTCATAATATTCTTACGCATATCAAAAATTAGAAACGACCGCGGACATATAGTTTTTCAAAGAGCTTTTTTTTTGCATACGACGATGCGGCCCATTCCTTAGTCTTCCGAAAGTCTTTAATCGCAACTGCAGATTTCAAGCCTTGGAGTCGAATTTAAAAATGAAATAAGAAAAAAAAGGCTTTTTTTAGTACAAAAGAAGACTGTAAAATTTCAAATCGAGTCAAAATGTTTTTCTATTCTATTCTATTTTCTACTCGCACTTAACGGCTTAGTAAGGGCAGAAACGACAACATTTGTCAGCTAAAACTCTCAGGGGAACATTTAGAGCTAGAGATTTTAGAATTTTTGGAGGAAGCATTTAGAACCAGAGCTAGAGCTTTTGTCGATCCCAAGTATTTTTTTAAATCCATTTAGCATCTTACTTTTTGTGAGCAAAGAATAAAAAACAGGTATTTAATTTTGAATTAACAGATATGTAGCCAGCACCATTAAAGTTCCTTAATTTTTATTTTATTTATTTTTATTATTATTGGATATGGAAGTAAAACGAGAGAATTTAGACCCAATCTTGATTCTCTCTTTCTGTTAATGGTTTCGTCCATCGTGTCTACGTGGTCTCTTCACTCCGTTCCGCAGTTTCTTGTTCTAATAATGATGATGGCCTTCAACTACTACAAGTCTTGCAAAGCGAAGTCTAGCCTTAAAGTTAGTTACTTAAATTAACCTATCTTGAAACAACAAATATGTCAAAACTACAGCCCATTATCTCAAAAATAAGAATTTTTCAAAAAAAAAAATTTTTTTCAATTTTCTTTAAGATTTTTGTTTTCATCTTTTTAATAACACTTACTAAAAAGTTTTTTAATGCAAAAAACTGACTCATATAATTTTTTTTTATTTTATTTAGGATCTAAATAAATAGTTTTCATTCATTTATAGTTTTCTGTTAATAAATTTGATTAGCTTAAAAATTATTGTCGCTATAAGTGATTTTGTTACTAAGAAGTCAATGATTTTATTTGAGAAATTCGGTTTGTCTGCAAGTTTTCTTGATTTACGTGTAGATCTATGGGAATTTGATGACGATCATCAGGCTTCTTTAGAAATTGTTCGATCAATTAAGGTTGAAAATGACATAGCCGAAAGAGCTGTAGCATCGATTGATAAGTATAATGATAGTGGCACTTATAATGAAGAACAAAGACAGTTTTTGTTATAAGTTACAATAATTTTCTTTTTTCGTTTTTCATTTTTTTTTTTTTCGTTTTTCATATATTTCACCTCCACACTATCACAATACCAATGATTATTCATACATTCATGGAATTGTAGAACTTATACCATAAACATTGATTTTTCTAAGTTTTACATTAAAAAATGACGGTTAATGTCAAAAAAGCAGGAATTTAAAAAAAATCTATATCCAAATATAACAAAAAAAATTATGAGTCAGTTTTTTGCTTTAAAAAAATTCTTATTTTTGCGAGCGTTAACTCAAAAATTGAGATAATGGGCTGTAGTTTTGACTTTTTTTTTTTTTTTTTTTTTCATGATTATCAACGAAATTTTGGTATGGGAATGGGATATGGGCAGCCTAGTACTTGCTTGCTTAAAGGCCGTAAACTTTCCTCCCAAGTCAGAATGCATCCAGTACGCAATTGATTGATATTGTTGTTTATTAGATAATATAGTGGCCCTGCTACAATAAAAATTGATGTGCCGCAGGCGGCTTTGATATTTTCATAGAGAAGGGAACGATTTTTCGCGCATGCCTCTACATTTCATCCACTAACCTGTACTCTTGCTCCATTTGAAGAACAGAGTAACTTGAAGCCATAATACAATCCTATGGGGTTTTAAGATTTAGCAACTTACTGAGCCATCCGACACCATTCTAATTTAAATTGAGAAGGATTTATAAATTCGCCGTTTTAGATTAAAAATAAATCCAGGTGGCCCCTCAGGTTTTTAACGAATAAAAAAAGAAATTAAAACTCTCTTTTTATTTTTTCGTAATGCAGTATTGTCTGGTTCCTCTCAAGAAAATAGCTTTCACTTTATATTTTCTTTTCCTCGCCTTAACGGCGTTTAAAAATAAACGAACTGTTTGTAATTTGTTTGCAATTTGACTACAACAACCACAACTTTAGTATCTTTCGACTAATCCGGCGGGTCAGCCGATATTTTTTGTTCTATTGAACCGAAAACCTCTGGATTCAAATAAAAGCAATAAAAACTTCCGATGAATTTATGATGGCACGATGGTAATCGTTATAGTTACAGTTATAGTTATAGTAGTAAAACGAACTGTTGAATTCCGAACTTTACGTTCTTTGCGAACTTTCCTCCGAAACAGGAAGAACGCGCGCAAACCTCTGAGCGACGACGACGACGAGGATTTCGTCGCCAACGACGACGACGACGCCGACGAAGACGACAAAGACAGTGCGGGCAAACGAGACGAGGACGGGGACGATGTGGACGACGACTACGAAGAGGAGAGAATGGAAAAACGAGCCCTGATCGTGCCGAAGATCTACATCAAGAAGCCGTCGGGCGACAGGAGGCCTACGACGAAGACGTCCAACAGGCACCACCACCAGGAGGCGGCGACGGCGGCCGCGCCGGAGCCGAGCGGCGTCGACCTGGAGGAGCAGCGACTCCAGGCGCTGAAACGGGCGGAAATGGAGGCGGCGTTGCAGCGGACGTTACGGGAGGCGGCCGAGGAATTGGAAAAGGACGACGACCTCGAGGCTCAGCGGATGGCGGAACGCGGTCTCGTAGCCGAACCGCCCCCGACGTACCTGGCCCCGCCTCCGCCGCCGACGAAGATCGTCCACGAGCCGATAGTCAGCAACGTGACGGCGCTGATAAGGAACGACGACGAGAACGACGATTTATCGGAACCGCCCGGTATAGCGTTGCCGTTGTTCGAGGAGTTGGGCAATAGGGCGCAGACGCCGGAAGACGCGCGGAAACGGAGGGGCAGGGGACCGGGAAAGAACAAACGCAGTCTGGAGGAGTCGCTGGCGAGTCTGGCGGGTCGGGGGGCGGTCAAGGGGGACGGGAAGCCCGCGATCGAGATCGCCGCGCCGCCGCAACCGTTCTCCCAGGCGCAGCCCGCCCCCTCGGTCATCACGCGCATGCTCCAGGTGAGTTCGCCCCTTACGCCATTAATATATTATAATTAGATAATTACAGCGTGTGTTGGTTAGTGGTGACGTCGGCGCTCGTATCGCTTTCCTCTTGTGAAGTCGCTATTTAGCGAACTTATTTTACTATTTCGAGGGCGTGTTCACATTTGCGGGGTTTGAGATTAAGGACACACAATCAAAGAAATAATACAGAAAGTAACAAACAACAAGCAGTACTATTATATTTAAATGCGTAATAAGATTTACGGAAAAAATATTAATACAAAAAAATATTAAAAATATTTTCATCTAACATGCGCTAAAAATGACGTTAGTTTAGGCTCTTTGAACTTTTTCTTTGATGGTGCAACACAAGCTCTGCGAGGGAAATATTTTCTACACGCACGACGATACGGACCGTTCCTTAGTCTTCCGAACGTCAACGTCATTTCCCTTCCATTGGAGATTTCGTCTTTAAATTCAGAATTTAAGCCTTAAAGTCAAATTTACAATACGTAATATAAAAGCTTTTTTTTGGTACAAAAGGAGAATGCAAAATTTCAAATTTCAAGTCAGTATTGTCATTGTCATCTTTTTCCGAATCAAAATCAATCGTTATTTCATTCTACAACTGCTTTGACTTTGCTGGTTCATCTTTATTCAAAATTAACGTAAACATAGAATACAGTCGAACCTCTGTAATTCGAATCTCTCTGTATCTTCGACCTATTTTAGAGGCCTTCGTCGCGAAAACTTAAAACATTAACGATAATTGATGAGAAAACGGAGATATTAAAAAAGTCGAGGGTGGTATCCAAGAAAAAATTATTTGTCAACCATATGACATGACAGGCCGGAAAATGAACAGTTGAAAGCAAGTACAGCATGACTGGGAGAATTTATTAACTAGCACTGTTTGGTGTGTATTTTTTTTTTTAATTTGAAATAAAAGAAATATCATATTTAAAGTAAACTTGTTTCACAATCCCTTAAAGTTCAAGTTTGACTTCGTTTCTGTGATATAATATAAAAGGACCAAAAAGGATATGGCATTTTAAATTTAAATAAAAATGAAATAAGCAATACTAAAACAAAATATTATTTACTTAGTTTCTTGCTGCTTATTATCACAAAGTTTTTGAACTATCCCTTGAATTTCTTTGTTGCAAATTTTACAAATCGTTCTATACCCAGATTTAATTGGATCTGTCGTTTTAATTTAAAATAACCATATGATATTTTCTTTTCATTCCAGCTATTTAAATGTTTTCATCTAATACCCTGTTTTCCGCTAGTTCCGCTCCTCAGACAAAAATAAACAAATTCATGTTTTTTTTTTTAATTCAATGATTTTTGATTTTTTTTTTATAGAAATCAACGTTTGCCCAATACTGGTTGAAATGTTCATCAGATTTAAATTTGGGATGTCTGAATTATACACGATCAGATCGAAATCGACTTTCGAATGTTTAAAAATTATCGGCCCGTATTAATTAGAACGCAAACAAAAAATAACATTACGTTTAACACTGTCGAATACAAACTCTTTAACTCTTTAACCGTAGAACCACCCGGGTCAGGCGACGATGTACCCCATCGGAAGCATAAGGCCTAAACAGTTCGCGACGATGCCCGACGACGATTCGGACGAGCCGAGTCCGTCGGGGGCGGCGCCCGACTCTCGCGACTCGTCGCCCCACCACATGCCCCCGCCCATGCCGAACCATTACGGAGGGGCGCGGGGCCCGCCCCTCGGCATGGGATACCGCCCGCCCGCCATGAACCACTACCCGAGGACGATGCCGCCCCCGCAGCAACACATGCGGGCAGCGCCGCACATGTACCATCCGTTGCCGCCGCCGCCGCCGCCCCACCGGTACCCGCCCATGAGTCAGGCGCCGTCGCGAGCGCCGCCCATGATGCCTTACGCGCCGGCGCAGGCCGCGACCGGCGCTCCGCCCCCGCCCGATCCGTACTACGACGGTTACCCGCCGCAGCAGCCGCCGCCACCCCTCGAAGATCACGCGATGCCGCCTCCCGAATACGAGAGCCAACCGTATCCGCCGCCCGTCGGTCAATACGGCGGCGACGGCGGTCCGCCCCAAGACAACGGCAAGGCCTACGACGAGGACGAGCCCGAGGCCGGGGGCGGCGAATTTGGCGGTTTGGTGTCGTACTTTTCGAGTCAGCGCGAAGACGACCTCGAGTCGTAGTGTAAGTGACGCGCGTTGGGCGGCGGGGCGGTCGTTTTGCTCTGCGCTCGCGGGATGCGAAAGACTACCATTTTTTTCCACTTTCTTTTGTTTAGATAACCACGTCGTTTTATGTAACTGAAAGTAGTAAGTAACTAGAAAAAATCGATATCGATACGGCAGTATCGATATCGCCGTAGGAGCGCTAAATTTTTGACATCGAAGTGGCAGTTTACGTTTTTCTCTAAGTCCGCACCGTAGAGAAAGTAATAAAAGAAAGTTTTCATAGAATTTCATAGAATTAAAACTACTAGAAAAAAGTTCGCATGAAACTTATGTCGTTTCGGCCATTTTCTTCCCGGTTCTTTTGTTTAGATAACCACGTCGTTTTATGTAACTGAAAATAGTATCTAACTAGATAAAATCGATATCGATACGGCAATATCGACATCGCCATAGGAGCAGTAAATTTTTGACATTGAAGTGGCATTTTACGTTTTTCTCTTAGTCCGCGCCATAGAGAAAGTAATAAAAGAAAGTGTCCTATTTCATACAAATAAAACTCCTAGGAAAAAGTTCACATAGATAACCACGTCGTTTTATGTAACTGAAAATGGTACTAACTAGAAAAAATCGATATCGATACGGCAATATCGATATCGCCGTAGGAGCGGTAAATTTTTGACATTCAAGTGGCAATTTGCGTTTTTCTTTTAGTCGTTTTTTATTTTTAAAAAGATGTCTACATTTTACCGCCGCTAAAGATCATTCAACATTATAATTCAAAATTCCTAAGAAAAGGTCTCGCCTAATCCATATCGAATCTAAACTGAAATCGACAAACATCCACATAAAAAAACGACAATTCGGAAAACTACATTCACTACAGTTTTAACGATTCTATTAAATATCCTAATCAAATATTTAACTAAATTATAACTTTTGCCCCATAAAAACAAATTTACAGCTTTTATGAACTTTTTTACATATTTCTACCTGATGAATACCCTGTTAAAGTTTCTCGGACCATTTTGTACACAACTCGAATCACTAACGACTTAAAAAGACGATTTTTTGAACTGACTTTATAGTTTTTCTTAATTACAGACTTTACGTCACATACCTTTCTAAGAGTATTAACTCTATTCCCGATTCTGTGCTTAAAATAAGAACCGTTTGGCCTGCGATCAAAGCGACTCCGGCGGACGTAACTAGAACTACGAACTACGATAAAGCAGAAACCTACGCGGACGACGGAAAATCAAAGCGGGTTATTTAAAACGGAGATTTTCATCGACCGCATAATGTTTTAGTTAATTTAAAGGTATCCCCACTATAGAAAGCTTTTTAATTTCGGAACGTGTTTATTTTTATGTTCGAAGCCTTCAGTTTTATTTGCTTAAAATTATTTGGTGACTTATTAAGGAACTTAAGAGAAAAATAGGTTGATCAAATCTGAGGAAACGCAGGACTTGTTTTCCTTAATACTATTTACAAATCTCGTATTGTTAAAACTTCCAGTTCCAGTTTATCTCAGTTTAATTTTTTTGTTATAATTTTTTGACAGTCAAGTCAGATCCTCGATATTGTTTTTATTGTTTTTTTTTAGAATAACTACCGTTTCTTCCGTGTTGCCCATTGCTGTATCCGTAACCAGAGATATTTTTGCTTTTTATATATTAACAATAGCAAAGGTGATACCACTGACCTCTCTGACCACAAAACGGGATCGATAAATACGTAGATAAAAACGGAAGTTAATTTTGAAGCTTTAAGAACCATTTACCACCACCACAGACTCGGAAACTAGAGAGTTTGGGCACTCCCCATCTGTTACTTTTTCTATGGTCCGTGCCACGTGGCCTCCCCCCCCGTATCGACTCGGTCGATAATTTTCAATTAAAATCAACTCCCGCGGGCCTAAGATGTAGCAAAAAACTCCGCCCCCGATGCTAGCTGCAGTGTAAATAAATAATTTTTTTATGATACGCATTTTTTGTATATAAATCACAAAATGTACATATGTTTCCGAGGGAAAATAACATAGTAAAAAAAAACCAGAGCAGGTGGAATATAGTGCGCTCGAAAATATGCATTTTTTTACGAACCTGTTTATTTATACGAGAGTGGGGAGGGGGTTCGGTTGATCGAGCGCGACGATCCCGAGGGCAAAAAAAAAAAACCGTGTAAATTGTCCCGCGTCTATTTTTCTATGTGTAGATCGATGAATGCGTATTGCGCTTGTAAAAATGTGCATTTTGAACCGTGTAACAAATAAATAATTAATATATATGTGTCGTTTTATTCTGCAAGGGGGAACATCACTCGCATGCCAAACTGATAAAGTATATTTCGGGTGTTCTCAAAGCGTTTCATTAATTGAATTAATTAATGACACTAATCTCGGCCTACGCAGATTACACAAAAGCTTTCTCATAAGATTCTTGTCAAAAAATTGTTAATAAAAAAAATACATCAGAAACGTAACCACACGTATGTCCTCCCCTAGACAAAATTTGCGAAAACAAAAATTTTGCTTGTTACCGCCAGGTGAAATTCCTAAAAAATAGCAAATCACAACATTTACAATTATATTGTTTAGAATATCCATATATAAACATTACAATCATTGTTTTTTCTCAGCGGGAATATTCCAAGAAAGCACCCGCTATATTTAAGAGCAACTAACTATAGGCAACTCCCAATTCGTATAAACTGGTGACGTGACGAACCTAGGTTCCGATTTTACTTCAAATATTGGCTTACGATTTTGATTTAATACGGTGCGAACACTGAAAATTTTTGCGAATAATCATAAAGATGGGTATAAAATACTGGATTGAAGCACTAAGCAAATGAAGATATGTTACCACTTAAAATATTTTTCAAATCGGGCTGACGTTCTTCGAACCGTTTAAAAATAATAATATGGGTTGACGCTAAAGTGTAAGCAATTATCCCTTACAATCTATATTCCATTTTCAACAAAGGCGAATGCGCCAGGAATGAGAAACTACGACCTGTATTTTGGCAGAAAGTAAATAACCAAAGGCGGCGGATGCGCAGGGAGAGAAGTTTTATTAGATATTCAAAATTGACAAATTCATTTGAATAGCACTCCTATACCTACCCATAATTAACAAAATTAATTAATTAACAAATAAACATTTTATATCAATTGATCTTCAGACCTGTGCAGACACTTCATATCGTGATTCCATCAATTGAGGCAGAGATGCCACCTACCAATTTCCAGCCTAATTTAGAACTTCGATTTACTAGAGGACTTTTGAAAATTTCACGTTTATGTCCGTTATTAATCAACTTATCGAAAAGGCGGAAACACCACAGAGTTTTTACTAAATATATAGTACAATGTATGTTATTTATATTTATTCTCTGAATATATTTGTCTCGGTCATTTGAAAAGTATATAGCATATATATAATTGAAAGAATATTAATAATTAACTCTCAAAATCTTGTGGTAAACTGAAAAATAGAGCAACCCTAGCCACGATTATCGCTGTCAGCCAATGTTCTTTTTTCATAAATCAAACGGGTGCTTCTTCAAAAAACATTACCCAATTTTGACCGGACCCTGGATCATCTTCCTATCAAATATCTTTCCCTAGACCAACGCTGAAAGAGTAAAAAATAAAAATTGGCAATAGCTAGAAGTGTTTTATTATGGAGACAAAGTTAAATGATTGCACATTAGGTATCGTTTTGTTACAGGAAATATAGAAAAAAAATAAAATATTCACGCCCGAATAACCCACCAATTAACAAACGGAACTCTCGGGAACCCATTTCCTTTGCGAAACACAAAAAATTATACGAGATCAAAATCTGAATCACACACTGGCGGAACAACCAACAACTTTAAATTTTTCAAGAGAAAAACAAAGCGTGGAACTACATTACAAATAGGGACAACGCGTAAGGTGTAAACTCTGACCTTTGTAGAAAAACCTCGGTAATATTGTGAATTTATGAACACACGGATGTATTAAACTAAAATAACTTTATTAATAATAATGAATCACTGATTTTAAATTAACACTCTCTCTCATGTTAGGTTAGGTTCTATTCAACACCGTTTCCTCTTCTCTTTTACAGTGGATTAAAATGACAAGTAATCACAGCAGGTAATCCCTCAAAGATCCCACATTGGTCCCCCCTTTTTTCGTTTCCAATACTCCCAAGTTTGCATGCTCTGCTGAGAGTTATCTCTGATTGCTGACATTTGTCAGGTCAATCTTGGAATACTTGGGCGCCTTCAGTTAATAAAACCTCCAGAAGATCGGTTTCATGTGTTCTATTTCCTCGAAGGACTTCTCTTTTCTTCACCTCCGCAATCGTTCCTTTCTTGAGTATCCTCAGGTTTGGGAACGGGTAAAAGTCGCTCCGGTAAATATGGTGGCTGTTTTTGTTTTTCGCCAAAAAGTTAGACACAAGCAACGACGCGCGAGTATGAATTTTTTTGCCACAATTCCGGACGTTTTTTCTTGTAAGAACTCTTGTATACTACGCCATGATAATCAAAGAAAACAGTAAGCGAGACCTTGACATTTGATAGTGCTTGACGTGCTTTTTTCGGTATTGGCGATTCTGGGTTCTTCTATTGATAACTGGCCTTTGGTTTAGATGTCATAACCATATTACCCATTCGTCACCAGTTATGACCATTTTGAGCATATCAGGATCATCATTGACGTTGTTTCCTTCAAAATTGATGCATTACTATTACAAGTTTACATTTTAATTAATGTCGTATTATGTCCTGGAAACCTTTAAGCATTTAAAGCATTTAAAACCTTTATTATGAGTTATGAGAATTAAATATAATTTGTAATCTAGTGATCGGAGAGTTCTGTCCTATTTTGATTCGGTAGTGGTCGACATCAAAGAGTTTATTTTTTTTACATTTTTGGTGAAGGATATGCTAAAACGTTTGGCGGGATTCATGAAAAGATGATACATCGGAGGTTTTGATCTTGGTGTATATTCTCAAGGTCGTCGGCGAAGAGTAGTATTTTACAATATTTGAAACATTTTCGTATTGAATTAATATACAGTGAAAACTCCCTATAGCGAAACTCTGTATAACGTAATACTCTGTATTACGAACAAAATTTGTTGTACCATTAGGTCTCCATACAAAGCTATGTATTATTCCACTCTGTATAACTAATTTCTCACTTTCTATATCGAAAGAAAAAAGGGCACGTCAGGTAACAAAATACGGAATGTAGGCCGACTTGTAATTAATAGTCTCTTACGTTAGGATTCCTTACCCTAATAATCTAATTACCGAGAACCTGGTAGGCCAAGTGTGTATAAAAGCACGCCATTGTTTCGGTCAGTTCTAATTTGACTTAGTGAACACGGCGAGCATGGCGAGTAAGTCAAAAATTTTATCTCCAGATGATAAACAACGTTCAATAAACAACAATTATTATACTGAGGCCCTCGGTCAAATCTAAAACTTCTACAGTTCACAAATATCAATTTTGAAGACATTATAGACAAATTATATTTGTAATTTGTGTTTTCTTTTTTTACGCAACTAGAAGCAACTTCCTTTTATACGTATATAATCGTCATAAAATTGTTGAGATCACATTAAGTTATATTCTAAGTGCGTGTCTACTAAATATTTTTCAGGTTTTAAACTTCCTCTGTCGAATTTGGCCCAACATAGTATTACACTGCTTTATGTAAAAAAATACATGTTTTCCTCAATGTCTTTTAACTCTTTTTCACCCACTTGAACTCGTTTGTTTAATAAAAAAAGGAATCCTTCGAATTTTACCGGCTTCTTAAAATAATTCAAAATTTTCGCGTTAGATGGCGCTAAATGTGTTTTAGTCTGTCAAGTTGAAATTTTCAAAAGTTCCCAACGCGCACCGACACGATATCGATGTCGAGCCGTTAAATTTTCCCAAAAAACCGAAAAAAACTTAATTCTGTTATCGATAATAGCACTTACCTCAAACTGCGGCACACACAAACTTGTTTTGACAATACACGTCGCCACGGCCTACTGCTCGTTTCGGCAAAACGAAACCAAGCACCTCCGATCGACGAGTGACGTGCGTGACGTCGCGCGGCCGCGAATAAAGCCAAACCCTCCTTTCGAATGTCTTTATTTCAAATAAAAATTAACATGATCGATTTCCCTAACAAAATAATAAGTAGCAAGTGTTGGGACGAGATAAAACGGACAAAATCCATCGGGTAAACTTTTCTAGTCACATTTATTTTCAAATTTAAACATTTAATAATAATTTCACAATGGCTAAAGCCGCGTCTCGCGGGCGTATCTCGCGCCTGCGAGAGAGAGAGATATACAGATCCGGACCGCAGAAAACTTCTCCCTTACATTTAAATATCGGAAAAATACTATACTAAAAAATGTAAAACCTATATTATATTATACCATGTAGAACGAAAAAAAAAGAATAATTTAAAATACGTATTATCTAGGAGGCGCGCGCGCGCCCCTGGTTTCCGAACGAGGCGCTTTTTCCAAAAAAAATCAAGGGCGGCTCGTTCGGCGGGCAGCGGCGCGCGCGCGGCGAAACAAAACCCCCGCAGGGGTGGCGGCTTGTTTTTTTTTGTTCCACCAACAGAATATTTTACAAAAATTTACACATACTTTTTTTTATTCTCGTAAATACTTTATTACGGGTGTCGGTAATTAAAACATGTCACGGAAATTATAAACAACAATTATTGACGATCGCTTGGGACGCCCCGTGTCGCCGTTCGAACGGTGTGTGTCGTTTATCTTCATTTTTACGTGTGTGTGTAAGTGAGAGATAGATAGTTGGTGACGAAAAACAAAAAACCGACGACGGGGGGCGAACCAAAGTGAATCATAATAATGACAATAATAATAATAATCATAATTAATGGAAAGCTGAAATGCAGAAACCGTAAACTGCTTCACTTGGAAGTCATCATGGTGACAAATTCTGCAACAGAAAATGAAAAACGGCTTATCATGGCGACGGGTAAAATATATAATATATTATCGCTAATAAACGGGCGCTTCAGTCCATAATGAATGAAATCACGAAAAAAAAAAAACAATTTCATTCAACCAAACATATTCATTGTAGACAAAAACGTGTAATTTTGAATATCTCATTTTTTCTGATGTTTAGTACTGACGTTTGAATGAATAATGAGGTAAAAAAACGCGGATTTTTCAAAATTGTTTGCAGTGTCACACAAAATAATTCATTCAATTCATTCAACGTAGACAACAAAAATGATGTGAAGTTTTGCATACTCATTTTTTTGTGATGTTCATTTCATGCCCATAAATCCCGTGTTCCACAAGTTAATATGGGCAAAAGATTTTGTTTAAAAAAGGATATTGCTCGGCGAGAACGTATTGTACCTACTACAGCTAAAATTGTTAAAAACGACCAACAAACGTTCTGCAATAAAAATTTTGACATCTTTAAATCAAGTGGAGGGGATAGAACTGCCACCAATGACAGTAAAACGGTAAAAAAATAGAGATGCAAGCTTAATATTTGCGCAGGAAGGCCGACGATGCACACCAAGAGATTGGAGAAAAGGTTTCGTAAATCTGGACGTGACGGTGCAAGATGGGATACATAAAAAGCTTCATCCTATATACGTTTGCCCAACAGTTAAGCATGGATGGGGTAATATTATGGTATTAGATTGCTCCTCTGCCATTGAAGTCGGGTTAATACATCAGGTTGCTGATGAAATGGCCGGCCTAATCGCCAGATTTAAATCCCATAGAGAAAATTTGAAAAAAAAAATTATGACTCGATAAATGTGATTGCAACTCAAGGATATGGCACCTAATATTAACTGCCAGGACTAATTATGCATTTTCAACAGCAACAACAACGTAAGTACTTCAATCGAATTTTCGAAAAGTTGCTTTAATTTTGTCTGATACTGCGCGTGCATCGGTGATTAATTTTTTTTGTTTTTTACATCGGAATGTAAGCTACATCTGGCAAGGCAGAGTAAAGATGAATTATTTTTTTTAACATGTCAAAGATGACAAGCGGGAGGAAAATCATTTTTACACAATTTTATTAGCAATAAAATTTCGCCAAAAATTTTTGAACTTATCATTTTCGGCCCCGATTGGTATTTACTTTTCACTTATTTAGAATTTTATTCTGTTAATTGTAAAAATTTTTCTGTTAACTTTAAGAATTCGGTTTTAGTTTATCTGTCAACATCTCTGTGAAATCATAAAATTATTTCTAAATTTTGAATTTTTATCACGTTCCATTGGTTTTTAAGGAATAAACAAATTAATCTAAAAAAAACCATTTGGATATTTTTTAGTGTTCACTCAACCAATGACACAAAAAATTGAAAATATTCTACGTTATCATCTTCCCTTGCTTTATTTTAAGGTTACAAGATAAGGTCATAAAAGATATTTTCTCCCCTTTGTTTCTATTCAGCCTTAATTGTAATTTTTTTATCTATAGAAAATTAACAATTATCATCTAAATGTGTCAAACATGGGCTTTAAAACATATTAAGAAAGAAAATTAAAAAAAACATTCCAAAAATGTTTACCTTGGTTTTGAAATATTATGGAATTTATAATGACAACGCTCTCTCCTGCTTTTTGAAAAAAAGTTTTAAGTGCAATATAATTATTTTTACGTAATTGTATTTTTTTGGACTGATTCCTTGGTTCCATAAAGATGATTTAATCATTAGAAACTGCTCAAAGCCCTGACAAAATGTTAGAAATGACTAATTTCACAGATCGCAAAGATTTCACACTAACTTTCTTTCAAACACCCCGTACGAATTCCGGCGATATTTTTCTTATTTTTATTTTATTTACATTTTCCTTTTTTTTATTATTATTAATTATATCTTTTTACTTTAAAATTCAACTAAGTAATTTCCTCCATTAAAGAAAAACATTTACTTAGGACTTTAGGAATATAGGTCGATAAAATAAAATTTCCATCGGAGCCAAATAGAAAAACGACAGCGGGTTTTTTTTATCTTATAACTAAAAATACGAAATACGTCCGGTAATAACCAAACCTTGGACGTAGTCTACAAATATGGTTGAAATAAATGTGAAATCTTGGTGAAATCATAAATCATTTCGGAAATTTTGAGTTTTTTTTCACTATCTTTAAATAATCCCTAAAAAAAATTATTTCGAAATTTTTGGAGACTGAAATAAATGTGAAATCTGTAAAATCATAAATTATTTCTAAAATTTTTCAAAAATTAAATAATAAACAAATTAATCTAATTTGGATTTGGAATCTTCATTTCAATTTTTTCGTTCGTTTTGAAATTTTACGTAATTTATAGTAACAACATTCTTTCTCAAAACTTTTTTAAGTGTATCATTTTTACTTAACGGTTTTTTAATCAGGATAATTTAATCATTAGAAATCGCGCAAAACTCTAACAAAACTTTAGCAATACTTAATTTCACGAGATAACCAAATATCTAACGATTTCTTGTGAAATCCGGCAACCTCGCAACGGCGAAGCCGGGCATTTTAAGGTTAGAATTTCTTTTTTTTTTCTCTTGGATAAACCGCCGTCGATAACTCACCTTCGTAATTGACTTGGCCGTCGCCGTCGATGTCGGCCTCCCGGATCATCTCGTCGACCTCCTCGTCGGTCAGCTTCTCCCCCAGGTTCGTCATGACGTGGCGGAGTTCCGCGGCGGAGATGAAACCGTTGCCGTCCTTGTCGAAGACGCGGAACGCCTCGCGGATTTCCTCCTCGCTGTCCGTGTCTTTCATTTTCCGGGCCATCATCGTCAGGAACTCCGGAAAGTCGATGGTGCCGTTGCCTACGAACAAAAAAAAAACACTCCCGGATAACACGTTATCGGTTTCAATTAGGCGACGCCTATTTTTAAACGCCTCATTAGTCACTCGCGTCCGCTAAAGCTTTATAAGGAGCCGCTTTCCGATTAAAAGATAACCCACCGTCCGCGTCCACCTCATTGATCATATCCTGGAGCTCGGCCTCCGTCGGGTTCTGCCCCAGAGACCTCATGACCGTTCCCAATTCTTTCGTGGTGATCGTGCCGTCGCCGTCCTTATCGAACAACGAAAACGCCTCTTTGAACTCCGCGATTTGTTCTTCGGTGAGTTGGTCGGCCTGCAAAAAAACCACACGCACACACACTCACGGAATAAATCCAAATTGGTATTCCGGACGCGAATGTAAATATCGGAAGACGTACGTAAGCAACAGGATCGATACGCGTTCGGTACAGATAAAAACTGTGTCGGGGTTGCGATTTAATTGGCGTCTCGGCGTGCGTATTTTCCCAGCGAAACGGATCGTTCCGCATTGCGGTAATTTTCGAACCGGCCGTCTACGGGTTTCCTTTTTTTTTTGACAGCTATTTGCGAAACGAATTCTGCCGAAACGCGGAAAAATACGGACGCCACGCGTGTCCCGCGACCCCGTCCGACAGTTTGCCGGACCCGATCGCCGAAAAAGCCCACTCACCATTGCGATTTTTTAAGATTACACTAGCACAAAATAAATGTCAGCGCACGTAATCACCTACGCCAAAACGTCACGTTCGAACGTCTCTGGCCAACTGTTTGGTTTGGCTTTCCGTTTTGTTTGGGAACCGTCGGCCGCGTGGTGGGGGTAAATTTTCCGCTGCCGGAACCTCTAGTGCCGAAGCGCAATGGCGCGTCTACGCCACAGACCAGTAAATATTCCTCCGCGCGAACGTCGGTACAATTTCGCGTCCGACCGCGAAAATTGACGTCGCGAAAGGAAAAACTGACCCGGCGAGAGGTCGGGCTCGGCGCGAGGCTACCCGTGGCCCCCGAAATCGAACGGCGACGCCGAAATTCGACGGTCCTATTTTTCGCCGCGGAACGATTTCGTTTCAAACGTAGGGCGCGGCTTGTTTACAACGCACACTTACAGCGAGGCGGCGTTGGGATTGGTCAAGAACTACCTGCAATGCGTCAAGCAGGCGGCGGATCGAGTGACCGCACGCGGCGCGAAAACGTCGTAGTATGCTGTGGGATGCCGACCGTCGCGACGCCGTCGCCGTCGTTTTGCTGGCGTCGTGCGGGTGCGGCAACGGCACCACGAGACATGCGTTCTTAACGCGCTCCGAATTATGGCGTTTTATTTCCCGCAAGAGGTGTGTGCGTTTTAACGACCGATTTTTTTTCGGTCCGTTTCCGGCACCTCGTAAGTTAAAAATGAAATCGGAAACGTGGCATTCGTAAAATATAATACAGGTTTCAAACTCCATTGATAATGCCTCGCTAGATGTAATGTAATGCTCTCACAGGCAAAATATGCAACGAGATTCGATTGTTCTCGATCCAAAAAGTACGATGACGTCTCGATCCTCTTGGCGGGCGAAGAAGTAGGCACGGACCGCGTATTATCTTCAGACCACCGGATCGCCCGCCGCAAACGTCAAATCAATCGGTGGTCTGTGACTCTGTTGGCGTGTTTGATTTCTTAATCTTTACGTGTTGTTTCTGTTGTGTGTTTTGGTTATTATCGGGCCGTATCATCGCGATAATTCGATATCGAGAGAAACGACAAGATGGATCCGTCGTAACGGCTATGATATCCGACCGTCGTGTTGTTATAGTAACGGCTGTAAATTTTAAAGGCCAACCGAACCCAGCGCGTCGAAAATGTCGAAGTATGCCGTCGTCGCGGACGATGAGACGTTCGATTCGCAATACCCCACGCTGCGTTACGTGGACGCTAACGATTCTGACCTGACGGACACGATCGACGAGAGCTACGCGACCGCCATCGAAGGCAACGAGACGCAGTACCTGTCGGTGCTCGAGACGTCCGACGACATGACTCTCAACGATCTGCAGACGATTATAGAGCGGGCCAAGTGCGCGGAGGATCACGACGTTGCGACAGCGACGGAAAGCTCACCCGTCGAGGCCGACGTCGACCAAAACCAAGTAGTCGTCTTCACCATGGAGGGCTCGGACGACTTGTACGGGCTCCAGGTGGCGACGGACGACCACGGCAACGTCAGGAAGTATCAATTCAAGCTCGGGTACGTACAAATTTCACGGCCGACTCGAAAAATCGGGGTTTATGCGACAGCACCACAGTGGACGGACAACTGGAGGCGATACCAGACTCTATAAAATTAGTAGAGGAGGTGCAGGACGAGGCTAAGGCGCCCACGGAGTTCGTTAAATGTCGCAGTCTCGTACCAGAACAACATCTCGAGCTCTGTGAGGAAGACGGGTTCGAGGAGGTGCGAGACGAGGCGGTCGAGCCCCCGGGACACTCCGAGGACTCCTTATTAGCGGTCTACATTAAAGGTTGGGTGCTCTTTTTTTTTCACCCACATTAAATTTGACCTAAATTCTAGAAAATCAAAAATTTTTCTTCGTATTGACGAAATCAAACGGAATTGATCAGAAACACAAGCATAACGTTAGCTATGGTTTAATTTAATTGCTGGTTGCTATGGTAACCACCTGGTAAAAAATAATTCCCAAGGGTGTGGGGGCATAATTCTTTGTCCTAAGAGGTTATAATGGGCTTAAACTAAGTAGTATACCAAACCAAAGAATATTAAACACAGGATAAGGACCACAATTTTATCTGAATTTAAATTCCGAAACTTTAGGCAATAATCTTGTTGCATTGTACGTTAATGACCACCCTTGGATAACCCCATTCAAAAGCAAGTGGTCACTGTGTTATATCTATGGACAGACCATACCAGGTGCATTTTAAGTATTTGTTATTTTATTCCCTTTCGTTTGACGTATGTAAATCGTCTGTGATAGTAACATGAATAAAGTATTCGTATACGTACACTTTGCTACGTCCACTAAATGCGACCATTGTTTAGGCGAGAGGCGGTCGCCGACGCCCGTCGACACCCCCGATTTTTTCGGCGACTTCGGGGACAGCGGGGACGCGGAAGTGACCTTGAACTACGACGCCGGCCCCGTCGACGACGTGTTAGACGAGAAGGCGGCGCCTAAGAGTGGCGGAGGAGGCGGCGTCGCGGATTTTTCAGAAAAACTCGCGATACCGGAGGCGGCGGACGCAGACCACGCCCACCTGGCGATCGATGACGCGGCGATGCGGTACATAAACGTCACCGTCGGCGACGACGACGACGAGGACGTCGTCGACGAGCAGCAGTACGTCGACGGCGACCACTACGAAGAGATCTACGTGCAGGAGAACCGGATTAGGGAGGCGGGGGACCACCTCCGCCATCCCCACCATCGAATCGGCGACGAAGGCGGCGGCGCCGGGGTCGACCAGGCGGCAGGTAATTTTTTTTTTCGCGCTTGCGCGTCGAAGATCCGTTTCGGTCCGGATTTAAACCTCCGAAAGAAGAATTTTGGTCGAAAAAGAATCTTTTAATTGAAAATGCCGAGAGAAAGGGGAACATTTTTGAATGCAGTTTTTTTTTTTGCGTTTTACATTTCGGATAACCGAAACGAACGCCTTTGTCAATTTTCCCCTAAAAAGGGCGTCTTTCCGCATCGATACGGATAAAATTTATTTTCTTAAGCAGATTTAGACTCATTTACAAAAAAGGTGACAATTTAGATGTCAGTAATTCTCGTCCCATTTCATTACATCAAGAGCTACAATTTTTGTATTTGCGGTTTTCGTGGTCGGGATATTTAAAAAAATCCATATTGAAATCGCTATTTCGGGGGCTGTCAAGACGCCATGACGTCATTGATTATTACGGCGCATGGTTTCAGAAAAAACTTATTTTCTCGAAAACCATTTAGTATTTTAAAAAAATTCTTGAACCAGAACGCGTGGAAAATCTATGGCTATAACCTATACAATGATTGTATCATATATAGGGTGTGTCGTGTGTGGGCAAAAAATCTAAATTATCCAAAAAATTTCCGTTTTTGTGGCTAAATTATTGGCGATAAATGGAAAACCGTTAAAGATAGGATAATTTTATTTGAACAGTATCGTAAACCGTGACGTGAGAGTTTCAGGTTTCGTCAATTATACAGGGCGCGAGATATTTGAAAAAAATTTTTTGTCTGTCCGTTCTCCGTTCTCGTCTTTTGGTTTTTCCCGAATAACTTTCGAACAGTTGGGGCTACAAAATTAAAATTTGCCTCCACGGCCCTGATCCGACGCCGGTATCCATCTTTTTTTCGCGATTTTCGACTGTTTTTTGAACCTTGCTATGAAACACGATAAATGTCTGAAATTTGAAGCAATCGACTTCATATTTGGCACATACATGCAGCTTTGCCCCGTGACGGAACCTATTGAAAATGGGTGGCTGGGGTTGGGGAAGTATTTAAAAAAAAAATAAAAATCGCGTGTGCAAGGGTCTACAAAAAACTCGTTTACGAGACCAAAAAAATTCTTGAAGTAGGAAATGCGGCTCTATAAATTTTTATTCTTGACAATTTTTCAAAAATATACAGGGTGCGCCGCAAATTCAAAAAAACTGAAAAATGGGCCCCGCTAGAGAGAAAGAGTTTCAGATTTTGCCTATCATACAGGGCGCGCGAGATAATCGAAAAATTATATTAAATCGCAATTACACTTTATACAGGGTGGCACAATAAAATAGCATCCATTTTGCGAAAGTTCCATAGCGGTCCGCAGGATAGAAAAACAGTGCGTCCCTCTCGGACAAGAAACCGCGGAGCGCATTCTTTTTAAAATAAAAAAGAAATACGATTTTTCGGAAGCGACCTTCCGCACAAGTTTCGTAAAAAGTACTACTCCGTTTTCGCAGTGGCATCAGATTTCATCCTGCACGAGGTGACGGAGACGCCGTCCGCGTTGGAAAAGACCAACATCTTGAAACGGGCGGGCGCGTGCGCCGTCAAAGAGACGCGCACGCGCAGAATGAACTCGGACACGGTCTATTACGTGGTCTATCCGGACAAGGAGAACGTGCAGGGGGCCCCGATCGCCCGCAAACTGACCAAAACGAATCCGCGGAGCATCTTAAAGGCGACGGTGGCGCCCCGCATGCAAACCGTCATCACTAACACGGTCCCCGCCGGCGACGAGCGCTTCCAGAAGCGGTTCGCCAAGAGCAAGGAGGCGGTCGAAGCGAAACTGTTTCACAATTTCATCAACAGGACTACGGTGCCGCAGGCGCCGGTCCGCAGGGACCGTTTGCCGCGCAAGCAGAAGATCAGGCCGGTCGGGAGGCGGGACGATGACGACGAGATCATCGTCCAGGAGGTGGTGCTGTCGTCGGACGGCGTAGTCGAGAGCATCGCGGACAAGCTGCGGCACACCGACCAGCTGGAGGTGAGCGGGAATAGCGAAATAAAAATATCTATGGGCAGTTCTCGCGAATTTGCGAGAAACGACTTTGCGAAATATCAAAATAATCACTTTTTTGATTTGAACGAAAAAAATCAATTATCAGCGAATGACACTTCAAGTGAATCTTCATTTTTTTTTTCAACGTAGATTTATTTTATTTGTGAGATTTTCCGGGCTGTTAGGCCGTGTTCCGAGGGTGGTCATTAACATACAATGCAACAAGATTATTACCTAAAGTTTCGGAAAATAATTTTATACCTACCTGTGTTTAATATTCTTTGGTTTGGTATACTACTTAGTTTAACTTTATTAGTAATCATTCTTATTTCGTGTGTAATACGGCGTGTGTTGAATCGTGTGCGAATTATGAAAAATATGTGCGAGTCTAGTGTATCACAGGAGATGCTCCCGCCAAAATGTAGAAAACACTATTCTATTGATACTAAGGAAGTTATAAACAATGTTGGTGCTAGCAAGCGAGCATCTTTAGAAGAAACGGCCACATTGACGAAAATTCCAACATCAACTGTATGGAAAATTGTGAATAATACCATTTCAGCGAGGAAAAAAAGAAGCGATGCCGACATTTTCTCGAGTGTAGACGCAAGTGATCGAGATATAATACGGCGTAAAATTTACCAGTTATACGAGGAACAAAGCGTGCCTACGTTAGATATCTTAATTAGGAGGCTTGAAAAAGACGGAACCGGTGTTAAATGTGGCAGAACTACCTTATGGAAGTGTATTCGACACACGGGTTTTAGATTTTTAAAAATTGCCAAAAGGCAAGTTTTAATGGAATCTTTTAGAATTCCGGAAATGGCGACTGGAATATCTAGAAAAAATTAGGATTTACAGAGAACAATTATTTACTTGGATGAAACCTGGTTCGACACTTGTGATACCCCGAAAAACGCGCCATCAAAAAGAGGTAAAAGAATAACTATTTTGCATGCTGGCTCTAAGGATGGTTGGATTCCAAACGGACTTTCTCTGTCTGCGAAAAATATTAAAGATTCTTCTCTGGATTACCATGAATTACCGCTAATTTATTTGAAAGTTGGTTTAAAAACAAACTAATTCCAAACATTCTTCCTAATAGCGTCATTGTAATGGACAATGCAAGTTACCACAGTTGACTAAAACCCCTTCCTCACGTGACACAAAAGCAACAATCCAAAACTACATGTATAATAACGACATTTATTTTCACGAAGATTATACCAAAAAGCAATTAATTGAGGTTCTGCAAAGCCTTCTTCTTCTTGACGTGCCATCTCCATCAGTGGAGGTTGGATATCACAGTGGCAAATCTCTCCCTGTCTTCAGCAGATCTTATGAGCTCCTCGAAGTCCGTGCCAGTCCACTGACGTATATTCCTCAGCCATGACAGTTTCTTCCGACCCAGCCCCCGCTTGCGTTCGATCTCTCCCTTGACGATGAGCTGTGCGTATCGGTATTCGTCGTTTCTCAGGATGTGACCCGGGTATGCAGTCTTCACAAGCTTGAACAGTTCTCGTTCAGTTCCCAGCCTGCGCAAAACGTCTTCGTTCGTGGTATGCGATGTCCATGGTATTTTAAGTATTCTGCGGTATGTCCGCATCTCGAAAGCTTCTAGTTTATTAATGGTTTGTGTTGTTGTACAAGAGAGTAGACCACACATAACATTTTGAGAGTCTTAAACGCAGCTCGAGGTTGATTCGCGAGTCGTATAGAACAGTTTCTGGATTGTTCTATTCTCGATCTTATTCCTGTGTCTGGATCTAATTTGTTATCTATCCAGCATCCCAAGTATTGAAACCCGCCCACTTCCTCTAGTACCTTTCCATTTATTTGTATTGGTCGTGGGACATTCTTTGATTTTTTAATTACCGTTACCTTAGTTTTCTTAACGTTTATTTTCATATCGAACTCTTCGCAGGTATTGCTAACGCGGTCGACGAGTCGCTGCAAACCCACTTCCGAGTCGGCGATTAGAATAGTATCGTCAGCGTATCTAATACTCTGTCAAATTTAAATTCTGAATAAAGGTAAAGGGGACAAGACGCGGCCCCTCCTGAGGTCAGCCTACCATCTCCACTTCGTCTTTAAATTCTTCGTTGTTTTTCATGTCTTCTTCTGGTTCATTCCACGGTCTCCACATTTAAAAGTTTTAAAAGACGGGAACCTTCAAAAAATATTTAATTCTAAGTTTCTAATAAATATTTATCTGATTTTTTTCTCGATGCCCTGCAAATGTGGATTTTATTTTTTTTTTAATACTTCCCGCCCCCAGCCACCCCAATTTCAATAGGTTCCTCATTTAAAAAATTAGAAAAATTTCTCATATTTACGTGATCCGGAAATGCATATTTTTCAAGATATAGGTTTTCGAGAAAAAACTACTGTGTAAATCAATTTACTGCATATCCCAAATTCTTATAAAAAAATTCTATCCTGACCAGAAACAACACCAGCAAATTTCGACAGGGGATATTTAAGATATTTATTAAAAATCTTGAAAACTATTCATTTTCGCAGGCTTGTTTAAAAAAAAATCTTATTTTTAATGTAGAATTTGAATGTTATTCTCGAACGCCATGTATATGGGAAATATATAATCCTCAAGTCCACGTATGTTCAGGGCTGTGCGTCAATTAACGGGAACACTGACGTCATGTATTTTACATGTGTGACGAAAACGGTCGCTTGCGAGCGGAACGTCGTGGTCGCGTATGTCGAGCGCGCGCTCCCAATCGTTGGGTGAGTGGCCCGTTGCGGCTGCGGTCGGGACCTTTCTGTGGTCAGTTCCCCAAGCCGCCGCTAGGCGGCCTCTTTTGCGTTTAATTTCAGAAAAACGGTTAAATCGGAGCTGGGTGTTGTTATTCTCGCGTGTGTTTTTAGGTAACCGCGGTCGTCGAGCTGACTGATTCGGAAGACGAGGGCGCCGCCCAGACCCACGTGATAAACAGCGACGGCGAGTCGGAGGCGGAGGACCGCGTGGACGCAGGTTTGGCGCCCGTGCCCGAGGAGCCGGAAGGGTCGGCGACGACGCGTCCCGGCGACAAGGAAGAGATCGCGTGTCCCAACTGTCCGAAAACGTTCGCGAGCCAGAACAGCCTCAACACACACATCCACCATCACAACTTGGAAGACACTTTGAAGAAGAAAAAGAGGCGAAAGACGAAGCCGCCACCGATGGAGTACAAGCACAGGTGCGACGTTTGCGAGCAAACGTTCAAGAACGTCGTGCTGTTGGGTAGACACGCGTGTCCCAAGGAAAAGGCGGAGAAGCGCGAGTGCGAGATATGTCGTAAAACCTTTAGGGACGTTTCGCTGTTCAACATACACAAACGGGGCCACGCGAAATCGAATTTAGTGCGCATGACGACGGGCGTGGTCAACGCGTCGCCGAAAAAAAGCAGAGCGTCCGTGTCGGGGTGTTTGACGTGCGCAGAATGCGGCAGGTTGTGCGGTTCGGATGCGGTGTTGAAAATCCATCAGGGTACGCATAAAAAGTACGCGTGTACTGCGTGCGCGGCGACCTTTCCATCGAGGTTGCTGCTCGACGCGCACAAGAGGACGAGGTGCGTGAAACCGAGGTCCCCAGCGACGCCGAAGATGGCCAAGTCGTCGTCCGAGACGTCGTTCCGGGCGCCCATCCACGGGGTCAAGTTGGCCTGCGACCAGTGCGACTCGTTGTTCGGGTCGTACCGAGAGTTGTACACCCACAAGGTAAAGTAAGCGGAAGCGTTTTAAATATTAACATCCCTTTAGAACACTTAAATTGGCCAAAATATGCAAGTAGGTTGGTTGAATGTGTGAGCTGTTTGATAATAATAGTAGTAATAATAAATTGCCTTTTTTGTTGTATATTGAATATGCATATATACAGCAGAGATGAGGCGAAGTCTAGCAAAAGCTTGACTCTTAAATGTTCAAATTGAAAACTAAATAGGAAGGAAGCTAAAATTAAAAGAATAACATTAAAAATCAAATTATTTGAGAAGTTTGCAGTTTTAACCTGAAATATGGTATGAATCGGGTATAATATTCAAAGCTAACCAAAACTATGCTTGATGGACATATGAAATGAGATTCGCACATTAAATATAGAGGTTTAATTTCTGAATTTAAATATCTTAGAGACCTTCTAGCATTTAAAAATAGTGCAGTCACAGCTTGCTTCAAACTTATAAATAAATAAAAATCCTTAAAAATGCCAGATAACAGAATCGTGTTAGGAAATTTTAATAACTGACATGGGTCTCTCCGTCACGTATTTTTGGTTAAAAAATCTATTACTCATAATGTGTAAATAAAATAAAACAACTCGAAAATTTACCACTAACAAGCATTGATTTGCTTGTTGGCATTATAAGAAGTTATTTAAATATATTTGTTACTTGTAATAAACATATATTATTATTGCTTAAGAAGTTTTTCACAGTATAGAACGCTTTTTTTTTAATTAATAAATTTTTATTTTTAATTTTAAGGAGTTTAATTCTCGTTGTTTAACATTATTTGTCAGTTTATCGAAGAAAGTAGTGGAGATAGGTCTTCGTTAACATGCAGATTCTACAAATGTCGATTTTGGGCGTTAAAGTGGCAACGAAGAAGAAAATGTGTATAACCGTTATGCCCATGGCTTAGATGAAATAGAAATAGGCATATCGAGCTGAAGTAAACTGCAAATAAGTTGGAAAATTGAGGCACAAGTGTAATGTATGAATGTATAAAGTATTTTATCGCAGGACATAATTTTTTAATTAATTTAAAACTATCCAAATGTCAATTGATCACACAAAAATCAATAGACTTTATTTCTCTGTGTAAGACATTTAGCTAACTGTACCGGGTGTCGATAAAAGTACTAGCCGTGCGATAATCTGCTTTAAATTCTGATATGTTTGCGTAAATTGCGTACATTTTGACATGTAAAACAATTGAATCGCGCTTCCGGTTTTACCGGAAATAAGATCAACTTTCTTATTTTAAATGAAACTGCCCGTATATTTTTGCATTTTTTTTATGCCACTGGTAAATCCAAGCAGGAAATGTTCTTTATTTTTTTCCGATAGCTCCCGTAATTTTCGAGATGATAGTCTATCTAAATACAAAAAATTCAATTCAAATTCATTTCATGAAACCGAAAAAATGGCAAACTTTCGCCATTATGTGCGACGGGGATAATTATTTATCTTAATGGAACCACTGAGTAATGGATGGGTGGATTTTTTAAACAAAATTTGACTTGTTTAAAAGAACTAACACGTTAAGTTTCTCGTTTTCAAAACCGTGTAATTTTAAGTGGTCATTTTATATCCCATAGCGAGATAAATCCCACGCTGAGATACTTTTTTTCCAAATGTATTACATATCATATTATTACGTAAGGTGCAACGTCACGGCATGGACACACCGGACAAGAGTCTGCTCGCCAAGAAATCGAAAAGAGTCTCGTATAAAGCCAGGAGCGCGCATAGCGGCATCCCGACCAACGACAGGATGAAAAAGGCGTACGCCGAGCTGAGAAAAAAGATGGCGGAAATGGCGTCGGAGAGCCAGGTTTGCTGAGGTTTTTTTTTTTCTCTTTAATTTGTGTGTTTTATAAAAAAAAAACTTTTAATCGTGGAGAGGAGGTGACGTAAAAACCCAGTTTTGTTTTTATTCGACCTGTATATAGGTAAATGAACATATTTAGTGTTGTACATTTAAGGCTTTTAGTTTTTTGTATGTAAAAAAGAGAATGGCAATAAAAATTTATATTATATTGAGAGGTTGTTTTTGGGATCGAATCCTACCCGCATGCGCCATTTATGCCGCGTGCCAAAGTGTAGTTTTGTGTGCGACGGGCTTTCTCTTTTAATATAACTTGGTACATATGTTTCTTTTTATTCATAATATGATGTACCCTGGAGTAAAAATAAATAAAAGAAAACCTTTTTATTTTGGAGTAATCAACTCGACCAGAGGCAAAAGGACACAAAATTTTAAAAATAATCTTTTAGAAATATCTTACAACATAAATTCTTTATAGGATAAAATTTTCCTATTTAGAGTATACAACACATAATAGACTTCGAGTCTTATTCTTATTATTCTCACGTCGAAACCGAAAACAATTTCTAAAGTGACATTGCGAATGATTCAGGAAATTGTAAAATAAGTAGACGTAAACAGTTAACACAGAGTATAGCGCAGCATTAGGCACTTAACGCAAAAAAATTTCGTGTTCCGTGGTCAAACGTCATTTTCAATTGTCAACTATTCCGCAACCCGTAAACCCATTTTTGACCAACCCAAATAACTATGTTGGAAAATGGTGTTTCGTCGATTGTCATGTCGAAACAGAATGCAATTGCTAAAGAGATATTGGAAATGATCGAAGAAATTGTAAAATAAGTGGACGTAAACAATGAACGCAGAGTATAGCAAAGCGTCGGCACACAAGGCAAAAAAAAATCGTGTTCCGTGGTTAAACGTCAATTTTCAATTCCCAACCGTTTCGCAACCCCTCAAGCTATGGAACCGATGGTCTTGGGCAGCACGGGGTCGAGCCCGACGTCAGAAATAAATCCGCACTTCTTGCCCGGTTATCTGATGGGCGACCACCATCCGCCGTCGAGCCCTATCGCTTCGCCACCGAGAGCAAACCAGTTGCAGCACTCCAGGCAAGACGACAGTTTCGCCGAGTCGAGAAGCATACGCCAGAAACTGTTCGGGCAGTCGTTTAACGACACCGCTACGTCGGTAGTGCTGACGCCCACGGTGCCGGAAAAATCGGGACCTCCGACTACTGGTCTCTTCGACACCATCGAGCAGGTCAGGAAGCCGACAGTGTTGAGCAGCACAGTGGCTCACCTCAACGATTCCGTGAACGGATTCAACGAAAGCTTGTCCCGGATTCACCCGGAGGAAAGTTTGAACTGCAGCCGGACGTTCAGTCCTTCATACGTCGAGAAAATAGATACTTGTTGGGTGACGGTGTTCGGATTTCCTCCGAGCATGCTGAACTTGGTGATTTCGTGGCTCTCCGAGCATGGCAAAATAGTCGACAGGAAAATGCCGCCGCAGGGTAACTGGGTGCACTTGAAATTCAGCAACTTCAACGAAGTGGCGAGGGTGTTGGCCTTTAACGGCAAGTGCGTGGGTAAATTCATGATCGGGGTGCAACTGTACCGCGAGAAAAGCGACAAGGAGAACGTGCCGGTGTTTACCACGCCTAGACAGGCGAGGTCCTTGAAACATTCGTGGGTGTCGCCCCAGGCAGCCCCTAACGCGGTGGTCGCTTCACCGCCGGTACCCCAGAAATCGACGGGGATCGTTACCAAGGCCATAGAATACGTGTTCGGTTGGTGACGTCATTCATTGCGTTTGAACTTGACGTGGATCGCTGCGGGATCGTGATGAGCTCTTACTTTTGTTTGTTTTTTTTCTTAAATAAATTTGTTTGAATTGGCGCGCTGCGAATGCGGAAATATTTGTTATATCGGCTCCCGCAGGACACTAGTTAGCGATGACGTTGGTCGGTCATTTTGATTGGTGAAACTGTCGACGTTTTTAACCGATTTTACATTGTAATTTTCTGTGATTAAAGTTTTTGTGCTTGACTTCGTGGTAATTTGTCGCAATTACTACTTCGTAAATATCCTATATATGCAAACGAGGCAGTAAGTTACACTAAAATTTTTCAGAATAAAAACAAGTACAGAACACGGACAATATTAATAGTAGGTAAAATTTCTATTCAAAGTATTTAAAACAATTTTCTAAAAGGATGAATTTTAGTTTACGTTAAAATAGCTTTATATTACTTTTCTTCGGTGCCGACTAAAAATTGTTAGAAAAAATCGATTAACGATAACGGGATAATCCGGATAATCAACACGAAGTGAGGTTATTCTTCTTCCTTACTTCTAATGGGCCCACTACATAGTGTCATTCAGCCAGGTTACAAAAATTGGTAATATTCAAATTCTCAAAGGATGCCTTGATAAGGAATGGGTTTGGACTATTTAATCACTCTCCAGGGTTGGGACGATTACAAAGACTTCTGTCGGGAGTCTGGGATGTTCCACGGAGTGAGGTTAGGTCGTTTTTCTTCATTGCCAATTGAAAATTAAATTGGGTTAGGAAAAAAATTATTTTTAAGAATTATGTGCGGGTAAGTTAATGTGTTCGCATTTTATAAGTTTCATTTAGTTGGCATAACTCGGATAATCAAAGCGGAGTGAGGTTAGGTCATTTTTTGTTCGTAACATTTGCTAACTCGGGAATTTATTATTTAGGCTTTAGAGGATGGTCACTACAGTCTTGTTTTTTATTCGTGGACAATTTCAGCGTCTACATAATACTCTTGCCACAAATCGTAGCAACTTGTTAGAAGGTGAAAATCGCTCTTAATAAGAGATGTTCCTGAAATATTTTTTCGAAAATTCTTATCTTTGTAATGGTGAAGCAGTCTGTATTATGTTTTTTGGTAAGTTATTGTAGTTTTTACACATCAAGTCAGAATAATAGTACTCAATGGATAACTAAACACGAACTCCCTTTACTAACACACTAATATAGCGCATTTACCGTAAACTTCATTGTCGTTGATGACGTCACGCGTTGCGTGTGCGACGTAACCGCCAAACTACAACATTTCGGGAGTAAACTAAACACAGTTCGAATTTAAAAAATATTTATTTCTCGGTGCTCCCAAAAACAAAACAAAAAAATCACAACGGTAAACGTATACGGTATAAAAAATTATTTCTCCGGGTAAGGCAGAAAAGTCAGTCGGTTTTCGTTTAGGAGAAAAAGTCCAAGGTGAGTTTTTCGCGGTGGAACTTCCTGATTGACTTGAACTCCTCCCTCTCCTCTAGCGCTTGCGTAACTTCCTTGCACGTTATGGTCGATGTTCCCGGCCTGCCAGCGTAGAGAGAAAGCGATAATCAGCTGATTACGCGCTTTGGTACATTCTGTGTCAACTTCACGGTTTTTACGGTTAAAATCTCAAATATTTTAACAGATATGTCATTCAAAAGGTGATTTTGATTACTGTTTTGAAATTCAGACAATTTTTATTTTTTACGTGATTAGTGAAATAGGTAGCAAATGACTAGTGCGGTTTGTGATTAGTTTGTCACTAATTTAACATTAAAATTGGATCGATCATTCTTAGCACTGGGTCTGTTATGGTTCTGTTATCCATGACTACCAACAACTACTAAAGAATATCCGAAAAAGTAATCTTATAAACTAAAACTGACCAAACTGTTTCTATTGTATGTGTACGTCTTTAAAAAAATATATGAAAGACTACCATCGTTGTCCAGATTGTTTAATGATTTATATAATCTTACTTCCTCCCATTAATAAACATAGTATAGGTAGAGATAGAGATTGTTCAAATCTGTTCATTGGCTAAAACTTTTTTGTAATTTTTAGGTGTTTTATATGTATGTATAGGAATCAGTCATCCGAGGCAAAATGTTCGTGCCCCTCATTTAGCTCCGCCCCTCTCACACAATATATAGGGTGTTAAAATAATAGTAGTAACCCATGGAGCGAAAATTCGAAATAGTAATATTTTCCCGGTTATAAAGTGTCAAAATTCGTTTTATTAAATTTTATTTTATTTTTCCAATGGCAATATCAACGTAACGTTTTGTAAAAAAAAATATTTATACCATTGTTTTTGTTATAGTGCATTATATATCTAGGCACTACAGTGAAACTGTGTATTCCGAGACAATTCGCCTAGAGACAAAACCAACTTTAGTCACGGATCTTTTCATTTTACCAATTTTACACTAAAAAAATGCACAAAAAAAAACGGAGGGTTATTTTTTTCCTTTTGTTGCACATCAAATGGTCAAATGCACCTTCACGAGGATGTACCTTTTCAATACTTGTTTAGCCAAGAAAGCGGACAAAAATTCGGAAAAAATCCGCGAAATCTTAGCCGAGTTGACAGCTACTTTGCCCCATAGAGAGATCGAGACTACCAACTTCAAATCTATCAAATTCTATTTTAATTTCAATTCGGGAGTAGGCATAGCCATATTGAGGGTTCAGGAACAAATTATAATGATTATTTAAACTTAATTGTACCATATTAGTTTAGTTTTTATTTTATATATGTTTTATTAAAATAATGTGATTTTTTTTTATGGTATGTTTGCTGCTGTTAATAAAATTTTATTGTAAAACGTTTTTGGAAAAGTTGAAATATGCACAAAAATCGCATATTTAGAATTTCATGACCGCATGCCCCATAAGACCACGGTGCGTTACCCACGGTCACGTGGTCAACATATTTCGTGCTTGTCGAACGTAGCGAAACTGGCTAGCACTATCTCGTTTGCAAAAGTATACATTCCCTCCATATATAATACCCCCACTTACCGATAGCCGCCTGCGGCGATTAAATAATACCCCGCCCTCCTGATCAGACCTTCCGCTAAACACCTCACTCCTTCCAACATAACCCTCTCGGCGGCGTTCATCGTGACCCCTTCGGCGATCTCTTCCGATTTCAACAGAACGCCGCAGCTCAAAGCTTCCTCCTTGACGTACGCGCACGCGCCTTTCGTCGACGTATCGACCAGCTCCATCGCGTTCTTAGGCAGGCGTCCTTCGTCTGGAACAAAAGTCACGGACCACTGTTGTCGCGTACTGAACGATTACGACATAGAATTAATACTCCTAGAATGCTGTCGTATAAGTGTACAGGGTGGCCAATATAGCGTAACCCCATACCTTATCTCAGAATATACAGGGTGTACGAAAAAATCTTAAATGCAAAAGTCATTTGTTTTGATACGAAGTTTGGTTTTCAAGTAGAAGAAAAAGAATATGCTATAATAGAGTTGAACAGGTGGCGAGGTCTAGCAGCAGTGTACTCCATCTAACCACAAATAAAATGCAGTAAAATATTGATAATTTAACAAAAGAAAAAAAAGTAACAAATATAAATCAGTTCCTTAAGTCCACCCAAGATTTACGATTTGACAATTTTAAACAAATCAAAAGGGGATAAAAAAAGAAAGAAAAAAATAGACTAAAAGAAAAACAGTAAGCAATAAAAAAAAGAAACAAATATACAAAAAAAAAAATAAGCGGTTTAGCCTCTCTTTAATCTCACCAGCTCTTTTATTATCTTTTTAAATGTAGAAGTGGATTATATACAGGGCACTCGGTGTTGCCTGGGTAAACACAACTTCTTTTTTTTATGAAACATCCTGTATCTTTTACATTTTCTAAGAAAATCTCCTATATAATGTTCTGTACCTAAAAATTGAACTGAGGTGGCTTTTACTTGATGAAAATCCATTTATCAAAACAAATACGAACTAAAAGTTCAGATTTTCACGAAATTATATATTTATCTTTATCATGAAATGATATTACCTTTGACAGGGGAAGTATCGACGGATATAATTTCCGGCTTGTCGTCGTGATTTACGAACGTTTTTTTCGACTTTGATGCGCGGAAGCAGTTCAATAGGAGTTCGCCTTCTTCTGTGTGCGAAGCCAACAGGGCGGAAGACCGCGTGACGGGGGAAAAAAAGTGCGAGCGGCCGTAGAGAAACACGGCCCTGGTGGTCCAACGTCTGCCGTAACTTTCGGCGGACAAGAGACGTTTTATCGCTTTCGCCCGACCCCACTGAAAACCAAACAGGTCAACCTGTCAACCTATGCGCCGTTTATAAAAATAAATAAGAACTAAAAGTTTAGATTTATAAAAAAATATATTCAATTTTTTTTTGTTCTGTAACGACCCTGTAAAAAAATATCTTTTATTTGCGTTATTTACTAAACAAATAAATAAAAGCTTTAAAAAAGTCTACAACAAAAAATTTATTAATTTGATGCTTGTGTTTTTATTTGTATTTAACTTTTTTTAAGTACCCCAGTGTTTTGAGGCATTATGTATAAGCGTGTATAATTAAAAAAAACATCATTACAAACGTCGTGACGCCACGAAAAGAGAGAAAGAGACGATCACCTTTTATCTGTCACGCCCCGTAACCCCCTCCTTCGCGATAAGGCCGAGACGCCATACTTCGGGACAAAGTATACCTACCTCGGCGGCCAATCTTTTGCCGACGTTCCACGACCTGAATTCCCTCTCCGAGCGAGCAGCGAATGGGTGGACGCTTTTGTAATTCGCGTCGCTCACTTTCCGCGTCCACAGTGGCGTACGTTTGAACGCGTAGGGCAGGGCCTCGCCCATATTGCCGAATCGCTTTTCTGGCAACCAGATCCCGTATTCCGGGCACGTCTTCACCTTCGAGGGTTGGATTTTTACCAGGTCTCCGGGCAACATGATCTTGATGAGGTCGTCGGAGGCTATCGGTGGTCCGTTCTTAGGCTGGACGAGTTTGATCTGGACGATACGGCCGTTATTGAGGAGGATCTGGCTGAAACTCTCGGGCAGGAACCGAATCGACTGGCCCGACGCGGTTTTCAACACTTTGACGACGTTCTCGGCGACGGGACGGTGCCCCAGGTCCGCGTATCCCCCTCCAAGACCGTGGACCAACTCGTTGGGCGCCTGGTTCACGGAGGAGACGGTTTTCTTCGGCGTCACGTGGTCGTTTTCGCGATAAGGAAGGCTGTAGTTGTGATCCGACGCGTGGCCGTCCTCGGCGTAGTCCTCCACGTCCACCTCCTCCTTGACGACGTCCAGGTCCACTTGGGGCGGCTCGCGCTTGACGCTCGCACCGGAGTCGTAGCAATAGTTGTGCTCGAAAGCTTCCTGGTTATTTTCGGGCAGCAGGTCGATGTTTTTCCGGTCTTCCTCGTCGACGCCGGCGTCGAAGGGCGTCGGCGCCGTCTTCGCGTCGTAGAGGAACACCTGGACGACGGTCTCGTTGCCTTGAAGGATTTAATTTTTTTTTTATCGTTTCTCTTTATAAATTCGTTCTTTTTGCAATGCAACTATGGAAAACCCCGCAAATGATATACGGCGCGTATTGTTTCTTGAGAGGTCGAAAATTTCGGTTTTTGCGACCGTCACTAAACGAATAGGCAAAATAAATACGAATTGCGGCGGAACTTTGTTTTTAAAGACATACACAGACGATTTTTTCGGTTTTTTCAAATTTATTTAATTATCATTTAAAAAAAACGCTCTTTGTCTTTTTTGTTCATAACCTTTTCAATATATTTTTTTCAATCGTCGCCTTTTTATGATTATTTCGACGCAAAATACACAACAAAATATACAAGGACAAATTTTTTCAGTTTTAAACTATAAATCATAATAAATAAAATTTCTGACTGCATTTTTATCATAAACTATATTGTTATCGAAACATTCTTACTTTGTTTTTATCATAAACCACATTTTTATCTAAAAATTCTAAAATTATGATCTTATTTTTACCAAAAACTGTATTATGTTCCAAAAATTCTAAAATTCTGATTTTATATTTATCATGAAATATCTTGTTATCTAAAAATTGTAAAACCACATTGCTTTCTAAAAATTCTAAGATTCTGATTTTATATTTATCATAAACTACGTTGTTATCTAAAAACACTAAAATTCTGATTTTATTTCTATCATCAATTATATTGTTATCTAAAAATTCTAAAATTCTGATTTTATTTTTATTGCAAAGTTTATAATTATCTACAAATTTTAAAATTCTCATTTTATATTTATCATCAGATTGTTAAATTGTTACCTAAAAATGATAAAATTCTGATTTTATTTTTATCATAAACCATATTGTTTATAAAAATCTTAAAATTCTCATTTTATATTTATCATAAACTACATTGTTAAATTGTTACCTAAAAAAAATATATTGTTATCTAAAAATTCTAGAATTCTGATTTAATTTTTATCATAAACAATATTATTATCTAAAAATTTTCAAATTCTGAGTTTATATTTGTCATTAACTATATTCCATTTCGGATTTTTGACAATTTGAAAAAGCTTTTCCGTTTTAGATCGTCATTAAACAAATTATCATAAACAAAATTATAAACCATAGGGCTGCAACTGAAGATTGAACACTGATCAACTTCACAGACTAGCAAAACAAAATAACGGAACATTTTTTGCTTACATTTGTTGGTAAAAACATACAGAAAAAACGTCGAAAAGTTAATGCTTGAAAAAATAAATCCAACCAATATTTTTTAGCAACTTTGCCAACGATTACAAATAAAAAATAATCAAGACGTATTCCTGACAGATTTTTGAAAAATTGAAAAATCTTTTCAGTCTTTTTATGACCCTTTCAGAAAAAAAAAAGTCAAGAAAATATACAGAAAGCTATCAATATTCTTATTCAAATTTTCTGGAAATTTAAAAAAGCTTTTTCGTTTCGAACAGTTGCAAAAAAAAGAACAAAAAACCTCAGTTAATTTGTTTTTAAGTTTTTTTTTCATCAAAATCTAACCTCACACACTCAGACTTAATTTTGCAGAATCGAAAAGATTGAATGGCCATCAAACACCATCAGTAGGCTTTACGTCACAGCCTACCAAAACAAAGTTGAAAATTTTTAGTCAAAGAATACAGAAAAATTGTCGTTATATTGCGAATAAAGTAAGGTTATGTTCAGCAAATATATGTTATGAAGCGATAATTTCTCTAGGATATTTAAGAATTTCTTTTAAATTATATTATAACTTTTTTCTTCATCAATTTAATTCCACCCACCTATTGTCTGCCTCTCGGTGAACGTTTTGCTCAACTTCAGGTGATGGACGACGTCGATGGGCTTATTGGTGGCGGACTTGAAAAAAATCTGAACTCTCAGCGGGAACTCGCCCCAGCCCCGCCTCGACAAATGAAACGGGGGCTCGCTACACAAGAAAAAAAAACACTCCCACCTGCCCCCCAAATTCGAGGCCCGGGACTTACTTTATATCAACCACGTCGTGTGGCCTATACGACGGGTGCAAATGGAAAACCACCCTCTCGATGACGTCATGCACCTCCGCCCCTCCCTTGGCCCCCTTGAACACTTTAACGTAAACCATCCACTTGTGAGACATGTTGTCCTGCTCGATGGACTTTTTATAGTAGGATATGTTCCCCACCACTATCCGGTGTTGGGTCTTTTTTCTGCTCGTCACCACGTCCGGACAATACTGATTCGACGCCCCATTCGATTCGGGTTCCAACTTGATTTTTTTCTGTTCCGGCTCGGTCTTGAGCTCGGACAGGGTTTGACTGACGCTCGACGAGGCCGAAGACTTCCTCTTACCCAGAGACGTGATTAAATTCAACTGCTGCGCGTTGTTACCTATTAGCTTCTTCAGAGCCGGGTGTATCCGCGATTGCCCGTTCATGATATCGTTATTGTCCGGCGTCGAATCGGCGAAGGCGTCGTATTCGAGCGACTTTTTGTGATAATACGACGATATAAGCACATAGCGGATGAGGTGGAGCAGTTTTTGTGCCCTGAACACTTTCTCTTCGATCTCCTCGAGCTGTCTCTGCCTCGATTCGAGTTCCTTGTCGAATTCCTCCCTGAATATCTTGCGCAGTTTCTCTTCCGTTAGTTTACTGTCTGCAACGCGAACGTTAAACGTAATATAACGTAAACGAACCCTTACCTTCCGCTTCCCGCAGCTCCGCGCTTCGTATCGCTTGATTCGTGCATTCGTAATCCGGATCCACTTCGATAGGATTCTCCGTAACGTCCATAGCTTCAGGACGAGACTGCTTTTATAACCTTAATTTCAGGATACCAAACAAGACGTCAACACACCCACGGTGCGACCGACATTTTCCCGATCTGCGGTCGAACGCCAGACGCAGATCACAGGAGCCGCTAAAGAATTACACCAGTATCGCGACGTTGCCAAATGCGTCGCATAATGTTTGGGCGAGAAATTTTAACGTAATGTAAAAGGCAAACGTAAGAGAACATTCCATAAAAAATGAACAAGAGAATTTGAAAATAACGATTATATCGGGTACTCTGTGTTTATGTTTTCTTAAATTTTATTTGAATAAAAATTAAAAACTAGTTTTAGGATTGAAATGTTTATTAAAAGGCATACGAATAAAAACACATTTCCCAATAAAGCAAAATGCTACTTTTAAATAGTTTTTGAAATAATGAATAATGTTTTTTATTTCTGCCAAATGACAAATAAACTATACAGAATCAGGATCACACTCTTATAATTAATTTATAGCAATTTTTTCCCGTCCTGAATTTTGGCATATTTTTCTTTTTTGGGTTTTATTTCACTTAAAAATCCGTATTGTATCAATTACCTGACCTAAAAAGTAAAGTTTTAATTTAATTTGAGATCCATTGTTTTAGTCTAAATAATAATAATAATAATAATTCATGAACAGCTTGACTCTTACTCTATATTATTATACTACATGCAGTTAAAAAAAAAATATAAGGCCAGCTTAAAGGATTCACGCATGTTGTTAAAGAAGTAAAATAAATTTTTGGTAAATCCAAATTTTAAAAAACCATAATCAAGTTTGTATTGCTAATTTCTCTCTATAGCACAAAAAAGCTATTTATTGCTTAAAAGTGCCTTATTTCAAATTCTTTAATATCAAGCATGCTTAGATTTTCTTATCTAACTTTGGTACTCAGTATACCCTCGCCTTATGATATGTTGTGGTAATGTCTGACATTTGAATAACTTTTGAAAGTATAATGCCACAGATTTGTTTATTGCAGTTAAAAGATATTTCAGCTATAAGTTTGTCTTTTTTATTGAATCAATGCACTTCACCGAATTCATCTTCTTCTGGGGTCTGGGATAAATATTTGACTACTACAATTACTTCAAATTTTACAAAAAGATTGACTTTTTGATAATAATAATAAACCTTCTCACACTGATTTAAATCTAATTTCGCTACCATTACAGTTAAAATAAATTATTCTTACTGCTTTCGACAATGGCTTCTAAAATAAACTTGTTCCTTTAGCAAAATTAATAAAAATCGAAAATTCTTTAATACAAAACACGGAACAATATTTTTTTATTTGATTATGAAAATTATTTCGAAGTTAGGAGGTCTAGTATCAGGAAAGGAAAGATTTGGCAACGTCGCGGTTCGGGAGTACTTCTGCCACAGGATTACTGACGCCCGTATCCGCAGACCTCCAACATTTTCTACCGCCGCGATGTATTATTTATTAACGCCGCACTGGGGTGAAAAATGCAGGCGGGGCCAAAAGAAAATACATTAAAAGGCGAAATCGCTAAGTTTTGGCGTTTTATTGCGGAAATTTCCGGCACAACGTGCGGCAACGTCGCGTAAGCGTGTCAATGTCAGCGATGGCGCAACCTTGCGCCACGGGGACTGCCGTAGTCCGCGGCCGAATGTATTTCGTGACGTGACAGCCCGACGTCACGCGATTTTGTCATGTTGGCGGCAGGGCTTCGGAAATTCAAGTGTAAACGCGTGATTGCTCGCAGCGCGAGCTACGAAGCGACTCGAAACAACATTAAAATTGACTCCGACACGACGGTGATCGTCCAGGGGATCACGGGCAAAATGGGCACGCTTCACACGAAACTCAGAGCTGAGTACGGCACGAAATTCGTCGGAGGGGTGTCCCCGAAAAAGGGAGGAACGCGACACCTCGGGCTGCCGGTGTTTTCGAGTGTAGGAGCTCCGGGATTCCTCCACCACGAATATGACGTCGTTTTTTCAGGTGCTCAGCGCTAAGGAAGCGCTCAAGCCCGACGCGACGGTGATATTCGTCCCCGCCCCCCAAGTAAGGGAGGCCATCATGGAGGCGGTCGACGCCGAGCTGCCTCTCGTGATTTGCATTACGGACGGTGTTCCCATCAAAGACATGGTGTATATTACTCACGCGCTTCGTTCCCAGTGTAAGAGCAGGATGATCGGCCCCAATTGTCCTGGAGTCTTGGCCGCCGGGCGGTCCAGTATCGGGATCGTACCGAACGCGGTCTCGAAACGCGGTACTCGAGATATATTTATATACCAGAATTTGATTACTCCCCAAAAAACTACCCGCACTAGTCAAAAACCACTCCCCGTGCCACTGTACTGCGTAAAACCCCTCAAAAATAGGTTCAAAATCTACGCGATGCTCACAATAAAGCGTTCGCAACTCAATTACTCGCCAAAAAACGATTATAAAAGTGGCAGTGCCATTTAAAACTATGCAATAGTTGGATTACTCCCCGAAAAACCTTTTCGAGCTCCTCGCACTAGTCAAAAATCGATCCAAGCGCCACTGTACTGGGTAAAACCCTGCAAAAATGCGTTCAAAATTTACGCAACGGTCAAGATAAGCCATTGCCTACTCAATTACTCGCCAAACATCCGTTTTTAGAACTGCAGTACTAATTAAAACAAAATTACTCGTCAAAAGCTGATTTTGCGAATGAACATCCGCAACGCCTGAATTAGCATTCGTTAAAATATTAATCAAAATTCGCAGCAATATGCTGCAAATTATTGCTAGTCAGAAAAATGTTTTTAGAGTTACCACAACCTAAATTATTACCCGTTTTCACAGTTAAGTAGTAAATTATTACTCTTAAAACAAAAATTTTTAGAATTAACAAAACCCTAATAATTACTCATTAAAAAGCGATTAAAGCTCAACGAAAGGCCAGTTGCTAGCAAAAAATATTTTTTTTTAAATGTGAGCATCAACTATTGCAATCAATATACCAATTACTCGTCAAAATATCGTATCGGTTCGTTGCAGGATGCGTCGGGATAGTGTCCAGGTCCGGCACGTTGAGCTACGAAGTTATCAACCAAACGACCGCCCTGGGTTTGGGCCAAACGTGGAGCGTCGGTATCGGAGGAGATCCTTTCCCGGGCAGCAGTTTCGTCGATTGTTTGCAGGTATAATTAGTAGCCGACAGAGGTCGCTCTGCTCGCGATTAAACAGGCGCGTAAAAAGATCTTTCTCGAAGATGAAACGACGCGTGCCATCGTCCTGATCGGTGAGATCGGCGGAGAAGAAGAAGAAAAAGCATCAGACTATCTAAGGGAGCACAACCATCGGTGTTGCCACAAGCCTGTGGTCGCCTACGTTGCCGGATTGGTCGCGCCGGTCGACAGACGCATGGGCCACGCGGGGGCCATTATCACCAGGGGCAAAGGGAGGCCCGAGGACAAGGTCAGGGCATTGAGGGACGTAGGCGTCATCGTGACGAAATCCGTCGCCCAAATCGGGCCCGCTCTGCGCGACGTCATGGCCCGATCGAAGCTGATTTGAATTTAATCACACCACCGAATATCCGCACCTTGTTTACAATAAAACAATAAATCGACTCGTGTGCGTACATTTGCGCCCGGACTATTCGTCGCGTCTCGCTGATCTATTGCGCAATCCGGCAACGTCGCCGATCAGGTGATTTCGGTTTTCGCGATCGTTGGACCATTCGATAAGTTGGATTCGTAACGTGTTACGCGCTGCTGACATTTTTCTTTGCTAAAAATCAAATCCGGAATCGTAAAAACACGTTCCGCCGTAATATGCGTTTAAGTTTGGACGGTTGCGGATTATTGATGCGAACAAGAAACGTCTGTCCAACGGGGAATATTTCGTGTCACACCGTCTGCGTCAACAAACGAAAATCGTCCAGGAAGTTTTGTTCGGACGCCGTCATGGGTTCCGCGTGGAGGATGACGTAAGTAACGGATGAAGTTTCGCCAGAGTTCTATGAAGGAAATCTTGTCAATTTTCGGTTGTATTTTTCGAAAAAGCATTTTAAGGTTAGAAGTCAATGTTGTCATTAATTACTGCCAGAAATTAGAGCTGAAGTTAGTGTAAAATTTGTGTGCTAATAATAAAAAAAAATTATAAAATAGTTTTTTTATAACACCTATAGCGACTAGCAATAAAAACTACTGCTCCCAAATAAAACCACCATAATTGTTATATATTTATTTTTAAGAAAAATAAAAAACATAGATGGAATTCTTGATAATAAAACACGATGGCTTCGTGCTATTTCAAAAACTACCAAGTAAGAAACCGATAGCAGAAAGATTAATGTGTAGGAAGGTAATTTTTAAAATTTTGAAAATGGCCAACATACGAGGTGCGTTCAAAAAGTAAGGTGACTTAAGTTTTATAAAAAAAGTATTTATTTATTTATCAACATTAATACAATTGTGCTTTTGGAACAGGAACAAGTCGCAGGCGGCCATATCCGGTGAAAATGCCGGCTGAAGGCATGATTGTGGTTTTATTTTTGGCCAAAAACAGAAACAACGATGATTGAGCAGGTGCTTTATAGTGATGCAAAATCCATGAATCCATACGCCGTTGTCACCATTTGGAGCAATGTATTCCATTTTTTATACAAAATATCTTATTCTGATTAGATTAATTTTCGTAAAACTCAAAAACTAAGTGCAGAACAATGTCAAAGGAGGACGCAGTTTTGTTTGGATTTTTTAAATACACATGATGATGGTTCTTTGAAAAACATTTTATGGAATGAAATTATATAAAAAATTCCTATTTTCGCCGATTTGTCAAAAACGACCCGACTAAAATATGAAGTGTGTCACATCATTGTAATCGGAATAAGGTATTCTATTTAACACATATTTAATATACAGGACGTTCCAATTAAAAAAATATGATGTAGGCTTATATGTCAGAAAATTGATAGTGTTTTGTTTTATACGTCACTTGAAAAAAAAAACTTGGCTAGTAACCCTACATTTTGTTCTTTTGTTTACCTTGATATCTCTAAAAACAAAAAATTTACAGTCAATTCAAATGTTATCAAGATAAAATGAACGCACGATACGATTACAAAAGTCACCTTACTTTTTGAACACACCTCGTAATTTCCTACAAACATTAGACACGTAGACAAGAAAAAATAATTAAAAATATTGAATTGTATTGAATGGTTTGAGATAGGTGTAGGGAATATTGGGACAGCGTGAAAATTGTCCACAGTCGCGTGTTTGAAACTGCCTATACGTAAATTTACGTAATGTGCATGATTCATCGAATAAGAAGTAGAAACCGAAAACAACGAAACATTTCAATTTACAGGTATACAAAAACTACTAGGAAATGTGGCAATTACCAAGTACAACCGAAAAGTAAAGCTGTTTTGAACTACTACTAACTGAACTAACCAAAACTAACAAAAATTGAGCAGAAAGTTGAAGTTTTCGTCTTCAAATTATTTTTTTTCCTCATTTACATCTTTATCAGATGTAATATTTACAAACTACCTGCTGCTATATATGCCGAAAAATGACAATAAAACCTTAATTAATGTTGTGGTCAGAAATTAAGTTCAATAAAGGAGAGGTATTTAAATCTAATTGATCGTTAAGCAAAAAATTATAAATAAAAAACAAATCCAGACAACAGTAAACTCTATTTATCCGATACCTAATACAAAACACGGACAATTTAAAACAATTGCATACATCGAAGAACCCAGTAAAAAAGTGATTTAAAGATAGCTTTCAGAAATAACAACACAACAGGAATTTTTTTAAAAAAACAATAAAACGAAATGTCCAAAATCTCAAAAATCAGGTGTCTACAGGTTGAAATGCGGATCTCGTCCTAAAATTTATATTGAACAAACAGGTAGATCCTTCAAGAAACGCATTAACGAACATAAAAGAGCGTTTAAAAACAATAGTCTAGATTCTAATTATGCTACACACTTAAACACAGAAAAACACATTTTTGACGACAATTTTGATATTTTACATACAGCCACAAAAAGTAAAAAATTAAATTTATTGAAAGCCACCGAGATTAACAAAATGAGACGCTCAAATGTATTGCTTAACGATCAATTAGATTATTAAACTTAAATTCTCGTAACATTAATTAAGGTTTTATTGTCATTTTTCGGTATATATAGTAGCAGGTAGTTTGTAAATATTACATATACATAATTTCGCGAAAATCTGAACTTTTAGTTCTTATTTATTTTGTTAAATGGATTTTCATCAAGTAAAAACCACCTCAGTTCAATTTCAGATGTTTTTTTTTTGTTAGATTTAATCGACCACGGGGCGCAATCAGGTTTAACCCGGCAATTGTTAAATAATAATAATTATTAAGTCGTTAATCCATCGCGGTGCGGATTTCGCAACCCAAGCTTTTATCAATTGCGATTCCGGGAACCGCGCTCTCTCTCTTGCCCTCCCACTCCCCGGATGAGTCACGGGACTCGTGACACCGAAAAATCTTGCGTTCCGATTGGCCGAACGTGACCGAACGTCGTCCAATCGCGTCGCGCGAAATAGACGATCGTAGATTGACGTTCGCGACTGCTTGCGCCACGTCATTGTTGCATCGAAGCGTGCCGTGTGTAGACGTGTGTTGTCGTGCGTTCCGGCACAGATTACCGAGCAGTTTTAACGTAAAGCGACGAGCGTTTGAAAGCTTCCCCGAGCGTTTTTAGGGTAAGTGTTGCGATCGAGTAGGCCGCGCCAGTCAAATTTTACAGGGCGTCGCCATGTTTTGTAGCCTTTCGGATTCGCGTCGAATCGATCGCAGTGTCACTTTAGGCCGGCGTGTGACGTAGAAATTCGGCACCGACCTTGGCACTGAATCGCGCGCCCTCGCGACAAGTCGAGACTCGTTCGTGACGTTGCGCTCACATGGCGACAGCGCTAAAGGCGTCCGCGCACGTTTTCACGCGATCAAGGAAGAGCGTTTTATTTTAAGTTAATCATGACCCTCTCCCAATATAACTTTACCGATGTTATTAAAGTCTGTTTAAATCTAAAATAAAATTACAAATAATTTTTATTACCTACTTAAATTACATAAAATTATTCACGTAATATATCAGTATCACTATCGCTATCATCGCCTCTTCTAATTATTATTTGCTCTATATTATTGGCAATATGGATATACGATTGTTCTGTGGCAAGGTGGAAGCCTTAAAACTATGCCCTAGATTTTTTGCATAATTATCACAGACGTATTCCTTTTGTAGGTTCAAGCTTCGTAGAACCTCAATTAATTGCTTTTTGGTATAATCTTCGTGAAAATAAATGTCGTTATTATACATGTAGTTTTGGATTGTTGCTTTTGTGTCACACGAGGAAGGGGTTTTAGTCAACTGTCTACTGTGATAACTTGCATTGTCCATTATAATTACGCTATTAGGAGGAATGTTTGGAACTAGTTGGTTTTTAAACCTACTTTCAAATAAATCAGCGGTGGTGTCTTCATGATAATCCAGAGAAGAATCTTTAATATTTTTCGCAGACAGAGAAAGTCCGTTTGGAATCCAACCATCTTTAGAGCCAGCATGCAAAATAGTTATTCTTCTACATCTTTTTGATTTCGCGTTTGTTTTACACTTATTAGTTGAGTCAACCCAACCCTTTTCCAGGGTATCATAAGTGTCGAACCAGGTTTCATCCAAGTAAATAATCGGCCTTTGTTGTTCTCTGTAAAATGGGATTATTCGCAATTTTCCATACAGTTGATGTTGGAATTTTCGTCAACATGGCCGTTTCTTCTAAAGATGCTTGCTTGCTGGCCCCACGTTCAATGAGAGTCAAATAAACATTGTTTATAACTTCCTTAGTCTCAGTAGAATAGTGTTTTCTACATTCGGGCGGGAGCATCTCCTGAGATACACTAGACTCGCACATATTTTGCATAATTCGCACACGATTCAATACACGCTGTACCTGAGAATGAAGCTAGGAGTTGGGATTTAATTGCCGCAAAGTAGACAAAAGGCAAGTAGTAATGGAATCACACTGTCTGCGCGCTTTAAACGATTAGATAACGGATCCATAATTTACACGACACTGTATTCAAAGTAATGGGTTATTACACAGCAGGGATTTCACACAGAAGACGGATTTGTCCCAAACTGTTTTCTGTTGTCTGCGAAGAATGTTAAGGATTTCAGCTTGGATTATCATTGCAACACCAAATATATAAATACATTCTGTGGTATTGCATAGTGTAATTGTAATTATATAAATAATAGATAGATATTATTATCCAACGACACAATTGATTTTAATTCTGCCTTGGGTTCAATTCGATTAATAATATTTCTGTAAGATTCGGTGATAATGTCCTAATCTATGGAGACTATTACCGTTTTTTTTTTTTTTGTGATCTCGTCTACAAAATAAGTTTTATCATACGATTTGGCCCTTCAAAGTTCAACTGGTTAGTTTTTTTGTTTAAGTATCTTGAAAATAAAACCACCATGCTAAGTACCTTTTTAGCTAAAGTGCTGTGATAACTAGCATTATCATAAAATATATATTTGGAAGGAGATAATTTTTTACCCAATTTTCAAAAAGTTTGTAATAGTCTAATGGCAAAGTGCGAATAAAAAAATAAAAATGCCTCCTTGTACTGTCGGCTTTTTATTGGTTTATGCCCTCCCGTTTGCGACAAAGCCATACAAACAAGTCACGTGACCGCGTATCGTGCGCCGGAGCGAAGGGTACGTGTGTGGCCACCTTTCGGTTGTGTTTTTCCGCGAATCGATCGCGGTTAATTTCGGCCGCGCGCTTTTCGTGGATCTCGAAAAGTGACCTTCGAAAGTCGAAACGCGTTGTTTTTCCGCGAATGTTCGCTATTTCGCCCGTTTTAAATAGATAAGCGCCTCTATCTACGATCTTTGCTATCCAAGGTCGCACCTTCAGAGCCGTCGCTCATTTTTAAAAAGGAAATTTTTATCTTATTCGACGGCATGAAACGTCAAAATCTTAATTGATAATATACCTTTTCGTCGCCTCGGGATTTTTTTTCCGTTTAGTCGATTGCGTAAGCGTCGGGATTTACGCAAACTTGTCGATGCACAATATGTGTTCGTATGAACTGGGGAATATGGAAATGAGCAATGGACATATAGAAATAAGGAATTGTATCCAAATTGTATTGTATTGTATCCAAAATTTTCCAAAAAACTGGGAGTCGAAGGTCGAATCTATTGAAAATGTAATGGAAAAATGCATCTCAAGTAAATCAAATGCTGATGCTACAGAGTTGTTAAATATACGACCAAATCCAGTCAAAAAATATCACGTGTAGTATTTTAGTAGTAGTAAAGAAGAAGCAAGTTTTCTAAAATTCTCAGTTTGGCTTTCGCAATGGGTTATCAACCAAGACTGTTTAGTTTCCTTATATAATCAAATAGTCTCGAACCTGGATCAGAATAAAAAACATTATGTATATTCCTTGACTTACGGAAAAGTGTATATTATATTTACTTAGTTACGCATTTGCTTGTTCGGGTTTCTCTCTATTGGTTTTGTGTAGTTTTATACGTAGTAATACGTCTTCCACATATTTTCACTACTAAATTACTTCCTGTCCAATTCTGAAGCTGTAGAAGCTTCACCAGCACATTGTGATGGTAGAGAAGTACAGACAGAAATAAAATGAGTATAGAAAGCGTTTTCAATATGAATGGAAAAAGAAAATAAATTAAAAACTGTTTGATAGTGTGTAAATATAGATATAGGTGCTAGCAGTGAACCAGTGGAAGATGAGAAAAATTAATCCAGTTTAGGATTATATTTTGCAGAAAAAGGAAATGTTGCCTGTGGAGTTGTACCAATTGAATAGATTGTTTTATTGCTAGTGTGCAACCTACGGTCAGAAAGGCAGTAAAGCTTTGAATTTTTTGTTAAGGATCATTAAATTGAACATTTTATATTAAAATTAAGGAAAATCTCAAAATTTAACTGTGGGCTTCCGTTGTTGCAGGTTGAGCGTGTCGAACACTCAACTCTTTCTCTGCTGAGCCCTTAGGGTCCCAAAAATTTCATCACCCACACGAGGCGATTTTGAAGTAAGTAATACCGTTCACCTATTTTCTAAGCGACATTTCGACAGAGTAATGTAAGCACTATTTACATAAACGTGTGTTATTTTCAGAGCGATTTCATTTATCTGGTTGTATCATTTGCCCGTCGCCAAATATTACGTATTTGCGTGGTTGTGAGATATTAAAACGGACATGATTCCGTGGCGCCCGGTTTCTTTTGTCAAAGAGGCGGGGCTTGCCGCGCGACCTCTTCGCACATCGTCACGTAACCTGGCGATGAAATTTCCTTTCATTTTCCTGCATAACCTACTGTTTGGTAACCAGCGGGAGCATAGAAATTCTTCCTTATACCTCCATTATCGACTTTCTGACATTACCTGTATAAATATCTGTCAAATCCTTCGTTATTCACTTTCTGGAAGGACTTTTATACTTCGCGTATCCTTCAAGGGGAGTAGAAAATCTGCCTTACTTCTACCTCCATTATCAGCTTGCTAACAGGGCCTGTATAAATATCACACGTACACAATATCATATTTTTGAAGGGACCGATATTTATATTGCATATCCGACGAGATTATAAGTTCTCTCTTATACCTCCATTATCTAATTTCTGGAAGGATCTTTATACCTCACGTATCCTCCAAGGAGACTAGAAATTCCCCCCCTTATACCTCAATTATCAAATTTATGACAGGACCTGCATAAATATCTCACGGATCCTTCATTGAGAGTAGAACTTCTCTTCTTAGGACATCTCCAATATCAACTTTTTCAAGGGGCCCCCACAAATAAGTCTAGGATCTAGACAAAAAAAAAAACGCACTCCATTTGTAGCGAAAAGGTCGCCGAAGGTGGCGCCGCCGCCGGAGCCCTGGTGTCAATACGCGGAACTCCTGTTTATGATTCCAGTCCGTTTCGAGATGGTATTCACCGAGTCCGTTCCCGCTTGCTCCGCATCATGGCGAGAAACCGCAGGAACGAGCCCCCACCCGCGACCAAACATTACAAGCAGATCGCCCACAACGCAACAGGCAACACCGGCACCAACAGTACTACGCCATGGAGGACCTGGTCGACTATATAGACGCAGGATCTGTCCAATTCGTAAATCCGTACGAAATCAATCCAGTTATAGGCGCGAACATGTCGCCCGTAACGGATCCGCTGCAGGTAGGATTCCTCCGTCAGATGGACTCCCCCCCAGTGATCACTCGCTCAGTGATCTTGTTTCTCTATATAGATAACCGTGACGTCCTTCTAGAAGATACCTTGAATTTTTTTTGTGCGTAGAGATTTAGCAGGAGCTTCGACACGATGACTTCCTTCCTGCGTCGTCAGGAGGGCGGGAACCGCTCGCTCCCTAGACCGTCGGAGGACGTCCTCTACCTTACCATGTATCTATTTCCAATTTTATTTACCGGTAGTACCGCTTCCGTAGGGAACTCGACCTTCGAGAAACGGTACTACCCAGTGGCGGCTTAAATTTGTGTCAACCTAGTCGATGGCGAGCGTAAACACGATCTCCGTTTGCAGCAGTACCCGACCCAAGAGGACGTAGACAGCGGCTTGTCGGGTGGGACGTCGCCCCCGACACTCGCGGACGTCAAAGTCAAAATGGAGGAGTTCGGCGACCTCACGCACCTCGTCGCACCCTTGACAGATGAATTATCGACCCCGGTTTTTGGTAAGACCTCCCCCGATGCGATGCGCGCTAAGGTTTCAGTATTTTTCAAGAGAACTTTCCCATCAAGAGCTGAATGTTCCAAAGACTTCTCTTTGAGTACCGAGCGTTTCTGGTAATGGGATTCGTTAGGATATTCCTTTCTCAAACTTGTTTTGGAGTCTAAGGATTGATTAGAATGTTTTATATTTCGAAAACTCCGTAGGTCTTAAAATATTTTCTTGGTCAATCTTTTGAAATTATAATAATTCTTCCACAGACTTCGTATAGCCTCGTTTTTCGGTTTTAGGTGACCGACTCACAAACTTCTTCACCCAAAAACCACTTTCACAATAACAATAATATCTAAGGATATAATATTGTTGATATTTTAAGAACTCAGTAGGTCTTAGAAGATCGAGTGAACTCCAGACCTTGGAATATTTAATGGATGCATTTCTTGAAAACTTTATCTCATAAAGACTTTTGAAGACTTCAAATTCTTTAGAAATTTGCAATAGGAGGACGATCTTAGAGTGCTTTGCACATATTCGACAACAAATTCCAAAATCTTCTCATATTTTTCCGAGAAATTACTGTCTGTTACTGCGAGGAGAGAGAATTTTTTGGATATTTAATGGACGTTTGGCTTAGGACGCGCTGGTTGAATTCCCTGGGTTAGGATGGGGTCCTAAGGGAATTTACTCATAAGAACGACCGGGATTTTCGGTCCTTAACGTGGTTAAAGTTTTCACTGGCTTTTTTCTATTGCAGCCATTTTCTCAAAAAATTTTATCAATCTTAATATGAAACTTTCTCAGCGTACTTCATAACGCTATTTTTTTTACTGCGATTTTCATTCCTTATAAGGATCAGTTTTCGTAGGTTTCTTCCTAACGTTGCCACTAATGTTTCAAAAATCCCTCCATGAAATCCCGACTTGTCTTAGGACGAGGTTCTAAAATCATTGTTCGTTCTCTAAAAAACCCTTGGGATTTTCGTGCTTTACTTTTTTTTTGTTTCACTGGTGGCACTATTTTTTGAAAAAAATTGAGAAGAATTGTTTTTATGATATTTTGGCTTAATCTGTAGGCCGAGGTCGTAAGATAGACCAGAGTGATAAGAACCCTTAGGTCTTGTGGAGCCTTAAAAGGCTTGAAAGTTTTCTTAGTTTTTGTTTCTGTCGTCATTTTAAATCTTAGGATGTCACTCCACAAAATCGCAAGATTTGATATTATTGTCTAAGAAAATTCTTGTAACTTTCCGAAAATCTGTCCTAAATAGTTCTTGCGTTCTTTCATTTTCATTGTTGGCACTATTTTTTGAAAAAATGTGACGACTGTTTTTTATGATATTTTGGCTTAGTCTGTAGGACGAGGTCGTAAGATAGACCAGAGTCATAACAACCCTTAGGTCTCGTGGAGCCTTAAAAGGCTTGAAAGTTTTCTTAGTTTTTGTTTCTGTCGTCATTTTAAATCTTAGGATGTCACTCCACAAAATCGCAAGATTTGATATTATTGTCTAAGAAAATTCTTGTAACTTTCCGAAAAACTGTCCTAAATAGTTCTTGCGTTCTTTCATTTTCATTGTTGGCACTATTTTTTGAAAAAATGTGAGGACTGTTTTTTATGATATTTTGGCTTAGTCTGTAGGACGAGGTCGTAAGATAGACCAGAGTCATAACAACCCTTAGGTCTTGTGGAGCCTTAAAAAGCTTGAAAGTTTTCTTAGTTTTTGTTTCTGTCGTCATTTTAAATCTTAGGATGTCACTCCACAAAATCGCAAGATTTGATATTATTGTCTAAGAAAATCCTTGTAACTTTCCGAAAATCTGTCCTAAATAGTTCTTGCGTTCTTTCATTTTCATTGTTGGCACTATTTTTTGAAAAAATGTGAGGACTGCTTTTTATGATATTTTGGCTTAGTCTGTAGGAGGAGGTCGTAAGATAGAGCATAGTCATAACAACCCTTAGGTCTTGTGGAGCCTTAAAAAGCTTGAAAGTTTTCTTAGTTTTTGTTTCTGTCGTCATTTTAAATCTTAGGATGTCACTCCACAAAATCGCAAGATTTGATATTATTGTCTAAGAAAATCCTTGTAACTTTCCGAAAATCTGTCCTAAATAGTTCTTGCGTTCTTTCATTTTCATTGTTGGCACTATTTTTTGAAAAAATGTGAGGACTGCTTTTTATGATATTTTGGCTTAGTCTGTAGGAGGAGGTCGTAAGATAGAGCATAGTCATAACAACCCTTAGGTCTTGTGGAGCCTTAAAAAGCTTGAAAGTTTTCTTAGTTTTTGTTTCTGTCGTCATTTTAAATCTTAGGATGTCACTCCACAAAATCGCAAGATTTGATATTATTGTCTAAGAAAATCCTTGTAACTTTCCGAAAATCTGTCCTAAATAGTTCTTGCGTTCTTTCATTTTCATTGTTGGCACTATTTTTTGAAAAAATGTGAGGACTGCTTTTTATGATATTTTGGCTTAGTCTGTAGGACGAGGTCGTAAGATAGACCAGAGTCATAACAACCCTTAGGTCTTGGGGAGCCTTAAAAGGCTTGAAAGTTTTCTTAGGTTTTGTTCTTGTCGTCATTTTAAATCTTAGGATGTCACTCCACAAAATCGCAAGATTTGATATTATTGTCTAAGAAAATTCTTGTAACTTTCCGAAAATCTGTCCTAAATAGTTCTTGCGTTCTTTCATTTTCATTGTTGGCACTATTTTTTGAAAAAATGTGAGGACTGCTTTTTATGATATTTTGGCTTAGTCTGTAGGACGAGGTCGTAAGATAGATCAGAGTCATAACAACCCTTAGGTCTTGGGGAGCCTTAAAAGGCTTGAAAAGTTTCTTAGTTTTTGTTCCTGTTGTCATTTGAAATCTTAGAATGTCACTCCGTTAAATCGCAAGACCTCATATTATTGAAGCGTCTAAAAAAATTCTTGTAACTTTCCGAAAATCTGTTCGTAATAGTTCTTATTACGTGTCGTCTTTGTTTCAGAAAAAGACGCATTCGATTTTACCACTTACGTAACGCGGAAACCAACCAAGACCAATAATAATGACACCTACAACATAAAAGTCGAGTCGTGCAATGCGTACGCGCCAAACGCGGACAAACACGTATTCAGCGGCGACTTATTATTTGCCGGACTCGAAAACGAAGTCCCAATACTACTAGATACATATAGCGATAAGGACGTCGAATCTGGCGATCAGATTATATCGACTTTAACCGACCCGATCGTTCAGAGGACTTCGTCCGTATTATATTCGACGACGACGGCGGCGGCACCGACGTATATTACGCGAGACGTTTCGTCCCCGAGCCGTCTTCAGTACGGCGCGCCGGTCACGCCCGAGGACAGCGACAGCTGCGACGACGCGAAGCGGCAGCTGAAGCTGAATTTCGGAGTTTTCGGCGGAGCTCCCGCGAAGCCGGCCGTTTCCCTCAACACGCCCGACATTATCGAGGAAGTGGTCGACCTAGCGGGAGACAACTTCAACATATTGGACCTGGTCGACAACGAGGTAAAAAATAAAAAAGTAAAGTAAAAGTTAAAGTTAAATATACGCTTTGCATAAAAAAGGTTACTTTTTCTTTCGTGTTGTTTTGTTTGTTTAAGAACTTGACTTTACAAAGGAATACTTAAAGGTACAGGTGAAAAAAATTTGAGAGAGTGAGGAGAAGACCTAATAGTCGTTTGCTTTCTTCTTAAATTGAGATCGGTCAAGGGTAATTGCCTGTTCGGGTAGGTTATTAAAGATGACGTGGTAGATTTAAATTAGGTCTTGCATCATCTTAACTTCTTGTATATCTTTATTTCGTTGAAGAGAAAGTAGTTTTAAGGATTAACAAAAAGGTGAAAATCATGTCACTGTAGACAAGACTTGAAGAAAATCAATTTATCATCGATTTATAGTGCTAAGATTGAAGAAATACGTTCCATATTTACACTTTCAGACTTCCCCAGCCTATTTTCAATCATTTTAAAATTCCATTTTTATTATGGTGATATTCAAAAGAAGAGTTTGATTTTTCTGAGTCTGAGTCTCACTTGAAATCAAATTACGTCTTGAATTTCAAGGAAAAGAAGTGTGGTTTTTCTAAAATGTTAAAATTTCTGGAATAATTTCCATTAAAAAAAAAAGGGAGGGGAATTTTTGCTCCCCAGTGAAAGACGGATTTTTTTCTGAAAGCCAACATGATAACCTACATAATTCGCAATGATAATGGAGGACCTTATTATATAGTACTGAGATGATATTATAAATTCCAATTTTATTCGAACGGATCCCTTCTCTAGACCAGCAAAATTTCTTGTTTAATATGGCCACGAATAATTGAGGTTTTTGTGTTATTTATAAGGGATTATCAGATTTTTTTGATCATTTGCCACACCGCTAGCGAGGATTTATGAGCGAAAATGTTCTTCGGCAACCAACTTCTATTTTTCCCTGAATAAGAAGACCACATTTTAAAAGGCGCAAACCTCTTGCGTGTTCTGCTGAGTTTTTTTTTTTTTTTCTTTTTTCAAGAATTGCGGACTTAAATTTTTCTTCTTTTTTGAAATCGGAAAATATTCCAAGAAGTACCGAGCCTTTAACAAAACATATATGAAAAGAAATGAATGAAAGAATGAAATATACGTCGGATCCTTACATTGCTAGAACATTACACTTCTGACACTTCTGCTTTACGGCCTATTATCACTAGAAGTACATGTGTGAAGGCCATTAACAATGTATTAAAAATAAACTTCCTTACCTGGAGGTTCTCTTCTTATGAGTGCGTCATCAACTACTCTAGGAAATTTCTTTCGTTTTTCTGGAAATTTCACCTACGGAGGGAACAACTCTTGCCATTCTTGATATTACTCTGCAGGGAGTGTTTATATCGATCCCCATAAAGTCTGCTGTCTGTCTTAGGTGAGCACAGCGTTGGTTGTATACTATAAGTATTTCGTTATTTACCTATTGAATGGATATCCCAGCTGATCTTCCTATCAGACTTTTGCGTGGTCAAATCCTTGAAAGAACACCAAGAAACTAATTATCCACAAATTATCTATATAATTTTCAACAAAATCTGGAGACTTAATAAACCAAACCTATATATACCAATATATTTGGTCGATCGACTCCCATGAGACCCTTCTTCCACAGGACTTGCAAGCCCTCGGAGTAGAAGACGACCTTCTCTCGTCATTATCGAGCCCACGTGATCATCCCCCCTCTACCCCGTCGACCCCTTCGTACGCTTCGTCGACGAAGAGGCCTCGCAAACGGAGGTACTCGTTCGAAGATGACGACGAGGACGAAGACTACAAGCCTCCGACGTCGAAGAGGAGGCCGTCGACGGTGCGTCTGCGCGACATCGACGTCGAGGCGACGTCGTCCGACGACGACTACGACGAAGGGGCCGCGAAGCGGCGCACGCCCAAACGACGGGGCTCCGCTGGGGGCCGCGTGGACCACTACAGGGAACTGCGCGACAAAAACAACGAAGCGTCGCGAAAATCGCGACTGAAACGGAAAATACGGGAGCTCGAGTTCGAGAAGGAGGCGGACGAGCTCCACGTGAGGAACATCAAGCTCAAGGCGCAGGTCGAGGAGTTGGAGAAGATGGTGTCGACGTTCAGGAACAACCTGTTTCAAATATTAGTTAAGAAGTGAGCGGGAGGAGGGGGCGGGTTCTGCCGTTGGGCGGTGAGCGTGGGTGGTGAAGTTTCGTCGTTAATTTTTGTTGAGCCCCATGGATGTAAATATATCAAGTTATTTTAGCTGAATAATTACAATTTTTACCGTGGAAGATGTTCGAATAAGTGTTTCATAGCCCCAAGTGGCCACTTTCGGGCCACTCTCGTTGATTTTTTCGACAAATCATAGAAAAGTTTGGGAAAACTGCAATAATTTACTCTAGCTAAATAATTACAATTATTTTTCTCTGCACTCTTCGAAGCAGTTCGAGTAAGTTTTTTGTAGTCCTTAAAAGTAACCATTTTGGGGCCACTCTCGTTAATTTTTTAGTCTTTTTTGTTAAATCAATAAATTAATACAGAAGTTTGAGAAAAATACAATAATTTACTTTAGCTAAATAATTACAATTTTTCTCCGCACTCTTCGAAGAAGTTGAAGTACGTTTTTTGTAGTCCTTAAGAGTAGCCATTTTGGGGCCAATTTCGTTAATTTTTTCGTCTTTTTTTTTTTGATCAATTAATAAATTTATAGGGAAGTTTGGGAAAAATACGATAATTTACTTTAGCTAAATAATTACAATTTTTCTCTGCACTCTTCGAAGAAGTTGAAGTAAGTTTTTTGTAGTCCTTAAAAGTAGCCATTTTGGGGCCACTCTCGTTAATTTTTTCGTCTTTTTTGTTAAATCAATAAATTAATAGAGAAGTTTGAGAAAAATACAATAATTTACTTTAGCTAAATAATTACAATTTTTCTCTGCACTCTTCGAAGAAGTTGAAGTAAGTTTTTTGTAGTCCTTAAAAGTAGCCATTTTGGGGCCACTCTCGTTAATTTTTTCGTCTTTTTTTTTTGATCAATTAATAGATTAATAAGGAAGTTTGGGAAAAATACAATAGTTTACTTTAGCTAAATAATTACAATTTTTCTCTGCACTCTTCGAAGAAGTTGAAGTAAGTTTTTTGTAGTCCTTAAAAGTAGCCATTTTGGGGCCACTCTCGTTAATTTTTTCGTCCTTTTTTTTTGATCAATTAATAGATTAATAGGGAAGTTTGGGAAAAATACGATAATTTACTTTATCTAAATAATTACAATTTTTTTCTGCACTCTTCGAAGAAGTTGAAGTAAGTTTTTTGTAGTCCTTAAAAGTAGCCATTTTGGGGCCACTCTCGTTAATTTTTTCGTCTTTTTTTTTTTTGATCAATTAATAAATTAATAAGGAAGTTTGGGAAAAATACAATAATTTACTTTAGCTAAATAATTACAATTTTTCTCTGCACTCTTCGAAGAAGTTGAAGTAAGTTTTTTGTAGTCCTTAAAAGTAGCCATTTTGGGGCCACTCTCGTTAATTTTTTCGTCTTTTTTTTTTGATCAATTAATAGATTAATAGGGAAGTTTGGGAAAAATACGATAATTTACTTTATCTAAATAATTACAATTTTTTTCTGCACTCTTCGAAGAAGTTGAAGTAAGTTTTTTTGTAGTCCTTAAAAGTAGCCATTTTGGGGTCACTCTCGTTAATTTTTTCGTCTTTTTTTTTTTTTGATCAATTAATAGATTAATAGGGAAGTTTGGGAAAAATACGATAATTTACTTTATCTAAATAATTACAATTTTTTTCTGCACTCTTCGAAGAAGTTGAAGTAAGTTTTTTGTAGTCCTTAAAAGTAGCCATTTTGGGGCCACTCTCGTTAATTTTTTCGTCTTTTTTTTTTGATCAATTAATAGATTAATAGGGAAGTTTGGGAAAAATACGATAATTTACTTTATCTAAATAATTACAATTTTTTTCTGCACTCTTCGAAGAAGTTGAAGTAAGTTTTTTGTAGTCCTTAAAAGTAGCCATTTTGGGGCCACTCTCGTTAATTTTTTCGTCTTTTTTTTTTTGATCAATTAATAGATTAATAGGGAAGTTTGGGAAAAATACGATAATTTACTTTATCTAAATAATTACAATTTTTTTCTGCACTCTTCGAAGAAGTTGAAGTAAGTTTTTTGTAGTCCTTAAAAGTAGTCATTTTGGGGCCGCTCTTGTGGATTTTTTCGTTTTTTTCCAATAAGGAGAGTCAAGAAAAATCAAAATGCGAAGAAGAAATTTCCTGTATAGCATATTAAATTTGAAAAATATATAAAATAGCTATAAAACACATTAAAAAAAAACAAGCATTTAGTTTATGCAAAAATTTCGGAAAAATATATTAATTTACTTTAGCTAAATAATGCACTCTTCAAAGAAGTTTTGGTTAGTTTTTCATAGTCCTTAAAAGTGGATACTCTTTTATCTCTTACCAATGTTAATTTGCTTTTTCAAAAAAAAAAAAAAAATCCGAAGAAGAAATTTCCATAGGTTATTAAATTTGAAAAATATATAAAATGGCGATAAAACCCAAAAAAACATAAATCCATATATAAATCCAACTAATTTACTTTAGCCAAATAATTACAAATTTTTCGTTTTTTTTATTAATCAATAAAATTATTTGCTCTTTCCAATGTGAAGAGTCGAGTCAGCATAGCATATATTAAATTTCAAAAATATATAAAATGGCAATAAAACACATAAATTTACTCTAGTTTGTTACGATTTTTCCCTTCACTGTTGGAATATGTTCAAGTAAGTTTCTCGTAGTCCTTAAAAGTAGGGAAATTATTTTTCTTATTCGCTTTTTAGAAAAGGAATGTAAAAAAAAATCCAAATCCGGGGAAGAAATTTCCAGCGTAGCATACTAGCACATAAAAAAACACATTAATACATTACATTAGCTTTATAATTAAAATTTTTCATTTCATTCCTTCGAAGACGTTCGGGTAACTTTTTTGTAGTCCTTAACAGTGGCCATTTTGGGGTATTCTGTTATCCCTTTCGATTATACATTTGAAAAATGTGTAAAATGGCGAAAAAACACGAACTCCGCTCTCATTGTGGGCGTCCCGCCTCCCAAATGTAACTCTACCTTTTGTGCGCTACTGTGATTGAAAGCGAATGATGGCGCAGGCACTTGTTTGCACTCGCGGCGCCCGAGATGCCACCACGGGGCTGAATTGGCAAAAAGTGTCCGTTTTGACTTACTAGGGGCACTTATATTTTCGTATGAAGCGTATGTTATTATATATTAGAGGAAGCAACTAAACATGACCCGGCTAGTTGTTCGTTACGTTGCCGGGACGCGGGGGCCCCATGTCGCTTGCCACCACTTTACGCGGGGCTCCCCCACCATTTGCTTTATTTTCATACCCCCATCGAATTTGGGCATTGTCCTCAAAGTTATAGGTTAGGTTAGCGGTGGTCTTGATAGTGGATCCACTGAATTTGACATTAACATCGAAATTTAAAGAAGTTTTACGATTTACCGCGACGTTTAGTATTAGGTTTTGAGGTTATGAACTAAAAAAAAAAAGTCTGGTTTGAAACATGGGACAAATCTAAAATTCGTGACGTAAGCAGCTAATGAAAAGTTAAAGGCCAACTTTTTAATGTTAATGTAGTGAACCCGCTATTATATCGCGCCCCCGCGTGAACGATCCATCTCAAAGATGGCGGTCGATTGTATTCTGTTGAAAAAACTTTATCCGGTCGTTTTTATCTGTAGTTTAATACGTTAGCATTTGTTGTATACTGACGTCGGGCGAAACGGGAAACCACCGAAATATACTACGCCGTTCGTCGTTTATTTTAATAACTTTTGTTAAGATTATATGCGATTTGTTTAATAAACTTCATCATATTAAAGTCGTTGTTTGATTTGTCAAAACTTACCCCGAAGATTGACGCCGCACCGAAATCATCCGTTTTGCGTCGGGAAATCCTCTTTTCTCTTTGGTTTGCACTAACGATAAGCTCTCGTAACACTAAAATTGAAACAAAAGACGCGATGATTACAAAAACAGCTGCGAGCCTCGCAATATCGCAGTCGGCGCTCTCGCGTCAGGAACGTAATCGCGTGACATAACCTCTGCAAAATACACTGCCAAATGGATGTGTGTGTCATACTACAGAGTTTTGAAATGAAATATATGAAAATATGAATAAATTATTAATAAATCTCGCATAACTGGAGTGTAACTAGACTCCAACAAAAATCTCCGGTCTGTGACAGCGGATCATCCCGAAAATTATTGGTACTTAACCGGTTGCGTTAACCGCCTAGTTATCCGATTTCGATAAAATTTAAGCTAATCTTTGACAGGGAAATTTAGATTGAATGTCCCAAAACTCTAATTACAATATATTTTATTACATAACTTTAGGTTAACATGGACATTTGGCAGACTGTTTGTTTATGTTAATTAGTTACGTGTTCATTTTTTTAATTTGTCGTTCATTGTTAATACATTACGCTTTATGGAAAGTAGGTCATTAATTTTTCGAAGAAACTTCCACAGGCTACTGTAATGCTTTTTCTGGATTCCACCAGCGTCGGTTTTTGCTGAGTCGAACTTGCTGACGTTTCGCCAATCATCCTGTTGGCTTTTAAAATCAAATAATTTGCACAAATAATTAGCTAATATTTGCGAATTAGACCGCGTTTGCCAAGGTCGTGAAGGTTAACGACATCATTAGCTATCAAGCGTGCTGCTTTCCCTCCGCGCCATCTCTCGGACGAGTTTCGAAACCGCACGTCTCGACCGCCGCCAATGGGTAGCGCGGCGATCCAGAAATAAAACCAGAATGGAACGCATGTTATAGCCTATTAGTTATCATTTGTTGTAATGATGCAGGGCAATACAGAAAAAAAAATTTTCGTTCAGATTTCATGAGATTCGCCTAATAAACTTCATCATATTAAAGTTGTTTGATTTCTTACAATTCACTTCGAAAGTGTACGCGTAACGGACGTACTTGTTTTACACCAACGCTGAAAATAAAACGCCGAGTCATTTCACTTCGGTTTGCACTTTCGGAAATTGAAATATTATAAGACGCAACGATTACAAAAAGAGTTCGCATCAACGAAATGGCCGCCTATCGCGTCACGTAAGAAAGGCTATCGCGTGACGTAAGGTGCTTTACGAGACAAATTCCGAAAGTACCACTGTACATTTTCATTTAAACTACAATTTTCTGCCCTATCATTATTACTAAAAATCACAGACATTAAAATCATTTTCAGTCCGTTTCATCTAGTTAGTCGGGCCATTGCTGTCGTAACGTCAGATAAATTAAATTGCTAACTTCAGGTTTGTTAGTCGGAAATAAGACATTCAGTGTGAGTTGTATATTTTTCGCCTTGTATCCAGTGAAATCCGATAAAAACCAGACTAAAAAAACGCATTATAATCACAAACATTAGGTATAAAAATGCCGCTTTGGGGACGATTTTATTATCATACCTAGAAACCGTAGAATTATCAGATTCGCACTAGGTAAATTTAAAGGCTCCCTGTAATTAGCTAATATTTGCGGATTAGGCGATGATGGTCAAGGTTGTCCAGGTGGCGTTGACCATGGCAGTTAACGACACCGCCGATATAATTAAATATCAATTCTGATATTCGTCATCGTAAGCCTTGTAAACAACTCTTTATATTGTTTAATGGGGATTCAAGTCTGACTTTCATTCTAAGGGCCTTATTCGACACGGTCTATTTATTTTTATAATTCTTAACATCTAGTTGCAAGAACATTGAAATTACTTTGGAAACTTTATTGACTTCTCGATCCTTTTATCCGTTTATAAACAACAGCTGCCTCATAATTCTGAAACACTTCTTATAAGACGGTAGTTATGGGCTCGCAAAAAACTAATCTTTCATGCCTGGCCTTATCTGTGGTTACATTGGTCAATCATCGAGCTTATATTCATAATATTAGTTTCGGTTAGTTACATCGCTGCCTAGATTTGCTGGAACGAAATATTGACGCCTTTGATGAATTTATTGCCTCCGAGGTCAACAATCTCTTATAACACCGGCGATCGTAGTCAGCGCCATCTCTGGTTCCGATTTCGAAACCGCACGTTTCGCGCGCCGTTACCGGATGGCGCCGCTAGCGAGAAATAAAACTAACAATTGTGAATCAGGTTTTATTGCCATAGACTTTACATAATGCAACACACGTCGTTTTAACACTTATTTACGTCCTACTGCGTATTTTATTTTCACCCTACGTCGGAAATTAGATCGAATTTGCATGGGCAGCCCGTCCAAACTAACCTCGGCGTTCTGCGGTACGTCAGCTGTCATTCGAAACTCCCAAATTAAATATGACATTGAAAACTTCGACGTATAATAACGTAAGTGTAAAAAATCTAAATTATAATAAGTAAAGAGCGCGAATAAAATACAAATACACCGCCACCAACGCTTATATATTTTTTATGGTCACATTCAACATGCCATTCTACGTAGACGATAGGATATGTGTGTGCGTGCGCGGGACGACACGGGGGAGGAGTCTTAAAATTTTGTCTTGCCGAAGATAAAGTTGCCAGGCTCGGACGGGTTCTCCGACACGAAGAACTGCTTCCACAGCTGCTTGAACTGCTCGAAGTTCACCTCCTTTTGGCCCTGCAACACCAAGCTTAAAATAAATGTCCTTAAGTATCTGTTTACGAAAGTAATACGCTTCAGGAGCTTGATAGTAAATAGAGTGCTTATATTTGCTCGTCTTATAATAACAGATGATTTCCGAGTATGCGTTAGAGAGTTTTATAACAACATTTTGATATTTTTATAATATCCCTGTCTTTTTTAGTCTTTTTTAGTTTTAGTTTAGTTTAGTTTTTAGTTTTTATCCATTTATCTACGTCAATATAAGAATGTGTCGAAATAATAAACGTTTTTAAGTCCTAATTAGTTTATTGTTAACAACACCTACACAACATTAGATATAGTGATGAATGATGGAACGAGATGATAGATACAAGGAGAACGCGGGAAAATAAAATCGGAAGAAGATCGCATTGCGGAACTGAGACGGATAAAGATCGGAAAGGATCGCCAAGAATGGAGATAATGAAGGGAAGCCTATGTTCAATATTTTACGGAAGAGGTTGTAAATTTCAAAGCAGTTCAAAGTAGTTGAACTCACCCCCGACATTTTGACGAAGGCCTCCCTGCATTCCTTCGCCTCCAGGCCGTAACACGAACACACGCTCGTGAACTCGTCAATGTCGATGGTGCCGTCGCCGCTGGCGTCCTCCAGATCGAACATGAAACGTTGGTACTGCGTCTGCCACTCGAGCGCGTTCTCGGGACTTTTCGAATAGTCGTCCCACATAGACGCCCATTCTTCGACGCTCACCTACCCGTTTCCGAAATTTTTAAAATCTAGCGTTCTTATTTTCCATTTTCTGTAGATTTAATATGTTGTTCATAAAATCGGAAGCTTTGTGTATCATTTTTACAAGAAATTTCTGGATGAAGTCAGAATTTCTTAGACAAAAGTCGGAATTTCTGAGAAACAAATCAGAATTCCCGAGAAACTAGCCAGAATTACTTACATAAGTGCGGATTTCTAAAAAAAGTGAAATTTTTAAATAAAAGACAGAATTTCTACGAAACATGCCGACATTTCTGACTTAAGTCGGAATTTCTTAGACACAAGTCGGAATTTCTAAGAACCAAATTAGAATTCCCGAGAAACCAGCCAGAATTTCTTACATAAGTGCGCATTTAAAAAAAAATCAGAATTTTTAAATAAGATTTCTAAAAAATGGTAAGAATTTTTAAATAAAAAGACAGAATTTCTAGAAAATATGTCAAAATTTCTGATTTAAACCAGAAATTTTCAAAAAGAAGACGGAATATCTAAGAAACATGTCAGAATTCCGAGAAACCAGCGAGAATTTCTTACATAAGTAAGGATTTCTAAAAAGTCAGAATTTTTAAATAAAAATTTCTGAGAAAAATCAGAATTCCTGAGAAACAAGTCAAAGTTTTTTACATAAGTAAGAACTTCTAACGAATTTCTAAATAAAAAGACAGAATTTCTACGAAATATATCAATTTCTGACTTAGTTCCGAATTCCTCAAAAACAAGTAGGAATTTCTGAGAAACAAATCAAAATTTCGCACTTAAATGAGAATTTCCGAAAAATATATCCTTCATTGTCTAAAACGACGATATATAACCACCCAGACATGGTTCAAATGTTTAATTCCCGATTAGTTAATCGGCTTAATTAATTAATATTATAATGATGTGTATGTTTTCATAAGAAGAAAGTTCCTTCGTATGAAGCAGCTTAAGGGACACCAAAAATACAGTTTACTTTGGCAATTTCTGAAATTCCTGAAAAACAAGTCAGAATTTTTTACATAAGTCTGCTGATTTCACTAAATTATCTAGATAAATGGAGTCAATGTTCTTTCATCTGTCATAAAATGTCAGGATTTAATAATATTTCTGACTCATTTTTCAGGAATTATGGCTTGTTTTTGGGAAACTCTGCCTTGTTTCTCCGAAAATTTGACATAAAAAATTATATAGATAATACGAATATATAAACACTAATTCGTCCTTTAATATCATCTGCATTCGACTCAAAATAAATCTTGTTTTTTAAATACCCCCTACGCGCTGGCCAATCATCCATGATGAATATTCGGTTATTCTGATGTTTTTTAAAAGATTTTTTATATCTTCAATGTCATTTTTTTTACACACAACGAATTTTCCAAGCAAGTAAAAACATTTGATATAGAGTATTATATATAAGTGTCTAATCTACACACCAAACTCTACAACTTTTGCATTAAACTTTTTTTTCTAAATGTAAAATAAAAAGTTAAAAGGTGACATTTACAATGGTCGCCCCACCCACCTGCCCGTCTTTGTTTGAATCGGCCCTTTGTCTCAAACCGTCCCAGATCTGGATCATGCTGTCGAAGGTCCTCTTGTATTGCTCGCTGCCCTGGGGCCAGCCTCTCAGCGAGCATATTTTCTAGAAAATAACTCGTCAATGCCGCAGGAATTCCCAAATTTTGCTTTTAATTTAATAATTACAACACACGGCATTATGCCAAGAAAAGAAGAAAAAACAGGTAGCAGAATGCAATTAGGACATTTTCAATTGTATTGTTATTATTTGTCGACACCAGTCTTCCAATATGGTAGTTTAAGCAAGCATCGATCAAATTTGGCGGTAAGGTTAGATTAGTTGTCGTTCGGGTTCGTTACAGACCACAGAAAAAACCACGATGCAAAGAACATACGTTCTGAGCAATGACGTCATGCGCAAATGACACGGTAATAAATGTTTCAAGCTTTTCTTAGTTTCTTGTGCAAGAATAGAGAAAGATTTACTTTGCGCGATTCGTGATATCCCAATGCACACCCGCAACTACTGAAAGAGAGAGGACGTAATTGTTTTAATTAGAAAAAAGCTTTAGTACTTACAAAAACAAGATAAAATCAATTTTAAAATATATAGGACCTTATTCAGTCATAAAGTTACTAAATTAAGTTTGTAATTTCATATATTTTTTGTTTCTCCTGATTTTTAGCTTAAAGTCGGTAGCTAATAATAACTAAAACAAGTATCTAAGAGGTAGCAAAATGTGCACTAGTTCTAGCACTAGAGTTTAAAATGGACAAATTTACTTTGTGTTAAGATTACCGTTTTTTTTTGTGATGCTTACTTTGTTCAATTGTGACAATGCCTTGTTTGTTTCTTTTTTCAAATAAAAGATCATTTTGACTTTGACACAGAAGGTAATAGAAACCAGAAACGCGCGCTAATAACCGAACAGAGTATAAGAAATCTAACTCAATGTTTTTACAAAAAGTGAGGTTATATTTTAACGCGCCGCACGGCGTCGTAGAAAACTATCGCAAGATGCATACCTTTATACGGCGATTGTTTTTAACTCACCTCGATGGCCAATTCGAAATCTTTCCTATCGATAGTGCCGCTCTGATTGACATCTGCAACAAAGACACCACTCATGACGAATCATAAAATCCAGGTATAGGTTACCCAATTATAAATTATATAAACTTTGTTAATATTAGTCCTACCATGATGTTTAAATTATCAGAGTCGGAGCATTTTTCCTAAACCTTCCGATTCTGCAATCAAAAATATAAAATAAAAAATTTATTTTGGAAAGTTAAATCGAATACTCCGTATTCGAATATGTCAATGGATTGCAGTTTTTCCCCTATTGCGCATTTTATCTAATATTGGATGTGAAGAAGTCGATAACTATAACTATCGTTTAAAAAATCAAATTAGCCATGACAGCTGTTGTCATGGTAACCGGCGTAGTTAACTGTCATTTGATTTTAGAATGGTATTCACACAAGCGAAAAAGTTAGACATTTTGTCGGTATTTCTAAAATGTAACCAAAACCAGAGTTGAGATTACATCCTCACAGAGTGATTCCAAGCAAAAAACATTTTTTTTTCTACTCCCGTCAGTAAAATGTCCAATTACACGCCGATCTAGCATGCGGGAAGCGTCACTTTACCACGTCAGTTTCGTTTCCCACGGATCCGAGCCACTTCGGACATTTCCGGGAGTAATCGTATTTTTTCGGAGATTTTGAAATTTGTCAATTCTGACGACTATGTGAGTCAATGTATTCGTGTTGTTTTGCAAAAAGTAAAGTAACGTATGTGACATTTATAATTTAAGTTTCCCACAGAAATTTGACATACCGTTCACGTGAACTGCAGTGGTTTTTACAGGTTTTATATGAATATTGTACGATTTTCGAATATACATGTCTCATCAGTACAAACAAAACAAAGTTAGGACCTGCTGTTTCTTGCTTATACGACCTTAAAAATTTAATCCTCTTTAAAGCCCGATCCTTGGATGGTTTTTCTTCCAATTACACAACTTTTTTTTTTGTAAAGGTTAAATAAACAACAGGCCACCGATATTTCGGTTTCCTTGGATTTATTATTTTTTTATGCTTGGGATAATATGGGTTAAAATTCATAATAGGATCAATAATAACAAAGTTATCCGCTTAGTAATTTATAACGGGAGGCCGGCGCATGTTTATTTAAACGTATACTTTGGAAATAAATCACTCCGACTAAACAAAATCGTTTATTCGAAACCCAACGAACGCAAAACAAAATCCCAATCGCTACGCGACAATGGCACGCTGTTTTCGACGCGCTGGCCAGCGCGTCACGTCGTAAAAGAAGAGGCCATGCGTCAAACATCCGTGACAGGGCCGCATTAAGTTTCGTGCCGCGCCCGTAGCATCTTCCACAAACAGTCGATTTCGAAGCGGCAGCGGCAGTCGCGGTAAAACCTCTCGCATTCTTCATTGTCGCGTCTCTTGAAAACGCGCAGCAGACGGAACAGGAACGAGCGGCAGCGGCGGCGTTTCTTGATCAGCGCCGTTCCCTTGCGGAAATCGTTGGAAATCTCGAGGCCGGCCCTGAACTTGAAGTATTCGTAAGCTCTCGCCAAATCCAACGACAACGAGTAGCAGTTCAAATCGTCGGACCGTGTGGAAACTCGCGGCATACCTTGTTTGCGGGTATCCATGTTTCGGGACAGTGATTGCGTAGGGGACTAAAGGTACCTGTTTAAATACCGATCGAGACGCTAGGGCGACCCCATTTCGTTTAACGACCAGTTAAGTGCGGCGGAAATCGGTTTTATTGCCCGACCTGCTACGGTAATTAAGACGTGCGGTACAGGATTGATTTTGAAAGATAGAAAAAACGGTTTAAATACAAAAGTTTGGACGTTTTTCATTTATTTTCTTACGCAGATGTCCGAAAAAACAAACGACGATCGCGAGCTGTCAAAGTGACAGCAACATCTTTCTTTTTTTAACGGAATGCCCTATATATTATTAGCTTAAATCATAGAACTTTTTTCCCCGATTTCAAAAACATAGTTTATTGACATTTCATTTGGCCGTTTTCAGCTTTCATTCAACCATTCAATAATATCATATGAGATTTCTAACCTCAAAACATAAACAAAATTAGTCATGGAGCGATATACGACTGAACAATGTGTAAAAATTGTGCAAGCCTATTATGAAAATGGTCGATCAAGAAAAAATGGGACACGGGGCGCAAAATCGACCTTCTGAGAGGAAAATTTGGAATGTGGTTCAAAAATTTGAGCAAACTGGATCTGTAAATATTGCCATTGTTCGCGAAAGTGTAGCCGAAGATCCAAACACATCGATTCGTCAGCAAGTGGGCCTTACGTATTCAACCACACAGTGAATTTTAACAAAAGACTTGCATCTACACCCATATAAAGTCCAAATAACTCAGGAGTTGAAACCTCGAGATCATCAAGAGCGCCGCGTGTTTGCAGAATGGATACGAGAACAAGGGGTTCAGTTTTCAATGAAAATCATCTTTAGCGATGAGGCACATTCTCACGTTGGTGGCTTTGTAAACAAACACAATGCTCGTATACTCCCCTAGATTTTTTTTTGGGGTATCTAAAAAGCAGAGTGTATAGAAATAAACCAAACACTATTCCAGAGCTGAAACAGGAGATGAGACGCGAAATATCCGGCATAGAACCCGAACTGTGTCAAAAAGTGATCTAAAATGGCAAATAAAAATGTTTGTATATTTTTATATTCTTCCGAGTTTTTCTTTTATTATTTTAATATGGAAACCCTTATTGAATCACCCTTTAGAAGAACTGGAGGAGTGATGGCATTCATAAGATATGATGTAAAGTACAAATTAAAGAATGCATCTTGTGTACAGAATTATGTATGGCTGTTGTCTGTAGTGCTATTTAGGTCAAAATATCTATGTAGTGTTTCTATATCATCCTCGACAGTTGGAATATGAAGAAAAACACATAACCTCGATTTCTGCCTAAACCATGCAAGATTCGAATAGGAATTTCTTAAGAAAGTGACCTTTATTTTAACCTAGGATTCCAAAAATGTTAAAAATAACATAGTTGATGTCAGAGGGGACACTTTTGGGACACCCGGTATGAACTAAATTATAGTATTTGAAATCTTCAGGAGAGTCCAAGAAACTTTCGTACAAAACTTTTTTCGGATCCGCTATGGGTCTCGTTTTATTTGGCACACGGTGTACTTTAAATAAAGGAAATATAAATGTCAGAGATGCGATGCTGTATGCGCAGTTTGGAAACACTTGTATTGTTGGTTACTTTTGTACCATGTGTACTATGTACCAGGATAAAGGCCGGATATACGTATATACGTAGACAGGTACCTACAAAAAATAAAAAGTAATCGGGTTTAATGGGGAGGCCAACCGCCATTGTCGGTAATAAAATTGGACTCCCAAATTAGGTTCGCCTCGTAATGGACCCCCCCCCCCCCTCACCGCGTTACGTGCCCGCCGGCGCGAATGGGCCCCGGAAAATAAGAAAATGCAAATTTTAATTGATCTTTTAAGCGGACAGGCGAATTTAAGAAACGGGACCATATTTTTTTACGGGCGCCACTGGTTAATACGTTCTCTGCTGACGTAACGCAAGCTGTCGCTGAAGCGCCGTAAAAATGTAGCAAATTAAAAAAAAAAACGAGCTTACACAAGTCACAGTCTGCTTAACTGTAGAGAACTAACCAAAACCGAACAGTGCCGAAGCAACGGCGATTTGACAGCTTCGAATTTTAAAAACACCATTTTATAAGCGTTGCAAACAGGTAAACTCTATACACCCTTACATACGTTTTACCATGGAATTTGACAGTTGGAAAATCAGACCTAACATTGGGTAAAGCCGTAAAGCTATCTCACCACGAGTCATTGAAACCAGAATTAAAACACCTTACCTCTGCTCTTCTCTCTAATAATTTCCACATTAAAGATACTAAGCGGTCCATCACAAAATACACTTCACCACAACCTTCCACTAGCATTGAGACCAGAAGCAATTGTCACTGTGGTCCTTCCTTACATTCAAAACATCACTGATCACATATCAAAAGTTCTAAAGAAGTATAACGTCAAAACCAGATTTACCACTTGTCCAAAAATCTCTCAACATCTTCGATCAGTCAAAGACAGAATATGCATTTACTGAATCCGAGACTCTCTCTACTTCTACTATGGACATAGTTTTTTTAACCTTGAGGGCTGTCGATTGCCCAAGAGCCCGCGAGAGTGAAAACAGTGACAAACATTTTGAAGAAACGTAAATATCTCTAAAATGTGGAGACCGTGAAACGAAGCAGGTGTTCCCCTGTTAGAAGAAGACGTGGAAAACGACGCAAATACGGATCCATTTGTCTTCGGTTGCTAAACAAATTGTATAGTAGTTTTGCTTGTGTAAAATGAAAGCATCGGGTGGAATCTCAGTTAAGTTTGATCACCCGGCAAAAGAATATAACTTTTCTGCATGGTGTCTTAAGAAAACCTTTCATATATGTTTTTTTAAATGATACGTTTTTTATTTGGCACACTTTTTTTATAACCTACAATGTGCCGCCTAACCGTACGCAAATAGTTGATCGGTGTAGGTACAGCGGTAGCCGAGATTCTAAAAAAACACAGTTTACTTACCGAAGAATACGTTGAAGACGTAGAGCAGTTTCTTTTTCCTGAAGTCTGAGATGGGCATGTTCGCTAACCGGTTCTGAAACGGAAAAACCCAATGTTACGCCAATGATACTTCCGACCGGCGCCGTTCTAAACTACAAGCCGATGCGTCGCGACTCGTTTCCGTGCCTTTCGATCTTCCTCGCGAATCCGATGGGTTTCGACGTGCGAACAGGAAATTAAAATTTAACGCGATCACTTTCGTCGAGCTATAACAAAAAAACCTTCGTTTGATTCGGCCAGGCATGAAAACTCGATCGCTGAAACAACTAAATTTGTACGGGAATCTAGTAACTACGCCTATTTTATTCGTGTATGCGGTACTTTCCATATCATCGCCTAGAAACGGTGCATCAACTGCACGCTACGTCACGGACCACGTGACGGAGGTTGCGACCCAGAACAACACTGAGGTCGCTTTTACTCTTATAGCTATGGTCTGTTCATAGATATAAGAAAGTGACCAATTGCTTTTGAATGGGATTATCCAAGGGTGGTCATTAACATACAATGCAACAAGATTATTACCTAAAGTTTCGGAAGTCAAATTCAGGTAACATCTAGAAAAAATTAAACTGGTTCGACATGTATGATACCCCGGAAAAGGGTTGGGTTGATAAGTGTAAAACAAATGCGCCATCAAAAAGAGGTACAAGAATAATTATTTTGCATGCTGGCTCTAAAGATGGTTGGACTTTCTCTGTTTGCGAAAAATATTAAAGATTCTTCTCTGGATTACCATGAAGACACCACCCCTGATTTATTTGAAAGTTATCACAATAGACAGTTGACTGAAACCCCTTCCTCATGTGACACAAAAGCAACAATCCAAAACTACAGTTATAATAATGACATTTATTTTATTTTCATTAACCAAAAAGCAATTAATTGAGGTTCTACGAAGCTTGAACCTACAAAAGGAATACGTCCCAACTGAAATCTGCCATTCGTCGTAACAATGTTTTCCCCGTGTTAACTCCAATGTCCTGAAACTTATAGAAACCGAAGTTTTTAACATCCCTCCACAAAGGTGGGCAAATTCTGTTAAACATATAGAAAAAGCAGAACAATCGTATATCCATATTGCAAATAATATAGAACAAATAATAATTAGAACAGGCGATGATAGCGACAGTTATACTGATATATTATGTGAATAATTTTAACTAATTTAAGTAGGTAATAAAAATAATTTGTAATTTTATTTTAGATTTAAACATAAATACATACATAATTAAATTCTATTTCATTCTTACAGCTTGCCCGGGTCTTTCCTTAATTCGTATCAGTTAGTCATTCTTATATTTATGAACAGACCTTACTAGACATAGGCCCTCCCAATGCTGACAGTACAGGAACTCGTAAAGCATCTATGTAATTTTTTTTGAAGGTCCGTTCAACGTGCCCATGCGCGAGATTTAACCTAATTGCGAATTCTCACGTTGGACCCGCAAGACCTTGCGGCTTTCAACAACTCAACATGGCCGCTGACAGATCGTTCGGATGCGGCATTTTTTCGGCAATATTTTAAGAAAACATCGAATATATACATCGTCTGCAATTAAGAATTCGTTTTCTGTTTTGCCGTCATTCAATAACTGAAGACTGGCTTGCGAAAGGTGGCAATTGTTATCGATTAATTGCGTAAAAATTACACGTAAACGTCCGCGAATCGACACGTGGTAATTATCTCGTGAATAATTCAAGAGCGACGGCCGAATTTTCGAATGCGGGTCATCGGAAAATCGATGGCGGCAAAGTTTCGAAACGTTGTCAAAATCCCGATTTTATTTTTGTTCGGGATTTATTTAGAGGACCGCAAATATTTGCGGCTACACTTCACGATGTTACCGAGGCGTTTTCGAATAATCGCTCGGAGGACGAGCTAGCGGCGGAATAATTAATTTTAAATCGTGAAATCGACTGCCCGACGATCGGACCACAGACCACCGAACGGGTTGTAATCTCCACCGCTCCAATTTTTTCATCCAAACTTCATGTAAGCAGAACAGAACAGACATTATGTTACTTTTTATAAAACTTCGACAACTCTGGGGGCCGTATCTGGACTATAGGGAGGATGATCTATCTGTTGGAACCCACACTCTAAAATGGCAGCTTGTGCAACACCAGCAGTATGGACAGGTGCATTATCGTGCAAAAGACGCACGTCTCTGGTCAGTTTTCCTCAACCTTTTACACGTATGCAGTCTTTTCTTTAAAATCTATCAAAAGAATTCCTTCACAATCCCAAAAGATCTTGGCCATCACCTTTCTTGTCGACTGGCAGACTCTGAATATTCTTGGAGGTGCTTCACCCTTACGGCGCCACTCCATTGATTGTTTTTTCGATAGAGGGTCATAATAGAGAACCATAGTTTCATCTCCCGTCACAATAGTTTCTATCACAGGCTTCGGTTCCGACCCACAGCCGAAAGGTTTTTAGGAACCCATCTTGTACTAACCTTATGCATACCTAAATGATCATGCAGGATTCCACGAAAACTTGCATCAGAAAGCTTAGTAATTTCTGAGATTTCCTTGACCTTTAAACGTCGATCACTCAATACCACCTCTTCCACAATCGCAACAATATCTTGAGTTATGACCTCCACTGGTCGACCAGTGCTTGAATCATCTTCAAGGGACTCCTGCCCCATTCGAAAACGTTTTGGTCATTCTTTGACTACAGACTACGAAGGAGAACTTTGGCCGTACACACCATCCAGCCTTTCTTTAATAATTTTATGTGCTAACCCTTCTTTTGTCAAAAACTTTATGACTGCTTTATACTCAATTTTGGCGCTAACCTCGTATAAGCAGCCAGTTTCAGTTAAACTCTGCAGAAGCCAACAGGATGATTGGCGAAACGTCAGCAATTTCGACTCAGCAAAAACCGACGCAGGAGGAAACCAGAAGTTTTGCAAAAAGTAATACGTTGTTACATTGTTGGTTAAAATTCATGGATACTGCCGCGTGTCTCTGCATTTCGGAATATTATGGCTTGAATTTGCACTGTCGCGTGTTGCTGCCCTTCAGTGCCGGTGTGATTATTTGCTACAGGATACTTCGTGTGTTTCTGCTCTTAGTATCCATTGCACGATCGTAGTAATCACCACTAGTTATTGAAATAGGTACTATGTGTGTTCTGCCCTTAGTACCAACCTAAACTCAGTTCCAGATTTTATGCCATAACAAAATATATCTGTTATCTGTGATTTCTGGTGGCAGTAAGTAATATTAAGTTTGTTTTATTAATCTTACTCAGGATATTTTTTAGTTTCAGATGCAAACCGTGTCATCTCGCTGTTAGCCTTTCGTTTTGACCAAAATACTTAATGATTATTCATTAATATATATATATATATATATATATATATATATATATATATATATATATATATATATATATATATATATATATATATATATATATATATATATATATATATATATATATATATATATATATATATATATATATATATATATATATATATATATATATATATATATATAAATATAAAAAATACCAACGATAAAATTAAACAAAATACTCTGATACCTACATAGTATACGTTTTTTTTTGCAACATATCTTCACAAATTTAACAGATGTGTACGTGTGTACGTAAATATTCGGGAGCGAAGTTCACCGTCTGGCCAGATACCGGTCTGTGTCTAATCCGATTATCAAACGGCGGTGACACTCCGAGACGCAACTTTTCAAATTAAACGCATGCAATAATGATTTCCTAATAAACCACGTTCTAAAAGTTACTAAACTAAACACTAAACAGATTCGGGTAATAGCTAAACCGCTATTCGATTATTTGTAATTTATTCTGCGACGGCGGAAGTGGCAATGGGCGAGTGCCCCCCCTAAATTTGCCCCGACGCGACGTAAAATGCAAAGAGGACGCGATCGAGACAGAAACGCATCCGGTAACGTTTTTCTAAACAAGCGAACTATGTCCTAAATGTTACTAAACTAAACACTAAATAGGTTCTAGTATTCTGTGAGCTAAATCGCCGTTTGCTCGTTTTTAATCTGTTCAGCGACGACGGATGTGACAATGGGCGAGTGCCCCTAGCAAACATGCCCGACGTGACGTAAAAAATAAAGGAGGTTTTACGCGACCGAGAGTGAACCCGTTTTCTAGGTTAACTTCGAGCCTGAGTCGAATTACTTTTCAAATTAAACGCATGCTATAATGATTTCCTAACAAACTACGTTCTAAGCGTTACTAAACTAAACACTAAACAGGTTCGGGTAATAGCTAAATCGCTATTCGACCGTTTGTAATTTATTCTGCGACGGCGGAAGTGGCAATGGGCGAGTGCCCCCACTAAATTTGCCCCGACGCGACGTAAAATGCAAAGAGGACGCGATCGAGACAGAAACGCATGCGGTAACGTTCTCCTAACAAGCGAACTATGTCCTAAATATTACTAAAGTAAACACTAAATAGGTGCCAATATTCTGTGAGCTGAACCGCCGTTTGCTCGTTTTTAATCTGTTCAGCGACGACGGATGTAACAATGGGCGAGTGCCCCTACCAAACATGCCCGACGTGACGTAAAAAGTAAAGAAGGTTTTACGCGACCGAGAGAGAACCAGTTTTTTAGGTTAACTTCGAGCCGGAGTCGGATTACTATTCATCGGAGCGTTGCCTCCGATAAAATAACCGGCAAACAGAGGTGCACAAGACCGCAGAGCGGAGGTAATCCAATTATCAAACCGCCATAACACTCGGAGAAGATAATAAAAGGCGGCCGCGAGTTTTGCGGTAACGAGAGGCAATTTGCGAAATTAAACGCATGCAGGAACGTTTTTCTAGCAAGCAAACTACGTTTCCAGGCTGGAGATGCGAAGCCACTGTTCGCTACGTACCCCAAAGAAGTTTCGGGGCATCACGCGGCTCATCATTTCGCGCAGGATCGTTTTGCCATAGTTCAAAGTGTCCATTCCCGCTTCGGAACGTCACTTGGAGGCTCCTAAAAGTAACACCACGTGGGGTAAGTCGCATTGCTTCAACTATGAGGCTCTCAAAAGCCGGAACTTGGGACTCCATTTTCGCACGTCAGTAATTAAACATCTGCATACCCGTAAACAACAAGCCGAAACAATATTTTTTTGATAAATGTCAAATGGACATGGATCAAGACACTAGCGCGAAAATTTCCCGACCTGAATATGAAAGAAACAA